AGATATGTAATTTTGCCTTGGTGGAAATTAAAGTTGGAATTTTTTTGTGATCGCTAGTTACGTTATAGAAAGCAATTCGAACACATTATTTGATTATTGTTGTCTTGTCCTAACAATCATTATAGTTAAGTTATTGACATTTTGTTAAAGTATATAAGTATTTTGGACTCTCATCTCAAAATCAATTGGCAATGAGTGAGGTGGCTTTTGACACTTGTATATTGAATCACATCTCTTTACAGTGGCGATGTGTCACGCTCCGGGGGCCTTTGGGATGGCCGGAATTACAGAATGGGAGAAAATTGACGGAGACGGGAAGATTAGGGTTCAGGTTGAGAGAAGAATGAGGAAGAAGGAGAGAAATTGGAAAATTCCAATTCAATACAATACTTTTTATAATTAATTTACATACCCAGCAAAATATTTATAGTCTAGCCTATTTTTTTAAAATGCTATTTCAGACCCTAAACTTTCTATTTCCTAAGATTAGGTCCATGGGCGTGACACGATGTTGGACAGATTATACATTTTAACACTCTCGCTCAAGTCCAACGGGTCTTTGAACTTTTTGCCAATGGACTTGAATCAGGACAAGAACAGAATAGGCCACTAGTCAATGCTCAAGTGGGAGAAAACCAGTTATATCGCTGGATCGGTCCACAACAAGGCTACGAGTCATCGCTCAAGTGGGAGGACAACAAGTTATACCACTGGATCGGTCCACAACAAGCCCACGAATCAACGCTTAATGGGAGAAAACAAGTTATATCGCTGGATCAGTCCACAACAAGGCTACGAGTCATCGCTCAAGTGGGAGGACAACAAGTTATACCACTGGATCGGTCCACAACAAGCCCACGAATCAACGCTTAATGGGAGAAAAGCAAGTTATACCGCTGGATCGGTCTACAACAAGCCCACGAGTCAATGCTCTAGTGAGAGAAATATAAAATCACCACGAGCCACCTCCAGCCCAGAATCACCAGAGGTCCAAACCGCTCTGATACCATGTCAAAGAATAGAAGTACTTTGGGCTCCCATCTCAAAATCAATTAACAATGAGTGAGGTGACATTTAACACTTATATACTGAGTCACTTCTCTTCACGGTGGCGATGTGGGACAGATTATACGTTTTAACAACATTTAACTAGATGTGTCAATAGCAATTTATTTATTTATTTATTCCGATACATAAGAGGAGAAATCCTTTTGATCATTCGAGCAACAGGAACTAACTTCCAAGTTCCAATGCGAGCTAACTCAAACTTCCAGTATGATTACTTAAAATTTAAACTCAATGTAAAGTATTTTTATAAAATGAGAAAATGCTGAACACAATTAAACGTGGCCCTGAAAGAGTTTTAAAAGTAAATAATAAATCATAGATCAAATTCGATTTAAAGTGGAATTTAAGCAGATTTTTTAAAAATACAATTTGAAATTTCTACATAGGTGAAGAGAACTGGTGTTTCCACGTTTTGATATTTTGAGATTTCAACTCTCATACTGGAATGTACTTCAAATGGTGTTGATGCAAGTTAGACAAAGTTTAGTTATATTACAAGTTATCCAAATGGAGCCACTTGACGTACACAATCAGTTTCAGATCAACTCCCTTTGGTTAACATAATTTGGTTACAGTTGACCAACAAAACCCGTCAATTTTGATTTGAAAAATTAGAACATCAAATTGTCCATAAAGTAATTCAGCTGGTCATGTATATGCCCTCGTCAGTGCATATAATTTTGTATTATAACATTATTATTTCTTCTAGAGAAAGAAAACATTAATTTATCATGTGTCTCAACTCTCACGCCAATGGATTCACAAAGTCACGTTTGCTAATTAATTTTTTTTTCCTATTCTAAGATGACATCACTTCAAATAGAAATCAAAATGTTGTAACACAACGTACAACATGTAAGATATTGCAAAAGCGGGAAAAAAAGGCGGTGTCAAATATATAATAAAAGCTGAAAAAAGAAGACCGGTTCAGAAACTGACTAAATGAATAAAGGCGGGGGAAGTTTGGAGTTGAGAGTTGAAGAGATGGCCAAAATCCAAATTGGTTAGCAGAGAAAGTCAATGCGTAACAAAGTCAATTTGGCCAAACATAATATATATACTCTATCAAATGGCAACGTCACTCTGATTAATTGAATCCGAATGAAAAAGAGAAATTTTGAGAGTATAAAAATATGTATAGTCTCTACGTTAAACCTCACTTGGCATTTTTTAATTTTAAGGGCTGCTTTTTTTCCCCTTACTATTAACTATGTTGATATTGTTGGAGATATATGAAATAATAAAAAAAAAAATTTCATTGAAACGCCAGAAATGTCACGATAGATGGGCTAAACGCTTAAATAAAATAATTTTGAAGGATAAATTCTTTCATTTGGAATCACACATAGTAGTCCACCATAAATGAAGTGTTCTTGTAACAAAAGAGAGGGATATGTTTCCCTTTGATCTTGAAGCAGACTTTTTTTTTTTCAAATTAAATTAGTACTCCCTCCGTCCTAGTTTTTGGACGGAGGGCGTATGAAAAACATGGAATGTCCGAACTCCCAAATCCCAACCATTTGACTTAGTTCAAAGTATATCATGCTCTAGAGTCTAGATAAATGGACGTTGAAATTAACCAAAAAAAATAAAAAATACAAAGTGGATCAAAGAAAAAAGAAAAACTGGGGAAAGATTAATGGTATCCATTGTCGAAAGCCGATTTTGGTTACACTATGTGCTCCGAGAAAATCAAATGGCCAACTTGGTTCGATATTGATGCCTCAAATCATGTCACCTTTTCAGCATGTTACTCCTTTTTTTCTCCGTTTCCGTTTTCTTCTTTTCTTCTTTAAAAAATAAAAATAATAACCCCAAAACAGATTGCTCCCTATAACGAAATATGTTCCTTGTCATGCTATTCTTAGCTTGGAACTTGGACCAACAACAAAAATAAGTTAACACATAACCGAAACAAAAGATTTGTTTTTTTTTTCAGAGATTTTCTGATAACACATTAACAATAGTGATTAGAACAATTGACACGTACTCTAACACCTTAGCAAAAAATAATGATAACTGAATCTAAATAATAAGTACACGTGACAGAAAAATGTTACGAAGATTAATACAACAACCTAAAAAAAAGAAAAATCATCGCACCATTATCTTCTTTCAAGAAAAATATATACTCCGTCCATTTCGAAATATAAGTCACTTTAAATTTTACACGTAAATTAAAGAGACAATCATCGAATAATTAATTTATGTGTTAAATATCTGTTTAGCTCTCATTAATTACATTAGAATTATAAACAAGACAAATAAAAAGATATTGACATTATTTATTGAGGATAAAATTAGAAATATAGTCATTAATTTGTCTAAAATTTATAAAACGACCTATATTTTTTAAAAAAAATTTAAATCTAAAACGACCTATAAATTAAAATTGAGGGAGTATGTAATTGAACAAAATGCACAAAAATATAAGCGGCGAAGGGAATCTCTCAAATTGCCCATAGTAGCTCTGATCCGCCGCTGAAATCACGTCTAGTTGATTTTGTGATCATCCAGTTGGATTTACCATTTCCCCAAAATGGCCAACTTGGTTTGATACTGATATTTTCTTGATGCATCACTATTTTTCACTTTCTCCTTTTTTTTTTACAAATAAATCTCCAAATAAATAAATTAAAAAAATTTAATCAATTGGTCCCAATTAATTGAAAAATCAAAGAAATCAATAAATGACGATCCCAGTCAGCCGCGGTCACACCCATCCTCAAAGTTATCTATTTATCCTGCCACGTGGCAACCCATGGTTTTTATAATTTCTACAAGCGAGAGAGAGAGTTTTTATACAAAGACACAACATATGGCCCCACGGTACTTCCCTCGGGGGGGTCCATCACAGCCTATGGGGTTTCTTCTGGCCTTATCTCTCGCTTGTTTTTTATATTTTAGTCATTTAGACAGCCAGTCCGCGGATTCATATGCTGCCCTTTTGGGTTTTGGCCATCCATCATCTTAATTTGTCATTTTCCCGCTATTTTTATAATGTTTTGTGTTCTAGAAATCTGCTTCTACATATCTACGAGCAACTTTCACGTGCGGTCACGGTGCATCGTAACTAGGGTGTGTCCTCCTATTATTATTCCAGTCTAAGATTATGTATCCAAATTTCAAATGTAATTGCATTCTCCTCTTTTCTTTTGTACTCCCTCTGTCCCAAAATTATTGTCCAGTTTGAGATTTCATTTTTAATACAATTTGAACTAGAAATGAAAATCCAAACTGGACAATAATTATGGGACGGAGGGAGTAATTGATTTTTTTCGAAAAACATTACATATTCTGTCCGACGTCATTGTTACGATTGATTCAAATTCGAGTCGAACGAGTTTTTTTAGGAAACAAAATTATCTCAATAAATATTTTAGTTACTTCTGCATGCATATGCCCGAGTTTAATCTTGGATCATACGAATACTTTTACCATCTATATCAAGTGTTTTTAATTGTTTTTTTTTTATATAAAACTAAATGCATACTTAAACAATTAAAAAAAGAGAGTGAATTTTCTTAATATCACAACAATTAATTAGTTTTTTTATAAAACTAACTGCATACTTAAACAATTAAAATAAGAGTGAATTTTCTTAATATCACAACAATTACTCCAAAGAAACTACTAACATAAACAAAATGCAAATTAAAACTCAGTGATTATAGTCTTTTCATCCTATTTTAACATCTAAGTTTGTTAAACCAAAAACAATCCATTCGCCTTGAAAAAAATATTGTCAAATTTGAAAATTGAAATATATAAATTATAGTATAAACAGAAGTTTTGTTTAAAAAAAAAAAAAAAGAAGAAGAAGAACTACATTTTGGCAATAAATATAACAGAGACAGAAATCTCGAAATTTCTGTAAAAAATCCTTGTAACCAAAGAACTCTTCATTCGGAATCGAAAACGTTAAAAACATCGACAAAACGAAAAAATTCAGACAAACGGATGGCGAGGATGAAACTGATGGATTCTAAAACCAACGGATGTGCGCCAAATGTAAAGATCGTATTCCTCGTTTCATCCTATCATGTGACTCTCTCTATCCTCCTTTTTCCCATTATTTTAATGCCTCTCGCCGACTTTCCTATAAATATCAGTCAAGTTACATTTCTTTCCCCCACAGAAGAAAAAAAAAGAGAGAAGATAAAATAAAATCCAAATCGAAATGCACTTTTCTTGAATCCATTTCCACTCAGCAGTAAAGAGAAAATCCTTCTAGAATCTTTAATTCATCCTTGATACCATGACTGATCCGAGTTCCGATCAGTTTGTCGAGATGATCCCCGGCTTGCCGGAGGAAATTGCACTCGAGTGTTTGACCCGATTGCACTATTCAGCCCAGGGAATTGCTTTCCGGGTTTGCAAACGCTGGCTCAGGTTGCTCCGCAGCAGAGAGTTCTATTACCACCGGAGGAATTCCGGTCAAACCCGCAAAGTGGCTTGCTTAGTTCAGGCACTCCCTTCCCCGCCGCTGCCGTCGGAATCCAAAAAATCTGCCGGCCCCCCAAGCTACGGGATAACAGTTTATGACCCGATAAGCGGGGCGTGGGATCGGATTGACCCGATTCCGAAGTTCCCGGACGGGTTGCCGCTGTTCTGCCAGGTGGTCAGCACGGAAGGGAAGCTGTTCGTGCTGGGTGGGTGGGACCCATCCAGCTGGGAGCCAGTCCGGGACGTGTTCAAATTCGAGTTCACCACCGGGAGGTGGACCCAATGCGCCGACATGCCGTCGACCCGGTCCTTCTTCGCCGTCGGGGCGGCGGAGGGGAGGATCTTCATCGCCGGCGGGCACGACGAGAGCAAGAACGCCCTGAGCTCCGCGTGGGTCTACGACGTGGAAGGAAACGAGTGGACGGAGCTTCCCCGGATGAAGGAGGAGCGGGACGAATGCGAAGGGGTGGTGATCGGATCTGGATTCTGGGTCGTAAGCGGGTACGACACGGAGAGTCAAGGCGGGTTCAAGAGCAGTGCGGAGGTCTTCGACCCGGCCACCGGAGAGTGGACCCGAGTGGAGGACGCATGGAGAGGGACGCAGTGTCCCAGATCGTGCGTGTCAGCGGCACAAAACGGTCAGTTAACGTCGTGGGCGGAATGTGACTCGGCGGTCCGGGTCGGGACCTGTGGAATCGACTTGGGGGAAGTGGCCCTGTTGACGGGGTCACCCTACCAAGGTGCGGCCCATGGGTTCTTCTTTGTAGATAAGACTGAGAAGACCAGAGGGCAGAATGGTAAATTGAACAAGATGGAAGTACCCGAGTCCTTCTCTGGGTTTGTACAATCCGGCTGCTTTGTTGAGATTTGATGAGTTAGAGTTACCCTTTTTTTTTTTAATTTTGGCTTCTTTTCCTTTTTGATTTCACCACGAGATAAATATGAGAAGCAATAGAGAGAAAAAAGTTGTATAATAGGATTTGGTTTTTGTACAATGAGTCAATGAGGATGAGCCTTTTTTGTTTCCTTTTACTTTTTTGAGTTTACAATTGGCATTGTAAAAAAAGTAAAAAGCTTTCAGTTTTACCAAAAATGGCCAAAAGCTTGGATTATGTCCTTTTTAGATTTCATGATTCTATTACAATTTCTAACGTATCCTCCATTGTAAACTTGGCTATCATACATAATTGAGCTGAATCATGTTAGTGACAATTATCAATTTATCGATACCAGTAATAATTAAATTTGACATTTGTTTAATTTTATCATTTATCATGTGAAATTTCACTAATTGAAAACTTACATGTTATATTTGTTGGGGGGGTGCTTGCGTGCTTTCTTTGGGATGCCTTTCTTAGTAGTGGTTGCTTTCAGTGTTACTCCTATTGTTATGGATGAGGACCAACTGAAAAGTGTGGAAATGTTAACCTATGATGGCAGCCTTCAATTTTACCATAGAAGGTGCAAATATGATTTACCCTTCTTTTGGCGCTTTCGACGATTTTATTTTATTTTCCGGGAGACGCTTTTGAACCTGATTTTTTTACAAAAAAGTGTTGGCATCTTTTGGGTTCTGGGCTCCCTCGGTGGGTTCTTGTAAGCTATAAATGTGGCCAATGTCATCAATTATTCAGAGCTGTATGAAAAATACCAATTTATCCAGAACGAATGAATGATAGGAATGCTCTGTGCTAAAAAATATCTCTCCTAATTTCTTCAATTTTGACATATTTCCCTCTATTTGCCGGATCTAACCAGTGGCAGACAGTTCTCAGCCAGGATCCGGTCCTCAGGGAGACCGCGAGGTCTTAGAATAAATTTACGGCAGTGTTATCTTTATCACATACTTGTAACTTATACTCTTTTCGTTCCAATTTAATAGAATATTGAAATTTTAGACACGCGCAGAAGTTCAAAAAAATATAAGTAATGTAAATTAAATAATTTAAGTTTTGAGTAATTTCTTTAGTACTCCTACATCTTTGTTAATGACTAATGGTTACTAGTTAGTATAGAATTGTCGTGAGTTGAAATTAATAAAATACTCTAAATTATAGGGTTAATAGTTGGAGTATATTAGAAAGTTTATAGAGAAGATTAAATATAATGTTTGGAATGAGACTGAATCTTGACACGTCCCTAAAAGAAAAATGTCCTATTGTATTGAATTACAATGGGAGACGCAATAAATGTTTGTGCTTTTAATAGAACACATAGGGTTAAATGGGGTGAAAAGTTCCGATTGACACAAATATGGGTAGTGAAATTTGCACATCATCTGACCTGTTTACCACTTGTCACTGCCTTCAAAATTTACAGTAAGAGTTTACAAGCCAAACTAAGAAATGCCACCAGAATTCGAACAATATTTTCTAATACGTACTTTATCCATAAACACGAGACAAATGAATGACTGGAAATGCGTGTTATAATGTCCACACTCAAAATCAATCACTTGTATTTCGTTTTCAACAAACATTTGTCTGTTTCACTCAACCGCTACTACTTCCCCCATTTTGTGACTGTTCTAGTATTAGACAAAATATATCCAGTTTAACAAACACTTAATTACGGTTTACAAATTATTAAATTATCCTTAATTATCTTATTACAACTAACAAATGTTATATTTTCTTTGAAAACTAGTTCAAATTGCAATGTTAATTATTTTTCTGGGAGAACCAGAGTATTAATAATACAATTTTCTTTTGGGGGTTATTTTAGAATTTTTGTTTAAGAAAATGTATATATAAACACAAACGACACTTATTATAGCATATCACTTTCTCTTTTAAGTGATACTTAAAAGCTAAATAGAGGGAGTACTGAAAACACTAATTTGGGGTTCTAGATTATGGCACCTTATTATTTGGAGCCTTGTGTTGAGAATATTGCCCAATATACTTGTTACACCTATTGCTATGGTTGAATGACTACAAAACAATTACAGAAAAACACTAAACCTGTGTTATTCAGTGGCGTAATCAGTATCATATGCGTCAATCATTCAATCTACTAAAACAGAACCCCTTTAAAAAGTTCACTATACCCTTTTTCCGCCCATTGGAAGCCTTGGAACAAATGAGATCCTTAGTTTGCACTTTATAATTTCTCATCCTCTTGATCCCTTAGTACCTTTGTGGAAAAGAGTAATATGCTCAAATGGTCCTTTACATTTGGCAGAAAATTTAATTTGATCCTTTACATTAAAAGTTCTCTCATTTGGTCCATTATATTTATCTTTTCAACTAATTTGGTCATTTTTATTTTTTTGGTCTTTTACATTTGAGGGTTCTTGGGCTGATCAATTTTTAGTCAAATCAACAGGAATATTTTTGGTAACTTATAAATATCAGATTTTCAAAATATGTTTTAAAAACAAAAAATGTATTAAAGTAATACTAAATATATTATATTAATTTATAATTATTATTTAAAAAATTTAAAATTCAAAATTCAAATATAATATTATTTAAAAATAAAAAAATAAAAAAAATCAAAATCCGATTTATTTTTTCTTTACCGGTGGGCCCCAAACAAAACATTAAAAATTTCAAACAATAAAGACAAAATTGGCTAACAGAAAATCAATAAGGTAGAATTGACAATGAACCAAAAGCTTTAGGTATAAACGCTAATTTTTCCGCTGCTCATGTATCTTTATGTCATATGGTCTTACTGATGCGACTCAGGATAAAATTTTATGTTTTTTGTCCATTAAAAAAATGTGAACAAAGGCCAAATGGTGAGAGCTGGACACATTTAGAATTCGGATTAGGCAGAGCTGTAATTTTTTTTATCAATAACGCCGGTTGGACACAAAAAAAAAAAATTAGGGGAAAGCTCGTGATTACACGGGCTATATCTAGTCAGAAACTAAAACCATAAAACAAACTCCCTCTTTCTATTATTCTATATATGTCCAGTTCGTACAATCATTTCAACTTTCAAGACGAAAAAATAATGCTTCCTAGAAAAATAATCAACATTGAGTTTTGATATTTATATTAAAAATAATATAAATATCAAACTCAATGTGAATTATTTTGCTAAAACAGAGGTAGTAATTAATAATATTATTGACTAGCACTAGTAAATTGATATGTTTCATGAAATACTTTTTCTCGCTTTGCTAGTAACCATTTTTTAGTCTTGTTGGGATTCCACTTCCAAATTAGAATTTTGTTGCCCCACCCGTAAAACGAAACGACACTGAAAATTTGGATTAACTCAGGGAGTGATTTCAGGTATGGCAACAGAACGTATAATGACAAAAAATGAAACCTTCAATTGTGAAATGTTAGCCAATCATAGCCACTCAAAAAGTCTATAGGAGCACGCAGGGAAACAGTGCTTCCGTAGAAATTGTTTTTAGCTTGCTAGAAACTTGGAACGATGGAAAATTGAAAGATGATACAGTAGAATTGAAAATGTGTGGTTCATTTTTCATTTCGCCTCATATCTTCATGATAGCAACCATAAATACTTTTTTTTTTCTTTTTGACTAATCGTCCGTTAATCTTAATTAGTGTAAAGTTCACGAGGTTGAAAATCATTAGATTCAAACTAGTGTATCCAAAATTCCAAATGCTTACTATAAGTATCATTTTAGAATATATCGATATTCTAGAAATTGAAGTCCTTCGTTGAAGTAGGTGGTTTTGGGTGTTACCCCCCAATACCTTGAACTGTAAGATACTGCTGTATCAGGATTAATAATAAAGTTATAAATTTTACAATTCAATGGATGATTACACATTCGATTTCAACTGCAGATCGTTGTTTGAAATGAAATCTAATAGGTTTAAAGTGATATTATAAATTTATAATGGAGAAATATCAAGTTTAGAAGTTTTTCTTTCCGAGACATAACTAACTCAAGGTCAAATATAATCCTAACTGAGGAGTATGGACCCCGAAAAAAAGAGAACCAAAAGTGCAATGCGCTTTTTACAAATGTGGAAAACAAATCCTCATCTTTCACAAATTTGACCCAATAATTTTCTTTAAACATTATAATTATACATAGCGTATGAGAAACACTAAGTATCATTAGTGTGTCAGATACGAATATAAATCACTACAATAATTGAGACATGGGAAAAATAACCTTTGCCCGACCTGTGATACTAAAATATAAAAGCAATAATCTTAAATTGGTCGTTTGGATCCCATCACATCCGATGGCGAAGTATGAAAGGAAAATTCTACAATTGGTAAAGTTGATTAAAATTTCTCTCCATTTCAAATTGTCCTATTCACTAGTCTGGACTTTAGATACTACACTTGCAAATTGCTAGTATGTAACTTAAAGATGATTGTATCTATGAATAAGGGCAATAATGGAGATTAAAAAACAAAATAAAAATAAAATAGATAAGACCTAGCAACGAGCTAGTGGGCCTAAGTAGAAATTTTGTTGTCCTTTGGTTAGGAATCAGCTCCAATCTTACAGATATTTGGAAATTGCTTCGGTGATAGACAAGTTGACGGATGGAGAGGTTATGGTACTTTGAAATCTGTAATTGACAATGTCCCGGGAATCACACTCCATTCCAATGTTCTGTATAAACTGCTAACAAGGATGGGAGAGAGAAGGGATAGAACGATTCGAGTTTAATGTCGATAGCAAGGATTTGGTTCACTGTAGCGTCAAGAAAAATCGAAGAATGAAAATTGATCGACCCGTTCATATAAATATGAATTATGTCATGTCATAATCATCATACCCTCCATGGGTCAAATAAGAAAGCAATCGGATAAGCAGAATATCCTTGTCAAATGCACATATCATACACACACCCAGCCAGTCTTATCCTGGGGACTCTTCATATTTCCTGATTCCCTAATCCTTACTACCAAAAAGAGGGGGAAATAAGTCAAACCCATAACACGATCAGATTTCGCAAGAGGTGCATCAGTTCCATGGTGGTGGAGAAAGATCAAAATGACAGCCTGCCCTGCTGTGTTTCTTGATTAATGCTGTTGGACGGAAATAAAAAGTAACAATTTTAATAAGTGCACATACTTTTTCTCATCTTATCATGCAGATAAAACATGAAGCAATACTAACACAACTTTGATGGTGAATCCCAAAGCCCTAAGACCTCACACTAAATGTCCCCGTCTATATAAAACATGAAGCAACACTAACACAGCTTTGATGGTAAATCCCAAAGCCCTAAAACTGTCACCTATATGTCATACAAACGCCACCACTAGATTCAAAGGTACGACAAGAAATCCACCACTTCAACAGGGGAAAAAAACCTCGAACGAAATCAGTACAAGAAAAGGGTATCAGCACAAGAGACACTGAACATATAATAACAAACTTAAAGAGTTCAGACAAGCCATCACAAATTTGCCTCGGTTACAGAACACTTTCAAGTTTCGATGCTACCACCACTAAAGATTTAGAGATGATATTGCAAACCTAACACTGATCTCAACCTAGTATATCATAATATATAACCCACAAGCCGGGGCAATGAAAGACAGAAGCTGAGGGGTAGAGGCCCTCGGGTGGGATTCGCTGGAAACCACCCCTCAGGGTTTTTCCAGATCCTGGTCCCTGCTCTGCATGGACCAAATCTTCTCATCCGGAGTAACCACGGGAGTAAGAGCGGCTCCTACTCCTATAACTAGCGGGGCTAATGCTCCTGCTTCTTGAACCATAAGGAGACCTTGAATAAGAGCTTCTCCTGTATCTTCTATCTCGGGGAGAAATGGATCTGTACACAATTGTCCAAGCAGAACTTCAGCGCATGGGATACGATCAATCATTATTTGGTTCAAAGTGCATCTTAAGTTTGTGAGTAAGAGTTGGACTGTTGGAACTAAATTTACCTCGAGTAATATCTGCGACGAGGTGATGGAGAATAGTAATCAGGGCTTGGGGAATAGGTCCTCGAGTAATAGGGGGACCGGGAGTAACGGTGCAGGGAACGCTTCCTGTCATCCACACGACCCCTGAGTAATTGCACCACAAAAGAACATTGCTTTTAAATGGTCCCATTAAAGGCAGCACCTATAACATACCACAAATCACATGCATAAATTTACAAGTATCCATCATAATGTACTTGTTGATTACCTGCGTTCCCTAGCCCTCATTTCGGAGGGATTTTTCCTGTTTTCTTCTGCAAAGACCACAGATATCTCTCGCCCAAGTATAACCTGACCGTCCATTTCGTACTTGGCATCAGCCGCATCATCAGGGTTTAAGAATTGCACAAAACCAAAGCCGCGTGGCTCCCTGGAAGTTTTTTTTCCTCATCAAGGATCAGAAGAAAAGGAGATACGACGGGAAAAAGAAAAAACTCACACCCCAACAATTCATCCCTATAAAAAGAGTCTCTCACTCTCTTCCATACCAATCTCGCGGAAACATCAACTACGATTCAAGTCAATACAAAAAATTCATCCCACCGGGAAAGCCAACACCCCATCATAAATTTAGTAGTGCACTTATGCCAGCTAACCTTGAAAGGCTTGAACTTCTTGATAATTCTGTTCATACCCAACTTCCTTCTCTTCATGTACATTAAGATCATCTTGGACAGAACTCTTATTACTTCATGTCTTCAAACTTTCAATAAAAAGAAGGGAAAAAAAAGTCTTATAAAGCAAATGAGCATACAAAAAATGGATACCACAAGGGGATCAAACGAACTTTCACAACTTAAATATAATTTCTGATCTATTGACATCCTTCCTTTCCTTCAAGAATCACACAAATAAAGCAATTTCAAAGAGCTCAAGCAGTTCTCACCCAGTGTAGTAATCTCGTGGCAAGTAAACATCCTTAAGGGGGCCGAATTCCCCAAATGGCCTACGAAGATCTTCAGTCCTGCAAGCATCACAAAGTTGTTAAAAATCAGAAAATTGCCGATAGCAGTACAAGAATAAGAGGTGCAAGTACAGCACTTGATCACCCAGAGCTGCAAACAGGCATGTAATACGATCTGGCATCTCAACTTACACACATTACATCATCTAAGAAACAGACTTAAGGAAACTCTGCAAATGTATGCAAGTGATGTCGCTATACTTTACATGTACAAACCAAGTCCTTTCTCACCAAGTCAACAAAGGCCCGACCTTAAAGCATCTCTATCCAATTATATTCAGGTCAGTATCACTTTCAACTTACAATAAATTCCAAGTCATTTCAGCATCACACCATACTTGAGGAGCAGAAGTTAGTTTTATACTACAGATCAACAATTTCATGACCGAAAAACTTATGAAAGATTCCAACAACACCAATAAACCAGTTTTCACAGCACGGAAGATCTCGCGGAACAAACCTACAATCACGGCGAAGATTGCGGACCAAGAGACTGGTAGACAGATCTCTCCCACGATTGCCATAGCGACCCCTTGGGCTTGGACTTCGTCCACGTCTGCTGCTGTATCCCCTTGGAGGGGAAGGGCTGTAGCTATAACTCCTACCCCTCATTTTTTGCAACCCGATCTCTACAAGAATGGGGAGAAAACAAGAAATGCATCAATACAAAATTTTCAAGTTTCTAAAACGGAACCATTATTGGCATATAAAGAAAACATGAACACCATAGGAATGGCAATAATAAACATCACAAAAAAAAATCAGGTTATTCACCCCTCTTACAGTCAATCAATATTTCTAGGCATTTCTGCCCATATTTGAGAGAGTGATGTAGCCAAATCCGAGTAAAACTTCAAGACAAAATCAGCATATAATAAGTCTATATTGGGCACCACCAAGTACAAAGATAAAGATGCAAAAATAAAATTAAAATAAGGCAGAAATAACATGAAACTATAGAAAAACCTCAGGCACACAACATCCAAAAAACTAAAATCTTGCAACATAAAACACAGAGATATCTTACCCGAAAATGTGAAATTTTTACATAACAATAAAAAATTCAATTGCAAGACACATATAATATCCACAGAAGTGATACAACATCAAACACCAAATAGGTGAGACGTGAAGAATTAAGCAGAGACATCCTAAAGAACGAATTTTGATAATTGCGATCTGACTAGTAAAAGTCTTGAATCACAGAAATTGTCTAACAGGAAAACATGAATCATCATCAACATAACAGCAAAACAAAACCCAAAAACAGCGATAAGATTGAAAACAAAATTAAAAAAAATATCCAATCCCCACATAAAACAAACCTACGAAAATTTAACTCCAGGATTAATGGATTACATCCGTACGAAACTGATACTAGAAGATGTTACAAAAAGAAAAGGAGAGACTGAATTATTTTGGAAGAGATAATGATCGATACAGACGAATCAAAATGAAGGTAGCAGTAAATCAACAAAACAATGATCAATGGAAAACTATTTACCTCTGAATTCCGAGGAAGATGAAAGGGATTTTGATAGGAAGAAAAACAACCCGCCACCACCACCAGTATGTATGTATATTCCTCTTCTAAAGGCACAAACGAATATTTGAGATGAATGGAGTTTCTCCAGAAACTTCTGTTCGAATCCGAAGAAGATATAATTGTATTCTAATTGGGCTTCAGGAGTTTAAAACAGATTTGTTGGGCCAATAAGTTAAGAAGTCAGGAGCCCATAATAATCTTGAAAATTGAGCTTCTTTTTTTGTTGGGCCAATAAGTTAAGAAGTCAGGAGCCCATAATAATCTTGAAAATTGGGCTTCTTTTTTCACCAATCCATGTTTTCTTCTTCGCTAACGAGCAAGTGAGGCCCAATAAACCAAGGAGAAGTTCAACTTTAAGGAAATTTTTCATAGGTGGCCAAGATTCCGTCCACCGCGTACATAAATAAACCCTAATAAGTTTCGGAAAGTAGTAGTATTTAAGTCGGAGGATTAGGTCGTTAAATACCAGAAGATTTTCCATATATTCTGAACGTCTGGATTTGGGAAGTTTGTCATAATACAAATTACGTTAGATGATCAATCAGAAGAATATCAGATCTGCTGGGCAAGGCTTAAGGAATTGAGAGATGGACGTAAAAGAAACAACAGGGAAATGGTTGTTCTGGACGGAGAGAATAGGATTCTTGGTTATGGTAATGTCATGGGTAGATAACCCATGGATAACCTTTGAAGAATCGGGCTTTGGGGTGCTACCCTTACTTTAAATTATTTTGGAAGTGCACTAACTTCCTCTACTTCTTAGCCTTACTTTAATCGGCTTTGATGTCGTTTTATTCTGCGCCCAATTCTAACTCGAGACCAATTGTACAAGAACTTGCTTTTGGAGCGTTTAGCACTGTTGATTTGGCGCAATTGGTGACTGGGTTGTGAAGAATCCGGGTTTTTTCTTGGAAAGATTAGCACTTTTGATCTGGTTCAGGGGCGCAGAACTATACCTCGACGATGGTGACTATTAGTATTGGCCTCTTCACATTTCCCATGTCATTGTATTTCCCTTATTGAGCATATACTTCGCGGGCTATGGATATTTCAAAGAATTCCGGACTGAAATAACCAGGGAACCCTTATCCAACCCACCCACAGCAAGATGTGTTGTACAGCAGAGCAGAGCGGGTGCTATTCTGGGTTGAAAGGATGGGCTTCTTCACTATTACTCTGGTTTGGCTTTTCCTGGATATAATAAATAAATAAGATTATAACCGATGAACCGTGGACCAGATGGGTAACCAACCATTGCTGACTGTTTCTGGATTTTCACCAACTCGTTATACCTGTGGATGTACATTGGCAAGATGTTACTCAATAGCCAAAATAATATTTTCAATGCAGAGGACCAATTAGCCAGGTTGGTCAACAACTTGAAGAATCACCCGGTTGATATTTGCTTATGTACTCAAGCTTCCTGGAGGACCTGGTAGATACATGGTGGAGCAAGTTCTGTATTTATATAATTTTCCCCCTGTTGCATATGTACTTTGCATGTTCTGGTTACTCTAAGGAATTCCAACGAGATGTTAAGGTCCCGCATAATATTCCAAAACCTCTGCAACGCAGCTTGAAAGAAGATTTGGAATTGATGCTCCAAAATCTGGAGGAAAGGATGGGTATGAAAATAGTGAATGCTATAGAAGAAAACAGCCAGAGAGGAACTCCTGAATTGGAATTGATGCGGCAAAATCTCGAGGGAAGGATGCTCGTGAAAATAGTGAATGCGATAGCTGAATGCAACCAGATGAAAGATATGGCGAAATCGAAATTTCATGGACATGGAAAGTAGAAAGGTATGAGGAGGATAACCAAAAGCTCAAGGAGCAGATCGAGGACTTGACAATGAAGCTCAGCGCTGCAACTGCATCCTCCGAACTGTACCGAAACCTCCTTCATGAAGGGACACTCTAGTAAGTGTGTCTCCCTGAATTATGTATTCAAATTGGAAATCTCGAAACATAGGTTTCTTCAAGTCGTAGGTCGTAGCTAGCTATAATTGACATTTTCTCTTTTTGGTTTGTTTTCATTCAGTTATTTTAGTTCCTACTTTACGATTTCCGTTGACGTACAAGTTCATTTGTGATAATGCGATTACATATATTTATATCACTTATATTTTGATCAACCGAAAAATTCCAACCCTTTCATATAAATTCAACCGTGAAGAAATGAATGTTTGTTGGTTGTCGCATGGAAGTGTAGAGAACTCCGCATGCTTAAGGATTTAAAGTTTCAGACTACTACAAGTACGCGTGTAAAGAGATGAACTTAGACTAGTGAAAAAACAAATGGGTTGCTTCTATGAAATTAGAGAAGACTAATTAAGCACAGATTAATTTGAAAAAGAAATTATAGATTAAATTAATATGAATTTGGCCATTTTTGTTTAGCCCTTGTGTTCCCTTTTTCGTGATCCCTTCCATGGAAGGGAGGAGGGAAGTTGAAGTGATTAAGGATTATTCAGAGTTGTTGCCCCGCGTCAAGTGATCATACACGTACGTCATCGGGAAAAAAGGAACCTGCAAATAAAGTACTCGTATTACTTACTAATCGTCATCAACTATTGGCTGTTTTGATTTTGAAAATTGAAACTGAAATAATAAAACTACTCCTGTTTTAAAAAAAAAAATAATTCACATTGAGTTTTTAAATTTGTATTGTTTTTTTTTTAAGTTTAAAAACTCAATATATACTTTTTTTTTTTTTTTGAAGACAAATGATTTTGAGGGAAAAAAAAAAAAACACTAAACTGCGGAAGTCGAAGATAATGCGGATTCAACCTATAGTTGAAATACAAGTTGTACCTTTTAAGGGTACATACAAAGTAATCAAGTATGCAGCCGCACGAAAAGAGAAAAGTCATATATCCTACTATATTAGAAACAAAAACCTCCCTTTCAAACACTTCATATGATTGCCATGTGGCATATAAAAAGTACTAAATTGCCCTTTTGTCTAACCATAACAAAATTACTAAATCTCCCTTTGCACTTTATGTGACATGTTTTTTTTTTTTTAATTTTTTCTTTATGTTTCATTCAACTAGAGTGGTTTTTTAAATTGAATTGATCAATTAAGTTTTTTGTTACAAAGTGTCAATTTTGTTTTAAGCGTATACTCTTCGGATGAAACTTATTACAAAGCTATTAAAAATCTCCAAAACTAAGTATTGATTTGGCACGACCAATGGAGAACATCAATAAATCATCTTACTAATATTTAAATTTATTAAGATGCTTTTATATTTTATCTAACATTTACTTCAACACATATATTCGATTAAGGCTATTTATATTTAATAAATAACACTTATAAAACATTTCTAAAACATACATGGCGAAATACTATTTTTTTTTTTTGCGAAATACAAATATTTCTATAATCATACTTATAAAACATTTCTAAATCCTTCAAATATTTCTAAAATATATCGCTCCAAATACAAAATTTTATTTTTTTTCAAATATAAACATTTCTAAAATCTATAGATAGACGTAGGGGTCGCGCGAATGCGCGACTGCACATCACTAGTATATATATATATATATATATATATATATATATATATATATATATTTGTAATTTGGTCAAACGATTCTAAGAAACTTCTCTTCAGGTCTCTCCCCCTCACTTACTCTCTTCAGAGAAACCCATCGTCATCATCATCACTAAGGAAGTTGATCCCGAAATATCCAAGAATCAACCCGTCATCATTATTCTTTTTCTTTCTGGCACACACGAAATCCACACAATATACACCCCCGTCCACGCACCTTATATATTTGTGCTCTGTTTTGCCCACCTACCTAAATTCATCTCCAATCCAAAACAGATTTTTTACTTTTACCCAAATTCCATAATAATTCCACAAGTATTTTGATATATTGTACATGGCAGAAAGACTAATTGAGGAGGAAATTCAACAACAAGGCAACAACGACAACAACAGACATGTATTTGAAATGGAGGACTTGGAAGTAGATCAATCATCATCAAGCTGGTGTTGCTGTTTTCAATTCGGAGGTGGGCGGAGAAGCCAAGAGAGCCGATCTCTGTTACAAGACGACGGCGAATATGTGCAGAGAGAATCGTGGTTTGTGACCCGTCTGAAGAAATTGAAGGAATTCTCAGAGCTGGTTGCAGGGCCTAAATGGAAGAACTTTATTCGCAAGTTTGGCAAGAATTCCAAGCCCAAGAAATTCACCAGAACTGAATACATGTACAGCCCCAACAGCTACGCTCTCAATTTTGCCGATACACGTTTCGAAGAGGAAGAAGACGATTTGTTCGTAAGCTTTTCGACGCGGTTTTCAGCTCCTTTATCCGCCGAAAAACAGAGGCCACCGCCACCTCCGCCGCCGGCGACCACCAGCTCGTTATGATCTTTTATGTCATTGTTGTACATGTGATTGAATGCAAATTCCGGGTTGTAGTTAAGGCCGTTGATTGGATTCATATCTACTTTGTGATCATTCATTAATTGATAGTGACTGAATTTTCTTCAATCCGTGTGCCGCTTTCTTGGTAAACAAGAATTTTTTACATTTACATACAATATATACCCAAAAAAATGATTAATTCAGGAAATCTTGGTAACTGGCTAAGCTCAAATTTACTGGTTTGTTTTATCTTCACTAATTCAAACTATTCCAATCCTTCATCTTGATCAGAAGCATAATGCAGTTCTATCCTTTTTCTAGTTTTTTTTTAAAAAAAAATAAAAAATGAGCCAGGGGTTAAGATTTGGATAAACTCTTAAACCCAATCAAGTTTCGCAATTTACAAATTTGACGTAGGAAATAGGAAATTTCGCAAATTTTATATACAGTCGCCTAATGGAAATTCTTTAAACCTGTCAACGACCAATCTGGAAGAAGAATCCAGCCAAAACAATTGACCAAAATGCGTGAATGGTTGCCAATTGGAATTTGGAAATTGCAGACAAAACATATGTTCGTCAGCCGTGACTTTATTGATTTATAATTTAATAAACATTTATGACTACAAACAACAAATTTAGTGGCAACCACGACGACTCAATTAGAGACAATTAGTACAAGACAGCGACAAAGCGGAAGACCATAGCCATATTATATACAAACAACAAAATGCCGATCCAAAAATTAATCAGGGCCGGCGAATCTTAATAGATGGGTATGGCGACACTTATCAGATTGACGGAATAAAAAAGAAAGGAATCATCTTCTTTGCAGCGGTCCATAATGTTAATGGTGTTTATTATCATTATGGTTTGAAGAAGAGTTTTAAGTTGAGAATACCAGCTGGCATATATATGCCGAGATATTTTCATATGAATTGGTCAATTTTTCCTCACACGCTGTTATGTGCTGCTATCAATCATATTCTGTGACGAATATTAGGCTTCAAAGAGTGCCTAAATACCAAAATTTTCAAATTCTCCCACCACAAGTTATTAGTATTCTGATTGCCTTCAATTCCAAATCCTCCAATATTATCACATTCAGAGTTCAGACTTGGCTGATTCGTTTCTGCTGGTTTGGACCTATTCCAAATGGCAATTTTTTCTTTAACATTTCCAATGCCTAATTCATCATACCTTTTTGTGTTTTGTTTTTCTCCTCCCTTTTTGTTTTTGGTGATGCTCAGAAGCATCCAAGATTCCAGAGGATCAACTTAAAAGAAAAAAAAAAAAAAAAAAAAAACACCCAAATTGCCATTTCTCCAGGTTCTATATTTCATGTTATCAATTTGTCACCACCATATTACTATATAATTTTTTGTTGTTTCTTTTAGATGGAAAAGGGGGAAATGGAATATAGCATCTTTGTTAATGGGAATATCAGTTTTGTTAATGGTGAAATTCGAACTTTCTGCTGTTCTGCCACCAACTGATAAGCACTGTTTGCTGTGCATATTATCTAAGAAGTGAAATTGGGCGTAAAACAAAGCGACTCCCAATGATTACATACCATCTAGCTAGCTGCGTATATTCACAGAGAGATTTAAATATACCAAAAGTAGCAGCAGAATGACAAAACTGATTCAATCCTAACTTTAGATTAAACTAAAAACGTGATCTTGGCCTACATAACCTTGAGAAAAAGTTTCCATGAGCTACAAAAAAGCAAAGCATAATGCCATCCCCTTGGAAGTCTAATTCTATACATTGACACATTCAGTACTCGGGTCTACCACCAAAACGCGTCCGTCATGATTATCCTGCCCAAATAACTGTTTCTGATTCTGCCCATTTCTGAGTTTCTGATTCAAAAATTAGCCCTGATGATCTCCCTTACGAACGGGGGCTCATTCTACATTTGTTTCTTCATTTCAGTTTGAATCTCTTAGCATCACATGAATTGTTCATTGTTTGATTTTTCACCTGCACTACTTGATTCCAGATACAAAACTCAATCACATGAAGCCCTTGTACAAATGAAATTGTGTGACAACGAAGGTAATATTAATCAGCGTATATATACCTCTTGCGTTTGCTCTTTTGGGAAGAGGATGAAGATGGATTGCTGTGCCAATTCCTTTTCCTTTGATTGATGAACCAATTGTTTATCTGCTTTAGTTGTAACCCAGTTTCCTGCACTAGTCTTGCCTTGTCTTCCTCCTGAATTCACATTACTTCTATCAGGAAACCAGTGTTTTTTCAAACTTCAAAATAGAGGTAGTGAAAGGATTGAAAACACATACTGTAGGATAAGGCCATTTGGAATGGGACTGCCACCAAGCTTTCAAGAGGGACGTAGTGTCACCAGGAAGTTTTCCTGCTCTCCTTTTGCGCAAAATTTCTTCTCTTATGTCAACAATCTTCTCCTTGTAGCCCTATGAAGCAGAATATAAACTGATCAGTAGGGGGGAAAAAATACAGAAAATATGTATGGCAATGGCCAAACAGATTAATTGCATCTGTTACCTGTTTGAGCTCGTGTTTGAGTTCCTGTCTCACTCGCTCCATCAGCGACCTTTCACTTTCAGTAGGCGTCAGGGGCCCAAATCCCATAGTGTCATGGCCGTCTAAACTCCCATCAAACAAATTAGTATCACTATCTGCCTGATCTTCATCATCATCCGACATGGTAGCCCCACTACCTTCAGTTGGTGCCACACCTATGCATTTTAAGCATTTGATGTCAACAGCAGATTAAAGATTCAATATACATTGCCGGTGAATATACATTACAGGAAGACAAGGACAAAGCCATCAACTAGTTGATAAATAGAATGTCATTGATGGATCATAGCCAAAAGCGCAGGTGAGTAAAAGTAACACAAATTACAGAAATAAGAAATAACAAGACATTACTGGGAAGGAGCTTCAAGCTCGTCTTCGTATAAAGTTTCAGTTTCAATAAATCCATATATCATAGTGTGGATCATACAGCACATCTTGGCAAAGTTTAAAAAGAAAAGAAATTAAAAAGGCAAAAAACGAAATATAATCTTGGAATAACTAGTACCAGTTAAACTTTGCAATGACTGCTCAAGCTCCCAACATGCCATGACAGCTTCCATTGCATGTACACGTACATGCTGCTGCAGTTGTTCTTTGAAGGTAGAGAGTAACAGAACATAGTGCGTCTGAATCAGAAGCAAAACAGAAGGACAAACTTGAGGAGTGGACTTCCAAAACAGGGCTAAGGTATGAAAATAAGGCATGAATAAGATGAAAGTTATAGCGAAAGATGTATATAGTAATTGGAAAGATTGAAAATGAGAGAACACAAGGAGATGCTATGAAGAAAATTAGAAATAACACATCATATTGTTAGTTGATTTAAGACATAATGACTTCACTTTCTTTCAGACATGATTACTTCTCTGTTGGACTATAGTTAAAGAACATAATTTTAAATTTTTCAAGAATTAAATAAAAAGATAACACTTGGTCTCCACTTATTTTCTTAAGGAACCAGTTACAATGAGTATTGATTATCGCTTAAAATGCAAACGCAAGGGGGAACATGAACCTAGCATGGCAGTAAGGCACTAAGTCGACCATTTATAGGTCCTGGGATTTTAGGGTGGGGTGGGGATTCATGGACGTTTTAAGAAGGTTATTGCCTCCTTCATCGTTCATGGAAAATTAAAAATCAAATGAACATGCCAAAAACTTGGTAAATCATAGTAAAAGTTTGTAATACAGAGTCAGTAAATATTGGTGAGATAGATGGGGTCAATTGAAGACAAGTTATAACCTAATGTTCTCTTTGAAGATATTTTGTCACTGAAAATTCTAAAAAATGAACCGTTTGTCACAGCTCACATTGAAGGGGAATATGAATGATGCATTACATCAACAAAAGATTCTGCACAACAATGCCAAAATAATGGAGGTTCAGTAATTGTGTCATTGGGAACAAGATGATTCCTCTTTTGATGTGACTGTCATAGATATTCCAATTGTTATCAATCCTTCAGTAGCTTCATTACCTTCTGGAGCCTAACCATAAACCTTATAAAAAAAATTGTTTTAGCTTAAATTGTAAACAGAATTTGTTAGATGCTGAAACTATGTGAGTCTCCAATAAACACCCCTTCACCCCCAAAAAAAAAAAAAAGGAAGAAGGGAAAATTGGATATAAGCAACCCACAAATCTAATTGTTCGATCAATACTAGATAAATCTGGGGAAATAATGTAATTTTGCAACATTAGCAAAATAAATATTTGGAATTCACGGGGAAATTCACCTGAACGCAAATGTATTAATAGAAAAGACTAGTGTTTGCTGCCAAATCAGTCGGTACGTAGTAAACTATGACGTCCTTACTTTGTCCATCAGAGCAATTGCGCTAAATTTGTGCACACAAATGTAAATAAACAGCCATTTACCGAACAAATTTCCAGCCTTTTTCAAAGACTCACAAGGATTAATCCAAGTAAAGAAAATAATACACAATTCCTTTCAGGGAAAGAAAAGAACTCCGGAAAAGGAGATAAAATATGTTAATGATTAAAAAAAAAAAAAAAGCCTTGAAACTTCACCAATACAGTGATAAGCCTCGTGAAACACATGAAATTGCAACCTTTTTTTTTTTTTTTAGGGAAAAAGTAGAAGCCAACTTTGCTCTCTCAGGAACTTGAATGATATCATAAGTTCATAATTCAAAAACTCACTTCAACTAATACAGAGTCGGCACTCAATTCACATAATTTCAGGTTCGTAATTTGTAAGCATCCAACAATTATGAGAGATTTAAAAAGACTGAATTTTTAAGCACCATGGCATGAGTCAACGCTCCGAAGAGTTTTAGCAATTTTTAACCCCCCAAAACCAAAAAGAAAAAGAAAAAGATTAAAAGTTGGGAATTGTGAAAAAAAATTTCAAAAAAGAAAAACATACCATGAAATGATCAAGGTCTTTATCATCAAGAGCTTGAAGCTGAGGATCATGTCCCCGGAGAACGGAGGAGTACTTAGCGACGACGTGCTGAGACTGAGCCAGCTGAGCATCAATCCTGGGGAGCTGGTCCACCGGAGTAGCGATCCTCAGGCAATAAACATGTGCCGCCAAGAGCTGATCATACAGGGGATGGTTCAAAATCTCTGCTTTACACCTATCCCTCTCCCACTCATCGTTCAAAACCTCCGCCGCCGCCGCCGCAGCAGCCACCGCCGACGCCTCGCCGTTACTGTTATGATCTCCTCCGCCGCCGCTATTAGTACTCCCATCTTTAAACCTCTTATGCATATTCATGGAAGAAGAAGTATGCGGTGGAGATGGGTCGAGAGAAACGGGGCCCTCGTTGGAGGCCTGAAGCTGGTGGAGGAAATTACTGGTGGCAGCCACGTCGTCAGGCTGGTGGTGGTGGTGGTGGCCGTTTCCCCCGAGAATCAAGCTGTTGAGAAGCCAAGGAGGAGGAGATGGGTGGTTGCCGGCGGCGGAGGTAGGTGTATCCGGGGGGGAGTGAATAGAAGAACGGAGATGTTGATGGGGGTTATGGTGGTCGGAAGAAGAAGGAGGAGGAGGAGGAGGAGGAGGAGAAACCAAGTGGGAGTGGGGATGATGGAATTGATGATGATGATGATGAAGTTCCATTTCTTGTGAAGAACGAGAGAAGTGGTCCTCGTACTCCATTTTTATTTTTTACTATTTTTTTTTTAATCTTTTTCTTTTTTGTTAAACAAAAAAAAATAACACAATTATTATTGCTTCTTCTCCCACGACTCTTCCAAAGCTAGTTTTTTTTTTTTTTTTTTCTACAGCTCCGCCTACTAGGGGTCTATGGTGGTGTTTCTTCTGCTACTTTTTTTTGTGGTAGTTTGCTGTGAGAGTTCCACTTTTCATTTCTTTGAGGACTTTTTGAATCTCTTCGGTTTTCACCCTCTTTATATATTACTACTTCCTCTACAGTACTCTACTGTGTGATCATCGTGCGTGCTACGCTGTGTGATACTGTGTATACGTACAGTCTACGGTGTTACTACTTTGCAAAAGAAAGTACTGTAGTATACTGTAATAAATGCTGGTTTTCTTTTCTAGCTAGGTCGGCAGAAAGACAATTAAGGCGTGTTAATTATCCACTTGATTGTGTTTAAGCTATGAATTTGTGGCTCCATGAATGAGATGCATGAAGGAAAAAGATTTAAAAGATATATATTGTCTGATGAGCTCAATCTAAAAAGAAAATTAAAATTACGAAATGCATTTTAAACAATTTGAGAAAAAGGTGCAAAAGTCAATGGTGTTACATATAAAGAAACAGATGCCGAATTAGTTTCGGGATTAGGTACTGGTTGAACCTAGTTTTGTACCTTATACCATATTTTAAAGCTTAATCCTTTTTGGTTAAAGAAGATTCTTTCGAATGAATAATTATAATAGAGATGCTATTCTATTCTAATTTTTTTTGCTACATTATCCTTACATATCACTCCAAATACATGTTCACACGTATATATGATATATTTATGCATCGAAGCTCATTGTTGGATACAGAGTAGTATCGTTTTGAAGTACTCCAACTAACTTGATATATTAAAACGATTTATCAATTACTCGTAACTTTTAAAGAAAAAATAGTACTTTAATAATTACACTATTTATATTTCCAATCAAATTGGGGTCTAAGGTAACGTGTAGCCTAATAAAACTAATATGCACATCAAATTGGTTTCACCAATGCCCAGACAGAAAAATGCAAAAAAAAAAAACAAAAAAAATTAAAAAAAGGAAATGATTTTGTAGGCAGTAATTACGTTTGCAAAGCATTTTACTAGTGTTACAAACAAATCTGATGGGCCGTCCACACCTAATCCGAAGAAAAACAATACTACTAGTAACATTTGTCAATGCCCATTCTTGAGTGTGTGTCCCGAAAACAAATCTTATGTTGGTTAACCAAATATATTCAAATACTACTAGTTTACAATGATTTAATGGAAGACACATAAATAATTGGCGAAAATAGCAGACAAATCGAATCGTACATGTCTGATCCAATTGCAGTATCCATCCCGCTGCTTGTTTTCCAGTGCTTTACACAGAATCGGTTGGATGGCATGAAGGTGTTGCTTTCGAAATGTACGTATGTATGCAGTATCCACTGTGTGTCTGTGTGTTTGGATTTGTGACCTTTTTTTTCTCAATAGTTATTCATCATCTCTCCCCCCCCATCAAATCTTCTGCATATGTATACACTTTATTATTCGATTTTTGTGGAATTTAACACGCAAATACGCAAGGGAATGGGATCATAAAAACGGATGAAAGGAAAAAAAAAGTAGGCAGATGGATTAAGCCACGTGGTGATTTTACCATTTTCTTCCTTTTTACGTTAAAAAACTGGGCTTCTGGGGGGCTTGGTATGTCCGAAGGAGGAGGGGTCTACAACTTCTATTTTTTCCTTTTTTTTTTTTTTGCGTGTTTATTTTTCGATGTTTTCGGAGATGTGAGAGCGAATGAGACAAAATCCTATCATTGATTAGTGTCGGGAGAATGTATACATGTATGTATATACTCCGCCTTCCCGCCTTCCCATTTGTAATTTCCTTTGTCTCCTCCTAACGTCTGTCATCCTTTTTTCTTTTTTTTTCTCTGAAACAAAACTTCATTAAATTCCAAGTGTTTTACAAGTACAACCTTATTAGGAACAACCTAGTAGAAAGAGATTTTACACATTCTGTATATCTCTTGTTCAAAATTTCGCTATTACTAAAATTATTTCTGAATTATTTTGTGTGGTGTGACCAACGTAATCGTGAATAGGAATCGAATCCTAAAATTTTAAGGATTTAAGACGAGTACTTTTAAGCATACAGTATCACTTTTTTTCCAAAAATTTAAAAAAAAAAATCATGATTTCAAACACTGAACCTGTAATATATATATATAAAATCATAATATTGACTTCAAACGTCGTTTCTTTTGAAACAACGAAAGTGGAACAGGAGGGTAAAATGAGAAAACAAAAGGATGAAATTGATCAAGAAATGGTGACAGGCAGGTATAAGGGGTATAATGATGTGTAGGGGAGAACCTAGGAAGATGAGAGGGACAGAGGGCGGAAGCAGCAGCGATGGATGATCAACGCAGCTTTGATATGATACTGGAAACTGCAAATTTTTTCACTAGTATTTTTTTTTTTTTTAAAAAAAAAGGGAGCGTACGTTAGCGCGACGCTAGGCTAGGCTAATCTGCTTTTATTTTGGCTTCCCGCCCCACACACAGACAGACGTAGGTTGACAGCGACTTCAACTCCGTACCCCGCTTTACACGAGTCAGCCTCTCCCTCCCCCCCTCTGGACCACCCTATCTCTCGTAGGGACCATCCTCGATCACGCGCCGCTGATTAATTGCACCCAATTCTTCCCTACTTTCAAATTTATAATTTTTCATTTTGAAAAAGAAGTTAGGGTTAATATCAAAAAATTCCCCGAGTTAACTTCATTTTTTAAAATACCCTTTTTGTTTAAAGAAAATAAAAAAATATCCCCCAGTAAATGAGTAAATTATCAAAAAGTTCTTTTGATTACTGAAAATTGATGTATGGATGTGACGTCAGCGAAAAAGAAAAGATATTTGTACTCTCGAAAATAATTTTGTAATTTTCTTTCACTCTAATAAAATTTATTCCGCTGATAAGTTATTTCTAACCTTTTGAGACTTCATTAATTCAGTTGAGGCGTGGTTGTTTTCAAAACTTGTGAAAAAACGGATTTTCGATTTAGAAATTGTTATTCAATTTGATTTTATTTAAGTTTAGAAAAAATTCATAGAAAGTTTGTTGGGAGTACAAGTGCCTTATTGACATTTTTTTTTTTGGACTGACTACATATTTATAATCAATTTCCGGCCATTAAAAGAAAATTGATTATTTTTATATTTCTTCAAATAACAAGGGCATTTTAGAAAAATAAGTAAGTATGGGGTGTTTTGGATATTAGCCCAAGAAGTTAATATTACTAGTTGAGGGGAGGGGCCAACTCCTGGCTCTATGAGTCTGAAGTCTGAACTCTCGGCCACGACTTTTTTGCCTTCATGACTGCCGGCGGCTGAACTTTGGCAGGGTAGGGGGGCTCGTCGGGATCCCGAGAAATTAAATAAATTCACGCTGCCGCGGGCTGTGCCAACAGTGGAAGAGTTTTTGTAGTACTGGACTTGGTGCGTATAGGATGGGAAGTGGGACCGGTTGGTGGTGGTGTTTGTTTGTTCAGTTCTTTCATCTTTGGGGCTGAAAAAGAAAAGCTAGGAAATACTACTAGTAGTCAGTGGGCCTGGGGCGTGACCCTTTGGCGACTGTTGTTGTTGCCCGGCAAAGCTGTGTTGTTCGTCGTCTCTCCACGTGTCGTGTCCTTCCCAACTGGTCCCCCTACCTACTCTCAAATCCCCGTCTTCTCTGCCGTCACTCCGACGGCATAGTTCCTTCTTTAATTTCAACCAAAATCATGTTACATTTACATTAATTTGAAATATTATTTCAGTGTACAAAATTTTGTAATGGAGCGAAGCATAATAAATTAAGAATTCAAAAAAGAAAAAAGAATCCAACATTGTCATATTCCAACAAAACTTTCATTTTGTTGATGATAGCACAATTTCTTATCCATAATATTCATATCACATCTAATGGTTGCTTCGGTTACCAAAAGGATGTCACATTGATTCGTACAGTTTTGATGAAGACAGATGGAAACTTCGTAGGTTTTGTATGATACTCCCTCCGTCTCATAATTATTGTCCAATTTGGGTTTTCATTTTTAGTTCAAACTGTACTAAAAGTGAAACATCAAAGTGGACAATAATTTTAGGACGGAGGAAGTACTATTTTGGGAATCTTTTACGAACAATCAAGATAAAGAGGGCGTGATATTATTATAGCTTTACATGAGGACACATTTGCTCTTCTAAAATCAGTGTCAACTGTCAACAAAATTGTTACTCATGAATAGTGTCTCCGAGATTATTACAAAAAGGTTACTTGGAAATCGGAACTCCAAAGAATCAGGCAATGTGAATCTGATGTGATCACTATTTAATTAAAGTGGACCAATCTTCTTCTCCCTCATAAAAGTCAGGATCGCTTAATTCAAACTCGTAAGTTTCGTCAATAGTGTTTTGTTTTGTGAAGTACTAATAAATTGCGATTGATTGAGATTTGTGTGTGTGTGTGTGGGGGTGTTGAAGGAGGGATCCAAAGACTGTTTTTTGATTATCGCCTGTTTCCAAACACTGTAATCCGATCTGGGATTTTATTATTTTTTTGGTCCGACGTCAAATCAAACAAACAGAGCCTTAGAGACCCTGAACTTCGTACGTAATTTCAGTAGAAAAAAGGGGGGGAAGATAATAATTGGGCTGGAAAGTGGAAAGCAACCTTATTAATTTCTTAGTCAAATCCAATGTAGTAATGTACAAAAAGGTGTTGTACTACTACTACTACTACTTACTTACACCTAAGTCAAGCTGATGGGAAAGAAGATAATCATACTTAATTCTATCCTTGTTAACTCTGGGAGACAACTAGACATAATTAAAAATGTAGCAAGATTTTTGGCTTGGATTGCGTTTAGGAAGGTAAGATTATCGTATTAAAAAAAAAAAAACAACTTTAAGGGAAAGAAGGGATCATGGAGCATATTTTACCATCAACGAATGACCATTTCACAGTTTCTTGTTTTCACTCGAAAGCAACTACTTCGAAACTCCTTTCTTTAGTCATTGCAGGCACGTCCATTTGATTCAATTGAATCTCGATGATTCATAAGTTGTCGCGAAGCTCTTAATTTGTTAATACTTTTGCGAATTGTGCGATATGACGAGTTTTGAGTGCATCGTTAAGTTAAAAAAAAAAGAAGAAAAAAAACAAAAAAGAGTTGAAGAAGTGCTCATCAACATCATCACCCCGGTGGTTTAATATATATGGACATGGCGGCTGCATTGCTCATCCAAACTCCAAAGTCCAACCTTTTAGCGTTTGCTGAGTGCTAAGTCTATGGAGATCCTCATTATTAAAAATAACATAATGTACCATATATGGTTATAGTCGTGGCGATGCCTAACTTATTCCATTTTGTCTTTGAAAAAGTAGTACCCTGTTCCTTAACCTTTTGAATGAGATTTCATGTCTTTTAGCATGATTACCACTTCCTTAAATTTGAAAATCTCCGTTAGAGATTAGTCTGAAAGTCTAGACTCAGATGATGTCTTGTTCCCATTGATCAAATGTGATCATTCGACTAGGTAATTCCGGAAAATCAATATCAGAATCCTTAATATTAATATCCTGAAGACTGTAACGAAAATAAAGAATAGAAAAGGATAATGGAGAGGGGCCAAATTCCAGAGAACCATCCTCGTTGCTGGATTGGGGGTGGTCCCTGTTTCTTGTTCATATTTGCACTTAAGTAATTACTATTGATTCTGTATAACCATTTTCTTAGATTCTCTTTTAACTTTTGAAAGGAACTGGTTTTCTTTTTCAGTTGAAAATACTGATCGGAACCATTTAAAGTATGTGTCTTTAGTGATTGTCTACGATGGCAATCTTATAGCAAACCTCCTGTACTCATCGTCCTGTGGAGTACAACTTTTTGGTGTAAACTTTGGCATCTCAAAGCCCTCACACCAGCTTGTTTAAAGCCTTATTGTTCTCACCAATATTTGTCAGTGGTCCCTTTTACTCTTTTCATGCTCATAATTCACTACCCATAATGTACACAGAATTCAGAGGTTTCATTCATTCACTATGCATATATACATACATACAGAGACAGAGACACAGAGAGAGAGCTTCTTTTTGCAGTATTTTTAGCGCTTTTCAATGAAGGCCCTGTTGCTGTTTATCATCTTACAAGAAGAGGTTGATTGCTGTTCCTCCTTGTTTATTTACCTCTTATGACATCTCCAACAAGGCCCCTGTTTGGCAATGTTGGTAGTGGTCCCTTTCCTTTGTACTTGTCGATTTTTATCTCCTTCTTATCATCATCATCGTCAACTAATAATAATGGTCATCAACATACACAGTTCTCGGGTCGGTGGAGCCCCATCTAATCCCTTCCTTTCGTTCCGAGTTTCAACTTTCAATGTCTCGCCAGCACGCTTCAAGGACCCGGTGCTGGTAGGTTAACCAATAAAGCTTTGTAGAAAATATGGTCCAATCTCCAAAATACACTGTAAAAAAGATGATACTATTTGCAAAAACAAGTGTTTTTAAATTTTCAATCACCTTTTTGTTTGCTGATGATGCAACATACAATGGGATAGCTTGGTTCCGGGCATCCACATATTCTTCTTGACTAGGTTCTTGGATGACTTCTTACAAATACCAATTTTTTCTATAAGGCAATCACACTCCTAATAAGAGTATAAGACAGCTCTATCTAGTAGTAAAGTTTTACAAATTTCAACTGCTCCCATTTTGGTTCATGATTCCAGTTTGTTGCTCTTGCTCCTAAACTGAAGTCAAACCTAGACTACATCATCATAGCGGCAAGGCGAAAATGATCAATCAGCAACAATATGATCCAGTAAAATTATTGTACAGAATTGAAAAGGTGCGTGGGCTTTTCTACACTAGAATTTGGCATTATGAGGCCTGTCAATGACACTCCAAAATCCAATCTATTTTTGCTTCCACCCCATGTAAACGCAAAGGGCAGATATAACAAGAAGAAAAAAAAAATAGTAGTTCCATGCGTCTTATTATATACTCCTGTTCTTGAAATGGGAAGAAATTTTCCGTATTTCCAAATGTAATGTAATGTACAGGAAATTCTATGACCAAGTTTATTACAAGAAAAACAATAGGATCAGCTCAGCGGAAAATCTCGCTGGATACAGAATTTTAGTTAAATGAATGCACAGATTAAGGAAGAGTAGGGGAAAGGGTGGGCTTAGCGACTTTTAATTCTCCACAATCACTGATGTAAACAGTTTTTAAAGGCCTATTCCAGATTGATCGAGCATTCTTTGCTCTCTCATCTCCAAGAAACTCAGCTAGATCGTTGTACTGCCGGATTCTCTCTGCTGGTTTATACGTTGGGATGGCTGATAATGTCGCCACCACATCCATCCCTATAACAATCATAGTCAAAATCACTGAGTTAAACCAACTAATTTGCAGCTGTTCATAAGTAGCAAAAATCTTAAATAGATTGAATCTTGAACTCAAAAAGTGTTAACTTGCATCAATTTCATACGTACAACAGAACAGCATCAATTAAGCTAATATACAAAATGAAAGTAACCCTTCCCAGTATTTTTTTAATAGACAGAAATTAAGAGATTGACATCTGACAAACCTTCAAGCACAGAACCAAATACTATGTTCTTGTAATCAAGCTGAGGGCAGGGTCCAGGTCCAGTAGTGATCATGAACTCGACATTATGATAATTGGGATCCAACTTAATGTTATCCTCGTCATCATTCTCCGACAAACACAACGACAACACGCCTCCTTTCGAATGCTCCAACTTGAAAGCCTCGGAATTTATTGTTTCAGAATTGGCAGTCAACTGCAGAGGCGGCGTAACCTCTCCTTTATCTTTCCGGCCCTGTTTCCCGGCAAGAATGAACTGACCCGGGAATATTTTCTGTACCAGGGTGCCCTTGTAAGTGGACCCGCAAGAGCCGGTGCACATGGCTTTGAAGTTGGATACAGTAATTGGGACGAGATTTCCGTACAGCCCCAAAACAACGCGGCCCAATGGCTCAGAGTCTGTGCAGAGGGAGAGCTCGTCGCCGACGGAGCGATTGAGGAAGTAAGAAGGGCAGATGCTGAAGTCCATGAAGACTCTGTCGGTGATGGTGGTATCAGGCGGCGGCGGTGGTGGGGAGGCGAGGGAAGTGGAAGAGATGGGAGTTTGGAGGGAGAGAGAGGTGGATAGAAAGAAGAGGGAGCGGCGAGTCAACTGGTGTTTGGAGATGATGGGGTGATAATTCCGGCGATGAGGAAGGAGGGGAGAGGAAGAGAGAGTGGTGGTGCAGCCCATGATTACGACGGACGGGCATGGCGGTGCTGGTGGGAGACGAAAGAGAGATCGATGGCAGGGGGAAGGCAGAGGGGAAACGCATGGGATTTTTCAGCGCCACACAATTCGTTCCGGTGGGGTCTCCAGTACGATTCGGATAAAATGGAGAAGAAATTATTCGAAAGCGCGGATTCATTAGCAGCACAAAGATAACGCCTCTGATTTTGCTAGTCCAAAAGCGCAACAACGACCCGATATACTGCGCACCTATAAACTATACTTCCATTTTGTTTGAATCATTTTTCCGATAGCTCTTTTTTTCCCTTTCCTATTTTTAAATTATTAGGCTCGGTTCGTGGGAGCCGGCAAGGTGTATTCGTGTGTGTTTTGGGTGAAAATAACCGTAAATGCACTTAATTGTAGCAATTGAAACTATGGCATTGGACCGGTAAAACCTGTAGATAAGATAAATATTTATAGGCTTTTTGGTCAGTTAACATCTAAATGACCGTGGATGCCATTAACTGTAGCAAATATTGTTTTGAATTAGTCCGGTTTTGGTCGTAAATAATACATCTGTCGTTGGTTCTTTCGTCATATCAGTGTCTTGTCACATCACTGTTTCTTGCTTTTCTCCATCATGTGTTGCTATAGAAAAAAAAATCAAGAATTAAATCTCTTTTCATGTGAATTTCAATAAAAAAATATATGTTAATTCATATTTTATAGCTCTTATTTTTATATATATATTTTAAGTCATTATTAATTTATGACATTGACTGAGCCTACATTTACATAAGAGTTTACTGAAAAATTATTATTTTATTATTTTATCGATTACTTTTGGTTTTACTGGTCCCGAATTGAGATCGGAGAAAACTATTAATTTATAGATACTTTTAATTTATCGATTATTAATTTATAGATGTTTTACCGTAACTCTCTCAATCCCGGAACAATTGTCCAAACTAGTTTGTAACAAAGATGAACATCAAAAGTTGGCAATCATTTCGGATAAGAAGAAAAATACTCCCTCCGTCCCATAATTATTGTCCTGTTTGGGTTTTTACTTTTAGTACAATTTGAACTAAAAATGAAAACTCAAACAGGACAATAATTATGGGACAGAGGGAGTATAATTTACTAACAATTGCTCAACTGCGACGGGAGATGGATGGACATTGATTGGTATTCTAAATCAAGCTGATCCGTGAGCCAGTACATGATGTGATCTTCTCTCTGAGGTATTGTTTTGGAACTAGTAACTGAAACTGGAATTTCTGGAATCCCAACACATAATTTATCTACTAGAATTAATGCTTTTGCAAAGCCAAAATGCCGTGTATCTGATATCTAGTGTATATATGGGACCAAAATTCATGAAAAAACATATACAAACTCCCTATTATCTAGCTAGGTACAAAAATATGTTCACATATTATACGTATATTGGCTCATCATAGCACAGTTTTCACTCTGATCAACTTCATGGTATTTGGGCCAAGGAATTCCTATTGAAATTAAGAAGAGTATACTGGGAAGATACAAATTTGGGAGAGGAGAGATACAAGGAACATTTGGCCAAAGACAGTGATCTCTTTAATGTCAATGACATACTCATCTTATTACTCCGCAAACAATCGGCATTTTTCAGGCTGTGGAGTGCGCAGCTGCAGTTGCGGTGGTATGGCCGGCGCCGGAGTCCAGTCGGTTTGGATAAGCTCCCGGCGGTTAAGGCGCACGACCAGAGTAAGATGCGTAAACTTTCGATACTCATATCGATCATTTGCCAACTTAATTACCCTGGTGCGAGCTGGTGTTAGTACTTAGACTTTGTAGTAGTAAATTTCGTTCTGTGTTATGTATTTATATATATATCGGAGTTTAATGCGAATGGAACTGTGGAAGTGTACGTTTAGTGATCATCGCCCAACAGAAATACATACCTCGTGTTTTATACATACCTGTGGAAGTGTACGTTTGGTGTCTCCAAATTTACGCGAGGATTATTAAGTCGTAACGGTGCTACCGAGAAAACATTTGTACTCATGCGCTGAGAAATAAGAATCTCCTCAGATTTGGGGTATGTTTCGAGAGATTTCGTTTTTTGTACTGTTACACTTAATTTGCTTTAAGCATTTGATTAAGATGGTCACTGATTCATGTATATTATTTTGAACATAATAATTAAAAGATTTAACGGATAATTTTACAGAAAAAAAGGAAAAATTTCTGTCGTTTGGATCGAATTAGTTGAGAGAAAAGAAACAACAAAAGAAACTTGAAAAAGAATAAAACAAAATGTGCCTTATGCTGTTTTCGTTACATATAATGTCGAACCTAATAATCATAACTATGCTGGATTAGTTACAAGGTAAACGTTTACTTCCTCAACACCACAAATTCACAATGCCCACGCAGAACGAGATTTTTTGTTACTCTTCATGTCAAAAATAAAAATAAAAAATTCATTTTTTTATATTCTTTTTGCTCCATAAAATAGACTATTTTTATAGAAAGAAGTATTTTTCTTTATATAAAAGACCCAAAACAAGTTACAAACAAATTCATTGACTCCTAGTATACGTTATATAATTCGTCATCGACGCATTTCAGTTGTTCTTTGCAGTGTAGTATGCGTTACTTCCTATGTATGTTGGAGTACATAATTTCCCTTCTTTTTTTTTTTTTTTTTCTGAATAGGAATCTTCAAACAAACAATTTCTTCCATATATTCAGTACATGAGAATTTGGAAAATATTCAATTTCTCCAAAATGGCTATGAAAGTATAAACTACAGAACTCTGAAAATAAAATACTCTACAATAGTCTACATTCTAAATGGCTATGGAGTAATAATTTTCGCTCTCAACTCTTACATTCGAAATGTGCTACATTTTCTTTAACTCTTCATTATTAACCAAAATCACTCCTTATCTTTCTTAAAGGAAAATTTTAAAATCAGAGGAGAAAAAAATCCAAAAATTTGTGTCTGTGGGGGAAAACAATTTACGCTGGCTCCAAGTTTTAGACTTTGATTACGTAGTAACCACACAATGTAGCATGTATGTAAGCTTATAGACCTATCTTTACAAATTTTTTTTAGTGATGATGAATTTAGGATGCATCAAATTCGAGTGGACAAATTTTGGCGTTGTTACTGAAGTAGCTAGTGGATCAATATGAAGCGAAGCAAACACACACACACGCGTGCGCGCGCACAGAAGAAGAAAGAAGAAAATGCTATAAAACAGAGCAAAACAGAGCTTGCTGTTTAACTTCCTCCTTGCAAATGAACATTATCTACGTACATTTCTTTTCTTTTTTTTTTTGCTTACTGCACAAAATTTACATAACTGAAACAATTTGCTCAGTTTGAACTTTGATGGACACTTTAATGTACTAGGTTAATGACTAAAGTGAAAAATGAGGGGGGAAAAAGGGGAGGAACTAACCGGTCCTAGCTAGAATCTTCATCCGTACGAGGAATCCTCGTTGTTATTTAATCTATATACTCTCGTAATTTGCCGACCAAAATGATCATCTCTGTGACCTTAAAGAAGATGGATTTGAAACTGCACAAGTAATGGACACTGCGGAACCGGCAGCATTAGGCTTCTTCGGAAAAGCAATGCTGTGGTGATGGGAACAGAGCATAACCGTGTTTGAATATTGTTTGGATTGGTGAAGAGCACAGCTGCAGTATCGGTGGTAAGGCCTCCTTTCTTTTTCGGTATCGTATAACGGAACGCTGATGCAGTGCAATGCTAATAATTTGCTTGCTCCGGCGTTAGCCATTTCTATTAGCCTCTTCCCTTTTCTTTTTACCGAATTCTCTGGTTTTGTGTGCTTGAGAGTTTAGTAAAAAGAAAGGGTTTCTTTTGCCATACCAACTTTGGTAAGGTTTTTATAGTAATCAGGCATTATGAATGGGTGGTTTAGTCTATGGGAAATGCGTGACGATTCCTAAGGCGAAAGCATTGAGCGTGAGTCCTGACGAAGTTCAAGAAAGACTTAGGTAACGTATCTCTCTTGTTTGTGTAGTTAGGTTTGGAGGTTGTGGAAAGTAAACGTTTTTTACTAGGTTTGTTATTTAGTTGACTCAGGGGAATTTGGAAAATCCTCTGTTTATTCCGGGCTTTGTAAGAACACATACAAAATCTTACACACGCAGAAGAGACAAGTAAGGGAGAGGAGATCGTTGTTTTAGAAGGAAGTGTTTCTTTGTTGTACTAAATTAATTAAATGATCTAGAAATTTTCAGTTTAGGATCTTAGACTCTAGGGTTCTCATTTTGGAGGTTTCCGGAAATGGGACCCTAAATGCACTTAGTTAAGCGTAAACTCGTTTTTTTTTTTTTTGGCTTTTCCTGTTTTTCACTTTTATGACAAACTAGCATCGAAACTAAGCAAGGGATTTCTCATCTGCGCTCTTCGAAAAAAAAGAAAAAAGGATGAATAGGTGTATGTATGATTGTGCCTGTGTCAGCGGCGATTATGTGAAATGAGAACCGATTGATTTAGAGTTGGCTTTGAATGCTGTTCTATTTCTGTTTTGTAGCTAGGTTAATATAAAGTGAGAGTATTAATCTTCTTTTCGTGCTCAAAAAATGTACCTGTGTGATTTTCGTCGCTGAAATTCCAGAAGGCATCATGATTAAATTAAAGTAATACTTTTCCACTCTCAATTCGAAATGAAGAATCCTGATTTTTCTTGGTACGTAAAGAAAGTTCTTGCAGCATACATAAAGCGACTTTGAGATCTCATTTCTTCTAGCAACAAAATTGGAGAATAGGAAAAACAATGTTGATTTCCGGTTTTTTGTAATTTCATATTGTCTATATATGTTTATATATATATATATATATTACGTATTTAGTGTTCGAAGTCATTGCAGGTAAAAAAAAAATGTATAAAATTGGTAAAGGTAAAGACGAGTTAAGTAATGCCTAACAATGGGAAAATGTTGAACCAATCAGAATTATGTGTAGATTGCGAAAGGGTGATTTTGTATAATAAACATGCAACTTCGCCCAACATAACTATACAATCAATTCAATTCCTGATTAATGCGTTTTTCCGTTTTTTGACTTAGGAACCTGAGGCAGAACAAAAGAGAGCTAAATTTGTAGTAATATCGTCAATCAAGTTCTTTAGCAAATTTCCCTTGTGATCTCTTCTCTACCCAGAATATACAACATAGTTAATAAACAGGAGAATAGTAGTTCGAAGCTCTTACTGACAAGGAGGAATAATTAGATGATGCGCAACAGTCTAATTTCTTGGTGAATGATACATTTTGAGGGTGGAAACAGCTCTTGCTTGTGTTCACGTAATCTTTTAACTTGTGCAGAGCACAAGTACAGCGACGATGATAAGGTCTCCTTTCTATGTTCGTGTTACAAAAGGATAAGACTCCATCAAAAACATACTGAACAATTGACAGGCTTCCCCCGTTGGTCATTTTCTTCCCAAACTGATTCCGTAATTGATCCTGTCTTGTACGATGAATATGTTGTAGTTATGATCTAAATTCTGAAAGGATTTATAGTTGAATGTTGATGCTTAAGGTGTTAGCTGTAATTATTCTTCTTATTGGAGTTACTTTGGTAACAAAACCATAAGAAAAAACAAAGAGTTGTTCCTTAAATCAGATGTCCTGTTTCCTGCACTTTGACTCTTTGAGGCCTGTTCATAATGGTGATTGATGTAAGAAGACATAAAAGCATTTTGGAACATATAGTTTTGAGCTGACTTTAATGGCTTCGTTTGTTTCTTTGCTACATTTGGAACGAAGGGTCGTCTGCATTTTACATTTCTGACGAGGAAATCCATGTGTCCTCAAAACGCCAGTAAGCTTGCTGCTTAGCCTCAAAATCATTTCTTTATGGACTTCGATGAATCATGGTCCTAACAAAATGTGTGTAATCATTCCCCAAGTCAATTTGCGCATATAAGTTTTGCTGAATTTGACTCACAAAGTGCTTCAGGAATAGTCTATGCATAGCTAATAAGATTGTAGCTCTTGAAAGAGTCATCTTGATATAATGATATCTGACTGAGAACACTCATATCTTGGTGATATGTCACTCCGCAGTATCAGTTTGACTCCGAATTCGTCATGAATCACGATAATCATGGGATAATTCCCAAAATTGAATGATCATTTCTCAAAGCCATGATGCGTGCCAAATTTCAGTTTAACTAATTTTGGGGTCAACTAGTATAATCTTGAACAAAGAAAAAGAAAAACAGAGTCTGTTGTTTGGGGTATGGTTTCTCGTCGAATCTCCACATAGTACGCACCGCAGTAACATAAACTTCGATGAAGTGGAGAATTTGTCACGTTGTCTGTTCTAACAACAATTTTTGATTCTGTATCCCAACTAAGTGAAGGGAAAAAAAAAAAAAAAAACAGCAACTACATAGTTAACTTAAGCAGAAGCAATAATAAGTTGTGAAACATAGGAATCAAACTCAAACTCCTCAGTATATAGATACAATCCATGATTGACATTCATAATGATTCGTTGGTTTGCACTTTGCTACTTGTGTTGAAATGTTGAAAACGTTTCCTTACAAATTCACTAGTCAAATTCAAGCAGCCCCTGAAATGTTTTCTTCTTTTTTTTAAAAAAAAATTTGGAACCCATCGTTATCAGTTACTATCACTATTACGTTATACCCAAACTTTTTTTTTCTCTAAAGCGATATTCATTTCATAGCATAAAAAAACCAACAGGAGCCTTTACAATGTAGTAATACGATATAAAAGTTGCAGAATGATAGTAGTTATTAATTAAGCGAAGGTAATTTGGGAAGAGATATTTATTCTTCTGCAGTCTATTACCTCAAATATGATTGGTCCGTCATTCAAAGAGTTGAATTGAATTCACAAGATTGGCATTTCACTATGGATATTCCGCAGCTACAAGTCCACGGTACAAAGTACAAACTACAAACGTCTCCAGGAATATTAATTTGTTTGTAATCTCTCTTTCTTAGATTTATTTGCTAGAGAAATCAAAAATCATTTGATAATCGTGCATCATCGTATGTGTTCTGGTTCACTGAGAGTACGAAATTGACGTGACAACTGTACCTTATGCATAATGTATTACGAATCACAAAAATTCACCTGATTGTTGCTTCTTCCTTCTAAGAACATAAAAGCAAAAATAATAATAATAAGAAGAAGAAGAAGAAAAGAAGTAAGTGCTCCAAGTCTGCAACAATGATTCACAACTGCTCATTAATTTAATTCATTTTTATATCATTATGTTGTAGATCATGAGTACGGTGAACTAATCTGTACTGGTACTACTAGTTACAAGGATCTGCACCACCAACCTGGGAAAAATAATGCACCCACGTTGCTGGTAGCCCGAATTAACATGGCTGCAGGTGGTGCCCCAGAGTTCTTAAAAATATCTTTTCTTCCTACGAGTAGTATTTTACAAGGGGGAAAAAAAATATAGTTATATTAAGAGCCCCACGGCCCCAGCAGCAGTCGGCAAAGAAAACCGAACCCCCCACAGACAGATTCATGAATTGCGTCAGTTAAATTAACAGTTCTTTTTTTTTTTTTTTTTTTGGTTCACTAATAAAAGTACGAAAGAAATTCATTGAAAGTGGAAGTGGAACCGTGACAGAAATCAGAAGAAAAAAACAATTAACATGGCAAACCGACCACGTGGTATCATCTTCCTAAAGCCAAGAATGCCTAATTTGTTTTCCACGATTCCAAATCCAACAAATTTATTCTCATTTTTTTATGTCTTCATTCCTAATGTGCCAAAACTTTTTCTTCCCAATGTTAAAAGTAGACATGAATATGAAATCCAGGTTGAATATGTATTATTCATCGAGCAGTGATTTACTTTATTAAATATTCTCTCTATTCTAAAATAATTATAAAGTTTACATTTCACTTTAAGTTTAATTTATATTAAAAATAAAAATCTAAACTGAGTAATAATTTTAAGAGAGAAAAAGTATAATTAAAAAAATAAAAAAATAAAAAAACTTTTCTTGTTGCACATCCTCGTTGGACTCAGCCCTCTTACGAAATATAAGAGGGAAATCAAACAAGAAAACCAAAAATACCAAAAGAAAAAAAGATGGAGAAGAAGACGCTCAAAAATACCAGGGTGCCCCTCGCATGTCTTTCTCTCTGGCCTGCACGCTTTACGTTTTTTACTTTTCTTTTTCTTTGTTTTCCCCTTTTAATTCGGTCAACACTTAACACTCAACAACAACACAACATAAATTCGCACTTTGCTTCTCGTCGCAGTTTTTTTCTTTCCAGCTGGAAACTGGGATTCATGAGATGTCACTTGACCGCAATCTGGCCCTCTTGTTGTCCATTATTATGGTATAACTATAAAGGAGGAGACCAAATTAAGTGAACAAATTTCTGGTTAACCGTTTTGAAGATACAGCTGCAAACCACAGTATCTAATTATAATCCACTGAAATTCAAACAAACAGTAAAGTTTCAGCCTTTCGGCTCTCACCCAGAAACGGCTATATTTATTTCGCGTGGAAACATACTGTAAAAATGATGTAATTTCGTCGATTGACATTTCTGATTCCAGAACCAGAACAGGGCAGCCAAATCGCCTGAAGACCTCATTGACACAGGGAAAACAGGGGAAAAGGATACATTTTTATCATTCAATCATTTGTTCTATTGATTATGAATGAATTTGCTTGTTAGTTGATCTACCATTTTCCGAACCAGAATTTACAACAAAGGAAATGAAAAAAAAAAGAACGAAGAAAGGAACCGTCAATTCTAAAACTTCTCGGCAAAAATCTGTTACTTCCTTAAAAAGTCAACCTGAATTACAAGACCAAATTATTTGACAGAACCAGAAGAAGAAAAAGAATCACAACATTAAAATCTACATCAATCATCACCACAATCATCTTCTTCTTTACAAAGAAGCAAATGGGATCTCCTAGTCTCGGCCGAAACTTGACCCAACGCCGGCGAAGAGGAAGGCGACGGCGACGAATTAGCAGCCGCCATTAAAGACAGACAGCTCTCGCTCCAAGATCGCCGAATCGGGTACGACACGTTGTTGTACTTGGAAGAATGCGAACAGTGACCCTTTGATTTGTGCAAAGCGCAGCTGCAATTTTTATGGTAAGGTCTTCTCTGGATCCCCAAATCTTGGCCGGAAATGCAGCCGTCAAAAACACCCCGGAAGATTCCATCTCCGGCTGCTGCTCCGGTGGCCATCTCCGTCTCTTAAACCACCACCACTACCAACCAATCAAGATGGGTTTTTTGATTTGATTTAACGTTGTTCGGTGGGTGTCTCCCTTTTAATTTTTGATTTTAGAAGGTGAGCGGGGGTCTGGTGAAAATACAGGAAAGTTATATATAGCGGAAATGGCGAATATTTAATTGAGGGAATCTCTTCTTATATATGACACCAAAATTGCAAATAATAAAAAATTATTTTACAATTTTTTTTTTAAAAAAAAAAGGAAGAAAAATGGCTGACGGAAAAAAAGATGTAACAGCGGCAAAAGCGCGGATTTATGTGGTTTGTTAACACTATCACGGCATTAGCGTTTGTAACGAGTTCTCAAATCCCCGAAATTTCTGGGACTCTTTTTTATACTATCATAATTAAAAAAAAAAAAAGTAGTAATACTAGTGTAATTATCAAGCTGTGATTTATTTATGACTTTACCATATGTGTGATTCCACTAGTTCCACTTGCGTTATTACTTGTAATCTGCAAACCGACTAACCGAGTGATATTTATTGTGAAGGCAAATAGTACTTGTTGGATCAACTGGTTATGAACTTGGTACTATGAATGTTGTTAATACGGAAAACGATGTTAAAGATGTCTTTAATTAATTTATATGTAAAGGCTTCATTCCAAGTTGAACAGTAACTTGATCAAAAATGTGATTTAGCATCCGTGATAGTTTGCAATTTTTGTTTAGCGTAATAATTATAATAAAATGAAAATGTAATTGGTTTGGGTCTTTTTTTCCCTTCTTTTCAATTTTGGTTCTGTATCCGTTTGGGTATTATTCAAAGAATTAAGAAAAAAAAATGATAATGCGTTTATAGTCATGTAATTCTGCTTCATTCCTCAAAATGATTGTCATATTGCGTACAATAAATAATGCAATTATGTTAGAGGTCACAGTAAAATAGTGATATGAGTCTAATATGATCGAGAATAAAAAAGTACTTCTTTCGTCTCATAATTATAGTCTAGTTTGATTTTTTATTTCTAATTCAAACTATACTAAAAGTGAAATCTCAAATTGAACAATAATTTTGGACACAGGGAGTAATTGAAAGAAAAATAAATAAAGAAAAGAGAAAGCGTGAAAGAGAGCTTTCTCCACCTAACAAACCTCTCTGCTCACACACAAGACACAAACAGTTGTAAATCATGCAGGAGTCCAAGACAAAATTGAGTTGGGGAATCTTTACTTCGATGGACTGCCAAATGTATATATGCCCAGAGATCCATGCCAACAAAAACCTCAGATTAGCGTAAATGACAACGCCACTATTACCGTCCGCTTCCCTGCTGCTTTCTCTCGTCCCCCAAAGCTGCATGCGTGTTTTTGTTCCAATTGAATTTGCTCTATTGTGTCATACATGAGCTTTGTCCCATCGTAATTGAAAATGAAACACGACAATTACATATATTCCCTCCGCTCCTGAAATTATTGTCCAGTTTAAATTTTTATTTTTAATATAAATTAAATAAAAAATGAGATCTCAGGCTGAACAATAATTTTGAGACGGACTATTAGTTTATTTCATGTTAGTAATATATAAGTATTCTTGATGTACATTAAGAAACAAATACATAATAATACTCAAGACATGATAGTGAATAAAACATGGATATTTATTAGGATAGTATTCTATTCCGGTATCTTCTTATTTGGATCAATCTTGATTAGTCGGAATAATATTTTTAGACATTGACAGTACATGTATTATACCGAAATGCAAAAATAATCTGGAGGAAATTAAAAAATAAAAGACCGTCATTTATCACAAGTTTTGTACATGCACGAGCAATCGTTGTCACATTGTCATTCCAAACCATGTTACAACAAAATGGTTAAGTATCAGCCACGATAGATTAGAGCAAAAGCCAAAAGAGTTTAGATATTTCCTCCAACAAGAAAAAATAACCCTCTTTTTGGACAATTGTAAAGAGCTTAACAAATTCCCATAGAAAATTCCAAAATGAAGTTTCTTTGAGACAAACTTTTGGAAGCGTGCAATTAACAAAATGTTTACCGGTATATGTTGAAAGTTGGAGACTATAAATAGCAAAACACTTTGTTATTATAGATTGTTTTAAATTAACAAAATAAATTACTTTATCTCTAAAAAAAACAAAGTTCACGTTAAACTTTTTTTATATATTAATAAACACTCCTTTTGGCCTGTAAAGAAAAATATTTTCATCTATATAAAAAAGATAGTCCTCATCAACAAAGACTATACTCTTTCTCTACCAAAATAATATTAAGGAACCATGGGATAACAAATTTGCTGCTCCTTCAATTCTAGCATTTCCTCATCGTTTAGCACTTAGAATCCTAATTCCTAACTACCTTACCTGAAAACAAACTTGCATGGAACAAGCAATGAATCGTTCATCCACGCTTACCAAAATTTATAGATAACCTTGATGAATATGAAAATCTGAACAAGTTTAGGTTATTGTATTAACAACTTTCTCCATACTCACCCCCAAAAAAAAAAAAAAAATAATATAGTTATTTGCCTACTAAGTGAAGATTATCATGGTATGATCTGAAAAACTACATTAGCTTTGATTGGAACTTTTTCAAAAGGTTTTTTTTTTTTTTTTCCTAGCACATCTTGCTTACACTTTCGCAAAATATTTTCCACATTTCCAGAGGTACTAACTACTCCACTTAATCAACTAAATCTTATTTCTTCCTAGGTATTTTTAATAAACTTCAATAACTTTGGATGTTTATTATATGATCGTCATTGATTTTTTTTTTTTTAATAAGTGAAATCGTTCAGTGATTTCCGGGACCCGCTTCCTTAGCCTACAGTCAAGAATCAAGATCCTTAATTAGGCACGTTGTTATGCAACATTATTTATTGCATGATAATGACTATTTTTTTTTTCCAATAGTTAATCAGCAGATCGGGTTTCAAACTTTCAATTAGTCATCCTAGACAAATTATAAAACTTATACTAATAAGAATTCATCATTAAGCAAATGACGTTCATTCGTGGAAAAAAAATTACTAAGAAAGAAAAAGATAAATAATAGAAATCAATTGGTCCCGTTGGCCATATTGGCCATATTTTCTTTTCCCGCATTGATGTCCATCGTGAATAATAATAATAATTAACTATATGCTTGGCCTGGACATATGCCCGAACGCCCCTTCTAAATTACTATTTTACTAAAATCTAATTGAATTACTATTTTTTAAGGAATTAATTTGGCGTATATATCATTTATGCTATGGTTTGGGGCTTAAAAAAATATACCTATAAATCTGAGGTTATAAGGGAATAATAAATAATTAGTTTATAAGGTATTATTCTTAATTGCTGGATTTAGGTATTTTTATTTTTTGTTTATATTAAGCCTGTAAAATTATACGATTGGACATTTGAATTTGAATTAATATATCCATTCGTTTGAAATGTAACTGATCCTTATTTGTAGTAAAACATGCGTTTTTTTTTTAAAAAAAAATTATATAGCTTCTAATTAAAAGAGACTTACACGTGACAAAAAGACTTCTGAACTCTGAAATATGTTGCATTAGAGCCAAAACAGATGCATACGTAGTTGCCACATAAGTTTCATGTCTTCTGTTTTAATAAGATAATATATATAAAAGGGATCTCTTGCTAAGTTTACTTAGCAAATTGGTCATATTGTTCTAACACATGGGCTCACATGGGCTCAACCACCCTTTTAGGCTGACATTTTCCGAAATGACTGGACTTCAAAACTTCTATACCTAAGCCTATAACGCACCAACTTGGAGTAATTTTGTTGGGCTTAAATTGTCCAAATGTTGTACATGGGCTTGGCCTACACTGTATACCCCAGCATTTTGGGGGAATGATTCTCCTCGGAACTCCGTATATTACAGAGCCTGGTTTTACCTTACCGTCAAGGCTTCCCCGCCACCGCCTAGTCCTCCGTCGGGCCTCTACTCCGCCACCGCCATCGTCTTATTAATTTATCTCTTCAAGACACGTACTAAACTAAAACATGGGTGGAGGAAACAAGAAAAGGTTTAATAAAGCTAAGAGCCGTAAAATTCACCAGTCTTCATCGGCTCGAAGCCTTTTTGTGGAAGGCGGCGTCTTAGCCGATTGGACGCCATCGTTTAGTTCTCCTCCTTCTAGAGGTCCGAACCACCGTATTTATTCAGTCCATTTCTTCTATTCAAATTTTTATGAAATTCAATTTAATTCGTTGTTTGAATATTCAGGGAGGAATCAGAGAAATGGGAAGGAGACATCTGGTTCCGCAGGGAGATCTGCTACTGGAAGTGGGAGGAAAAAGCCCAACTCTGGTACCGGGTCGGGTTCCAGAAACGAATCTAGCAAGAGCAAGGGAAATGCATTCGGTTTCGTGTATCCTTCTTTTGATTCTCAGGTAAATCATGGTTATTTCTTGTATAAAGTGGTGATGTTTCTGCTAATTTTGTGTCAGAAATGCGTACTTAAAGCCTGAAATGTTGTGAAATCTGAGGATTTTTAGCAGTACTTGAGTTTTGGAATGTTGTTTGAGAAAATGGTACTTCATGACGAGATTATGGTTTTAGGTGTAAAGTTGGAGTAATTTGGGAAAGATTGTCTCCTTATTCTTTTTTCTTTCTATGGGTAATCGCAACTTCATTTGTTCGGTACAACTTAGCGTTTTGATTTGACTGTATGGTTCTCTCTTCATTGGTTGGATTGTGCATTATGAAATGATTTAAGTAGCTATTTTCAGTAAAGTTAAGTAGTAAGTTTCAGTAAGTCTTAAGATCCATTTATGATTCTGACAAGTTAATCTTCCGTTGATTTAGTATTGTTTGAGGCTTTTTTCAGGCAGATACAAACTGCACCATAAAAGAATCACGAGAGGATAAATTAGAAAATTCTGCTCCTATTCTTCTGGTTGATTCTAAAGAGACCCAAATCGTAGCCTACATAGATGAAGAACCCACCAAGGATGTCCCAGGTTTAAAGTATGATTATGATTACAGTACTGTCATGCTAGAGGAAAGTTCTCATAGAGGATTAGGGTTTTCCAATGAGGTAGAGGAGACTACTGCTAGTTATGAAGTATCTAATCAGTTGGAGGAGGAAGAAGTTGCCTTTGAGATGTCATCAGCTGAGGAGGATGTGAATTTTGATGACAATAGTGGAGATGAATTCATAGCTGAGTCATCATCGGGGGAAAATCCAGGATATCTGTCTATCGGTGGGCTGAAAATATACACTGAGGACATTGAAGATGATGAATTTGATGGTAGTGATGACGAAGAGTTGTCTCCAGATGAGGAAAGTTCAGATTCTTCTGAATCAGAGGATTCTGCTCAGTCATCAGACAGTGAAGAATCTTCTGACAGTGGGTCTGATATTGACGACGAGGTTGCTGCAGATTATTTTGAAGGAATTGGTGCAAGTGATAGTTTGCTGAATCTTGATCAGCTGGTGGGACGAAACGGTTGTGCCTCACCTGACAGGGGCTGCAGTGGTGGTGCCTTTGATGATACCTTGGAGAAGCTTGGTGGCATAGCCCTTCAGGAAGCATCCATGGAATATGGCAGGATGAAGCCTCGATCAGGTAGGAAATGTCGTGCCAAAGATATGAAAGCTTCAGTCGGCAAGTATACCTGTTCAGCAGATTTGGACGACATTATGTTTTTGAAGGATCCGAGGACAAGATCTGGAAAAAAGAAGCATGTTACCAGACTTCCAAGGTCGTGGCCTTCCGAAGCTTCAAAGAGTAGAAAATTTGGAAAAGTTCATGGTAAGGAAACTCAGTGATGATTTGTTAATTTTTCGTTGGAATAGTCAAGTCAAGATAATAGGTAGAAAGAGAAATACATGAAACACTTAGTGCAGTTATGGGGTCTATGAATTGGTTTTCCACACTGTTAATTCATTTTGCGCGTAAATGCAGGTGAAAAGAAGAAACACAGAAAGGAAATGATTGCAGAAAAGCGCCGAGAAAGAATGATTCGCCGTGGCGTTGATCTACAGCAAATAAATTTGGTAAGACTTTTGTTTCCCTTATTTGGGATATGTATTACTAAGCTGTGGTTGGCACTTGTTGAAGTCGTGGTCGTGGATGTTCACTGGATCTTTTAAGTTTCTATCTCCACGGGTTTGAACTGAACTTCCTTAGGATTGTGCATTTTATACTATTAATTAGTTATTTTCTTGTGGAGGTGAGGTCTCAAAAGACGAAAAATATATTATTAAAATTTGAATGAATATGTAAGCCAATTATGTCGCTTTCTTTTTTTCCCTTGGAACTGGTAGAAATTGCAGCAGATGGTACTCGATGCAGTTGATATTTCATCATTCCAGCTCATGCATTCTCGTGATTGTTCCCAGGTTTGTGACTCTTTTCACATCTATTTGCCTGGAACTTATTTTTGCACCTTCAACTCTTTCCAACCTTTTGTCTAGGTACTGAGTCGACTGAGGAAGGAATATCTCACTTGCCAAACAGAAAAAAGAAAATAAAAAGATTTGCTGTAAACTGTTTCAGAACTTTTCTCTTGTCGTGCACGTAAATATACAGGTTCTGCATTTGTGTAGGTTCAAAGGTTGGCTGCAATATATAGGTTAAGTAGCACCACTCAAGGTTCTGGCAAGAGAAGGTACATTTACTTGCATTTGTGGACTTTGCTCTTTCTTTTTCTTTCACTAGAGAAGGATAAGGATAAAGGGGTAAACTGATTGAAGGATATCTGTAGGCAATTGACTCGTGGTGTTCCAGCTGGCCTTTCAGATTCAATCTTAGAAATATGATTAACACTGTTGGATTAACCAGATGATGTTTTTTTTCAGGTTTGTCACGGTTACAAGAACACAACATACATGTATGCCATCTTCAAGTGATATGGTCCGCTTAGACAAGGTGCCTGGAAAATTAATTTTGCCAAGCAATTATTGTTCTGTGGAATTTCTTTCATTGCAAATTAACATGATTGCTTTTTTACTTTCAGTTGATTGGAGCTAACGAGAAGGACTCCGATTTCAGTGTCTATGATATAGACCTGAGGAAAGGAAAGGGAAAGACCTCTGGCTCTGCTCCAAGAGGTGTAAAGTCTGCTACAATTAACTTGCATTCTGAGCCAAGAAGGAAGAAAAGAAATGAGAAACTGGGTTCTTATGCTGCTCAACCCGTGTCCTTCATTTCCAGTGGTATAATGGGTTCTGATTCGGTGGAGTCTTTAGCTATGGAGACTAGCGAGATGAGTGATACTTACAATGAGACAAAGGTTGTTCCTGGTGAAGTTAAATGTGGTGCGTTTGAGTTGCATACTACAGGTTTCGGCTCAAAGATGCTGGCCAAGATGGGATATGTAGAAGGTGGCGGGTTAGGGAAACACAAACAAGGAATTGCTGAGCCAATTGAAGTATCTCAGCGCCCTAAATCACTCGGATTAGGTGCAGAGATCCCTGAAACGAGTGTTAGGCCATCAAAAAAGGATTATCCATCTGTGTCACCTTTGCCACCTTCTGCATTCCCAGGCAAACTGGCTAAAAAGGAGTCTCAACAGTTTGGATCTTTTGAGAAGCATACAAAAGGATTTGGGTCAAAGATGATGTCAAAGATGGGTTTCGTTGAAGGCATGGGCCTAGGCAGAGATTCACAAGGTATGGTGAAACCTTTGGTAGCTGTAAGGCGTCCAAAAGCCAGAGGCTTGGGTGCCGAGGGTTAAGTTAAATTGTTATTAAGCTGTTATGTACATACATATGGTTGTTGTAATTTTAAGGGTCTAAGGTTGCCATACTGGAAAGGTTGATGATCGATCATTTTCAAAAATTTGAACATAGTCCTAAAAGTTGCTTCTTTGAGGATGGTATCTTTATAGTATTGTCAGATATTCTGAATCTCTGCTGTCTAGTTCTGGTAGTTTTGATCTCTGCACCTTACACGGTATGTGTATCTTTGGCTGAGTACCGCGACGTAAGTAATATATTGAGCTGTCTGCATTGAGTTATGCAAATTGTATGAGCAAATGGCTTTAGAATAATTCAAGGCGTTGTGAGCATTCCACTGTGCCAAAAGTGCGGATAATGGTTATGTTACACCTGCTCCTAAGCTATCCATTCTGAAAGGGAAAGGAAAACTTTGAGGGCACGTCCTGCAGCTGACTTCTTCACGGTCCACTCATCGTGTTAGTACAAATTTGAATATTGTTTTAAGGCAGAGAATTGTACGTAGAAAGTACTAAACAAGCCTGGACTGCATTTCATTTTTGTCACGCAAGAAAAATATAAAAAGAAATGAGCACTACTATAATGTATTAAGATTGAATTTGCAATGTTCTTTTTGTTATGAAATAATTATTATGTTTATGGTACTATAGTGATTCCATAAATCTTGTCTTTTCTATGTAGTTACATTACAAAGTACTTACAAGTGATCAGTAATTTTTCCTTTTTTAATGAAGCCGGCTCTCAGATCTCAATGGCTGGAACTGGGTAATGATGTGTTAATGATGTTATCGTCGAAAAGTGTGAAGATTACGTGATTGGACCGTGATTACCTTATTCTACAGGCATGGCATGATTCCAACTTTTAATGTAGAAGTTTGGGATTAAAAAACTGTGGTTTAAGGAGTTCAGATCTAAGCTGCAATGCTTAAGTAACAATCATGAGAGAGTAAAGTCATCATCCCTCTCTTGGCTCTTGCAAAATCAAAGAAAATAAGGAAAGCTGACCATTCATTGGGAGACTACCCCTATTGTCTCCCAAATAATAATTTCTTCTTCTTCTCTTTTTTTTTTTAAAAAAATTGTTCTTAGGCTATCTAGCATATAAGGTTAAACACTTTTCCCACTCGAGATTGCTGTAACTTTACCTTGTTAGTGCATACGGTTTGTTATTGATAGAGCACCCAAATTAATAAAATGACATAATTATAAATCCCAGTTTAAATAACTGTCAACTTAAGAGATAATACAATAGATCAATTTCTCTACATAATAATAAAAAATATCACCAGAGTAAATTGTCCAATTTCATGATACATTTTTACTTACGACTCTATCGTTTTTTTCTTTATTAGTAAGAAAAATATCACCATCACAAAAGAGATACATAGCAAAAATATGAAATCATGCCTTTTAGGAGACAACTTTTTTTTTTTTTTCTTTCTAAACCATATTTAAGTTCCAAGATATGTTTCCATAATTATCGAGTTATTAACGCAATCAAGAAATATCCCAAAATACAAAACGATAGACATACATATACACATCTAACCAACTAGAGAAGTCGAAGAAAGACCTAATAGACATATAAAAATGAAATAGTAAACAAAATTTTTTTTTTTGACTCTATATAATCTACACTAGTCTTGGCAAAAAAATTTAAAAAATAGTAAATCATGAAATAATTAATAACCGCGTTAAAGTCTTTTTTTGACTTTCATGGGACAAATTAGTCATTCACTAACCCATGCCAGAGTATTTGGACAGTCGATTCGTGTAATGCCACCGACGAAGATTTATGCAGAATTGTCAGATACTATAAATCTTCCAAACGTAAGCCTAAACTCATCTGCTGCTCTGTCAATAAGGTCTCTGTTTGCCGTTAATCTCGTCGGCACACGGGTTTCCTCTCCTCATCAAATTCTATTCATCATCATTTTCCCCCTAAAAGGTGAGTGAAAATCCGCACTTCTGATTCAAAGTTCCTTGTTTAGAATTCTGGTGCATGTTCTTTTCAAAACTATTTGCTTCCCCTTCGTGCACTTTGATACATCTAGTTCAGTAATCAAAGTGCAAATTTTTTTTTTTTTTTTCAATTCCATTGCTGAGCCTTGATTGTAACTGACTCCATCTCCTACTGCATTGATTTTGACATTTCTCTTCGCTTTACCTGATCTGGGTTCTCCAGATCTGCAGGGTAAGCGTAGCAAGATGGAATCTTTTTGCAAATTTAAGATCTGGGTTCTGTTCTTTTGCATGATTTCTGAACTGGGTCACGGGTTTTACCTTCCCGGTAGTTATCCTCACAAATACGGGATTGGTGATCCCTTGAATGTGAAAGTGAATTCACTTACTTCAATTGAGACTGAGATGCCCTTTAGTTATTATAGTTTGCCCTTCTGTCGGCCAAAGGAGGGTGTGAAGGACAGCGCCGAGAATCTCGGTGAGTTCCTTATGGGTGATAGGATAGAGAATTCGCCTTACAAATTTAAGATGTACACCAATGAGACGGAGGTTTTCTTGTGTCAAACAAAGCCTTTGTCAGGTGAGGAGTTTAAACTCTTGAAGAAGAGGATTGATGAGACGTATCAGGTAAATCTGATCCTTGATAATTTGCCTGCAATTAGATATACTAGGAAGGAAGGTCTTTACCTTCGTTGGACTGGCTACCCTGTTGGGGTTAAGCTTCAGGATGTTTATTATGTGTTTAACCACTTGAAGTTTAATGTGGTTATCAATGAATACCAAGAGACCAATGTGGCCCGGGTTATGGGAACTGGTGATGGTGCTGAGGTGATTCCAACTGTTGGAAAATCCGGATCAGAGGCACCTGGATATATGGTTGTTGGTTTTGAGGTGGTGCCTTGTAGTATCCAGCACAGTGCCGATTCGGTTAAAAACTTGAAAATGTATGATAAGTATCCATCTCCAATTAAGTGTGATCCATCATCGGTGGCCATGCCTATCAAAGAAAATGAACCTATTGTTTTCTCCTATGAGGTTTCCTTTGTACAGAGGGACATCAAGTGGCCATCAAGATGGGATGCTTATCTGAAAATGGAAGGAGCAAAGGTCCACTGGTTCTCTATTCTGAATTCCCTTTTGGTGATTACTTTCTTAGCCGCAATTGTGTTTGTCATATTGTTGAGGACAGTCAAGCGGGATCTGACTCGTTATGAGGAGCTTGATAAGGAAGCTCAAGCTCAGATGAATGAGGAATTATCTGGATGGAAGCTTGTCGTGGCTGATGTTTTCCGGGCTCCCAGCAACCCGGGACTTTTGTGCGTGATGGTTGGGGATGGAGTGCAGATTCTTGGGATGGCAATTGTGACAATTATGTTTGCTGCCCTTGGATTCATGTCTCCTGCCTCCCGGGGAACATTGATTACAGGTATGCTGTTTTTCTATATGATCCTAGGAATTGCAGCTGGATATGTCGCAGTTCGTATGTGGAGAACCTTGTTCTGTGGAGATAAGAAAGGATGGGTTTCAGTTTCATGGAAAGTCGCTTGTTTCTTCCCCGGTATTGCTTTTCTCATTCTGACCTTTTTGAATTTCTTGTTGTGGGGTAGTCATAGCACAGGAGCCATTCCGTTCTCTATTTTTGTCATTCTTATCTTGCTGTGGTTCTGTATTTCTGTTCCCCTCACCCTTGTCGGTGGATACTTTGGGGCAAAAGCACCTCATATTGAGTACCCAGTTAGAACAAACCAGATCCCGAGAGAAATCCCACCTCAAAAGTACCCATCTTGGCTGTTAGTTCTTGGGGCCGGAACTCTCCCATTTGGTACACTTTTCATTGAGCTCTTCTTCATCATGTCCAGCTTGTGGATGGGTCGTGTTTACTATGTTTTCGGATTTCTGTTCATCGTTCTGATTCTTCTTGTGGTTGTTTGTGCTGAAGTTTCCCTTGTTCTGACTTACATGCATCTTTGTGTGGAGGACTGGAAATGGTGGTGGAAGTCATTTTTTGCTTCTGGTTCTGTTGCAATTTACATCTTTTTGTACTCAGTTAACTACCTAATATTTGATCTCAAGAGTTTGAGTGGACCTGTTTCTGCCACCCTCTACTTGGGTTATTCGCTCTTCATGGTCACAGCAATCATGCTTGCTACGGGTGCAGTTGGATTCCTTTCATCATTTTGGTTTGTGCATTACTTGTTCTCTTCAGTGAAGTTGGATTAAGAGGCTATAATGGGCTCAACAGTTGGTTTTGAGGAGCACCGGCGATCTAGCAATAGGAGACAAAGATAGCTTTTCTTATCCTTCTTTTACTTTTCTTTGTCTGTAATTCTTAGAAAATTTGAATACAGCAACAATAATCTCGTCAAGATTCAGTTTTCTTTTGCATAGTCCAGGATTTTGCATCTGTTAAAAGTTGAACTGAGCACATGCAATGTATGAGTTAGGCTTTTCGTGTTGGAGTTCTGCAATGCTGTTGCTACAGATCTGTATCAATAGTCATCAGTTTGGTGCCTAGTTTTACAATTATCAACATTATTATTTTTCTTGTTCATTACATAAAAGAGTTTTGATTTTACTCGTTATGTTGAGATTCTGAATGTATGCAAAAACTCCCTACATATGCTAAATATCAGATCACCCACAGTTTAAATACCTAAGGGCGGTGAAGTTAAGCAGTTTCCACAATGTATGGTTGACGAACTGCAACTTCAAACAATGAGCTCTAATGGTGTTAATTGATGTCAACCGTTTGTTTCTATCATTGTGAAATTGTTGTGCGTTGCGTATGTTTCGTTTCTGAGTTTATTGAATTTGTGGTTCGGCATCGATCAAATATGTGGAAGGCAGAGTAGCGGAAAATATAGAGAATCTTAAATGGAAGACATTAAAGAAACACACTGAACGTGCTTTCTTCCATCTTGAAGTCATTCTCTTGTTCTTCTGAAAGAAAAAGAAAAAAAGGTCTCCACTTCTCTTTGATATTTTCATTTCCCTCACTTTTCTCTTTTATTGTGTCTTCCCCAAGAGTGTGGTTGTGTGATATATGGCACCTTGCCAAGAAGCATCCACTAGGGCAAAAAATGCCTTGTGTACTTTCAGGAATCCAACATCATATCATACCTTTAAGACCAAAAGCATATTCAATGCGGAGTCAGCTTCAAATTTAAAACTCCGCAATAGTTATAGTTATGTAGTTTCATACGGCTCAATGGTTCAATCAATGATACTCATATCATATTCAGTCTTATATTTACGGGTTTTGGTACATTCAACGACTGGAACTCTCAGGCTGGAGAATCACTGGACCAATCTAGTCGCCCAAAATATAATTCTTGCCAACAAAAAAGTATATCTCCCATGGCTGAAAAATAGGCTGGTCCTGAGAAACTGGGATTTGGTAAAGCCGCATAAGAAAGTTCATATTTTGGGCTATAGCAGTGTCTACAGGCTGATCAGCCGATGGAGTAGGACACTCTAGCCGAATCAGTGTTAATGTCAACTTTAATTACCAAGTTGTTAGGCGGTACACAAAGTTTAATTTTGGTGTCATAATTTTTTGCCAACTTCTAAACTTAAGCAACTTTCAGAACGTTTCAGTCACGTATTATGATTTTAGATTGAAAATGATAGATAGTGAAAATGTACAGTGAAATAGAATAATGGTTAATGTTGCATTTGTATAAATACATAATAGTAAATCCCAATTTTGTTAGTAGTTATTAATAAATAGTGTAGTTTTTTCTTTTTCCTTTTCATTAGTACTATTCCATTAAATTATGAATTGTCATCATGTATTATTGCCTTTGAGATTATTTCACATTCTATTGAAGCTCGCACACAATATGTGAGTTTCCAAAGGCTAAAGCCAGGCTTTGGTGGAAAATAAACTTCAACTGCTTAATTACATCATGTATTCATTTTTACTACTGTCATATAATTATTTGGTCGATCATTGGGTTCTCCCCCACAATGAGTCCTAATCACTTTATCCTAAAAAAAATATAATTTATATTGTGTTTTAATATAGATCTCCAAACTCAATGTGAATTAAATATATATATATATATGAGAACAGAAATAATATAATTCTTACTATTGGACCAAGCCTAATTTGCTTTTTTTCATTGATTTCTTTAATTTTTTTACCATAATTTTCTTCAGTACTTCTTATTAAAGTCAAATTTTTTTTGAAGCTCGCACGATTTTTTGCTCTCACGAAATCCGCACGTATGAAAATTTGATTTCTAAACGTTAAATGGGTGACGATAACATTTTCAACTTGAACGGAACAGTTTTCATTCGATTTGGAACATCAAACGACAAGATTTTTGTTGGCATTTCTTGCATCAAAAAAGTTCATGTGCAAATATACAACCAACTTATGGAGCTGTGGGAACGAAGAACCTCCTCCGGCCGCCACCTTTCCGGCCACCTCGAATCATACAACCCGATGAGATACAGAGCGGATTCCGCAATGTCATGGAACCTCATCAAGCATTGATTTAGAGAATTTCACTTTTGGATTTGGTTATATTTTCCAAAGACTAACAGCCGCATTATTGTATTCAAAAAAAAAAAGTTGAAAAATAAAAAACACGAAAAACCTCATAAGAAAAAAATAAATTAGTATCGGATTCAAACAGAGAATAACAATTTTTATTTTCCATTTTGACAAAAATATTAGTGCTGGTTTCATCAATTATTTGGATACCCGACCCGCACAATCCATGCACAAAATTGTTGCCAGTACTACATCATCATCATTAATTTTTTTTAATTTAACCAGTGCTATATGTTATTCTTTACAGGATTAATTAAATCCTACTGTATTTTTTAATCTTCTTACAGGTTATATTTGAGTAAAGACATCCAGTCAAAAGAAAAAAAAAACGAACTTTTACCATAAAAATTGAACAAAAAATGAATATAAATGGTCAAAAGCTTAAAATAATTAATAAAATCTGAAAATAAATCAATACAAATACAGATTAATAGGAAGTAGTAACATACAAAAGTTCAAAAGAAGGCACATTGTGGATGATGTAATCTTGTGTTTTATTTCATTTTTTTAATGGTGTTTGAGAATACAAAAACCCATCCAACATTGTGATAGCATGTAAAATGATTTTACCATGAACTACATCACCATACGTTATATTCCTACTAGTTCCATCTTTGTACCCAAAAAAAAAAAGAAGAAAAAAGAAAAAAGAAGAAATAAATCAATGATCCAAAGTTCAAACAGATGATTAGTAATTTGACCAAACTTTAAGGACTATTTGTACTTCCAGAAAAATACTTGGGTAAATGCAGAATATTGTTTGATACAATGGTCCATCAAAATTTCAAAGAGGGATTTTTGATCATTGGAGGACCCAAAGATATGTGGTGAGTGGTGGCAGAATTTTGGTTGGTTAATGGATAGCCATGCGAACCATCACTCAATCTCACTTCTTTTGATCGAATTTCCTCCAATTTTGCAAAAACAATTCTGTTCCTGATTTCCTCCCTCAATTCATAATCCAATCTTCTTCTTCTTCTTCTCCTCTGCTTCATCTTCTTCAACAATGTTGAACTGCTCTCACTCAGTTTACCCGCACCATCACAATAGCTACATCAATATCCCTTCTTCAACTCCGATTACTTCTTCTTCCTCCACATTTTCCCTGCACCATTCCACGTCCCTTTCCTTCTCTTCCACTTCCAAGTCCCGCCATGGATCGCTTCATCTCAACGCTAATCCCCGCCAAAAGGTTGGTCCTTAGCATAAGTTTTCTTTTTTTCCCCCCTCTTCAAAATGCTTCAAATTTGCGAAAAATTTTAGTTTCAGTAGGGAACTTAATGTTTGGTGATGTCCCATTACGCTGTTTTAGTTCATGTATCTGTAATGGCTCTGGCAATGGGTGTTTGTTGTCTCAGAAAAGATTGCATTTTTAATTTCTTTTCGGTCGTTATATGAAATTTCGGATCAGGGGTTTAAAGTTTTATGCTCCAGAAGCGAGCCATTGAAGGTGATGATATCTGGGGCCCCTGCTTCTGGCAAAGGGACTCAATGTGAATTGATCGTTCAGAAGGTGTGCTGATTCTCTTAATTGTTTTTTCCTTTACCCATCAGTTCATTATCCTATGAAGTATATACTGTAATTTTTACTGATACTTATGGTGGCTGTTTCAGTTTGGACTGGTTCATGTCTCAACTGGAGACCTTCTGCGAGCTGAAGTGTCAGCTGGCACTGAAATTGGAAACAAAGCAAAAGAGTATATGAATTCCGGCCGTCTTGTTCCTGATGAAATTGTTACTGCTGTATGTCTTTACTCACTCGACTTGTAGTATTCCTGCATTCTTTACTTGCGCTCTTTAATGGTACTAACAAGTCTAGAACACTTTTTGGCAGATGGTCAAAGCACGGTTGTCGCGGGATGATGCAAAGCAGAATGGCTGGCTTCTAGATGGATATCCTAGAACTTCTGCTCAAGCACAAAGTCTTGAGGAAATGAAGATTAGACCAGACGTCTACATTTTGCTCAATGTATGTCAATATGCTACCTCATTCTCTCTCTTCTACAGATTAAGTTCATCAAATGAATTGGATTGTGATAATTGCATTTGTAGTCTCACAACTTTGGCAATTTTTGCTCCGCGTGATACTTGGTGAAATTTAGCTTACTTGAACAAATTTTCCGTCCAATCATTATCTAGAGATTCTCTCTAGTTGTTATCTAGAGTTTCTATGAGATTCTAAGCTATGCTTTTCATTCATCGTAATCAGGTTCCTGACGAAATACTAATTGACAGATGTGTCGGTAGAAGGCTAGATCCCGAGACAGGGAAAATTTACCACATCACTCATTTCCCTCCTGAGAGTGAGGAAATTAAGAAAAGGCTTATAACTCGTCCTGATGATACTGAGGAGAAGGTGAGTGTCCTGGCTCTATATTATTGCTTGTTCATGGACAGCCTTGCCTACATCACAAAATGGATCCTTCTTGCTGTTCCAGATCCCCAGTTTTACAACCAAAATGCAAATAAAGCATAATCCATGTGACTGCTTGTGTTTATTCAGGTCAAATCGCGTCTACAGATATACAAGCAAAATGTACAGGCGATCTTATCCACGTACTTGGACATATTAAATGAGGTACTTGTTGAACTTCTGCTTGGTTCATTGTTCCTTCTATTTAGTCTTCAGTAGTATTTCTAGTCATATATTTTCACAATGTGCAGATTGATGGAAATCGTCCAAAAGATGCGGTCTTTAAAGAAATTGAAAATTTACTTCTGCGCTTGGAGGAGAAAAAAGAAGCTGGAAAATCTGGTAGTTATCCTCAGAATGCAGCATCATGATATTTACATCCAATCACCTTTAGGTGATTTTATGCATTTTGCATACGATTATGTTTTTGGCCCTCAGTAGTGATGTATTTCTCTTTTACTTGTCTTGTTGGTTTTGTTTCTGTGTCGAGCTGTTAAGTGGCTTCCTCCCAATTCCAGATCCTGTATTAGAGTAGCTAGTTGTCCGTAGTCTCTTAAAATGCAGGGAAGGCTTTGTCTGAAAGAATTGTTATACTGTTTACGAGAGTATACATTGAAAATCCTCTGTTTTCTATAAATTGGGAAAACTTCTAATGTGTTCAGATCATCTCTCTTTTTGCTTTGCTTTTTTTTCCCCCTTTCCCTGGATCTGAAGAGAAGGACAAGGAAGTTGACCTTTAAAAGATAGATAAATAATGAAGCCATAGTATGGCAAACCTGGAAAGTGTAAAAACAATCAGAATTGATGGGAGCTTTTTAGTTATAATTTAGTCTCATTAGTTCAGAGCTGAGACTGGCAGCTCAATTCTGTTAAAATGCAGTGAACTTTATCTTGTTGAATACTGATTAAGCATGTCTGATGCTAAGCGTTGGGGGGAACTATGTTTTTGAACGGTTGATGTAACTTTCAAGATTATAAGCTCTTATGTTACTTAAAGATTAGTAGTATATATATATGATAAGAGGGAATGGTGTACTGTAGCCTCGAGCTCCTCAAATGTGAATGTGGGTTTTGCATTTCTTTACTTGTTCAGCTTAAGCAGATACTCAGAATTCCGTGCACATTCTAACTCACGTGTTATCTGTATCTGCTTTGCCTCTGTTTGGATAAGGGGTTGGGGATAACAAAAACCCTACTAAGCCAACATTCATCAAGGTATTCACGTTCTGAGCAAACAAATATGGTTGTACATGTTTCTTAAAGTCCGATAGCCATTAAAATTGGTTATACAGTAATAAGTTGCCCTGGAAATGCCTCAATCTATTTCACTGTAGCCTTTCACAGGAGAGCTGGAGAGGGATTCCAACTAGATTGAATAACATCCCGCATTCACGAGAAATCAGGGAATATTTCTATAATGACATTCTGCAAGCTACCACGAGAGCAATAAATGATGGAAAAACTCGATTAAAGGTAGTCATTGGTTCTTCTTTTCCTTCTTTTGAGCCTGTGTGTAGTACATATGCACTTGCTTAGGTCCAATTCACTTTGCTTCTACTTCTTATCATTTTCTTAAGTCTTCATCTGTCTCCTAGTTAAATTTTTTACCTTTAATTTCACAGGTGGAGATAAATCTTCCTGAATTGAATCCTGAAATGGTAAGGTTCTGTTTCTCTCCGGTCAGGTCATGTTATTCAGAGTTAACCATATGCTATGATTTACAGGATGTTTATCGAATAGGTACATTGATGGAACTGGTTCGATCTGTTGCTCTCTCATTTGCTGATGATGGGAAGCGTGTAAAGGTATATAAATCCTGGACCTTGTTGACACAATTTTGAAATGCGAACCAACTTTTCTAGTAACTAAAATGTACTCGACAATCCTGGGCCTCAATATTTAAGGTTTGTGTCCAAGGAGCTATGGGAAAAGGAGGTCCTTCTGGCATGCCTCTTCAGCTTGCAGGAACTCGAAAAATCCTGGAGTTCATGGATTGGGGAGAATATGGTGCTAAGGATACCTTTATTAGAATTGGTTCTATTGGTAATGACTCTTGGAAGACCTTATCTGAACTTACATTAATGCTAAACTGCTATCTTATTAAGTTGAACAAATATTCATCCATTTCTCTTTATTTCACCTCTCAACCATGCATCAACTTCCACCTGTACATATTTATCCATAAAATCCACCCACCCACTTGCTTTACTGTCTTGGTGTTGCTGCTTGACCCTGCTCTTGTTGTGTTTTATGGCATAGATTTCCCGCCCTTCATGCATCAATATTAATTATATCAGCTGTGCATGAACAGATTTTGAAGTCTTTTAATCATCTGAGACCTCACTTTTTCTTCAGGAAAATTAAGATATGTGGTTCCTTTTGTAGAGAGATTTTTGTTTGACATTATTCTATGGGCAGGCTTAATCTTATTCTGCCTGGTAATTCTGAAGTCGTGTATGCTTGTACTTCATGCTCTTGGCAGATTTAATCTATCGAGACCAATAAATTCTCCTATTATTGCAGCCACGAGTGCCGAGCATTGAATACTTGCATGTGTCTGTGCAGGTGCTGAAGAAGTTGAAGAGCAGGATGATATGTTTCTTTTAGTCGCTCCTCAAAACGCTATAGGAAATTGCATTATTGATGTAAGGAGATCAATACAAAATGTGATTTATTTTTCAGGTTGCACCTTATCGTGATGATTTTTAGTGTTGTCTAATCAGCATTCCGGAATTGGATAATGCAGGATCTAAAAGCTATGACTGATGCGGCTGGTAATCGGCCAGTTGTTCTTATAAACCCTAGATTAAGGGTAAGACAATGAAGATGATTGACTGAATTATTTTGGTTCCCTTAAAATAAACTCTAGTTCCCTCGGGGCATTAGAGAAAACTTCATAGTGTTAGCAAACGTTGTAGGTTTGGCCATGACATTAATTCAAATTGATTCATGGAGTTTATTTTTTGAATATAACTTGTGTTGCCATGCTATAGCTTTGTTCCTTTATCAGTACTTGAACTGATTATCTTGTGAGCAATGCTGATTATAGACTTCATATTTTAATAGGATGTTCCTGGTGCAAGTGGCAACATGCAGGTAAGTAAATGACAGAAGTTACATTTGATTAGAGAAAGCTAGCAGTTTCTAAACCTTTATGTTTGCTCTACAAGACAATGGGCCGTGAAAAGAGATTGGAGTATGCGGCGTCATTCGAGATATGCTACTTCTTCCGGTTGCTCTATTATTCAGGAACACAGTATCCCATTATGGGTGCTCTCAGGTATGCATCTGCTCCTGATACTTGTTCTACAGTTTTGTTATCTTCAATGATCACAATGCTCATAAAGATTTCCGCTTTATGTCTAGGATTTTTGTTTTGTCTGGTTCCTAATCTCTTCTGCAGTTTTGTGTGCCTGTATCATTGAGATTTCATTTGAACATTGTGAATGATGTTGGTCTACTTGAAAAATGTAGTTATCTTGTTTCAGGATGTCTTATCCTCATGCATATGAGCTATACAAAAGGGTTGATGAGTCGCCCGGAAAGGAGAAATATGTGATCTTATCTAGCTTCTCCAAGAGACCGACTGGTGAAGAGATTAACGATGCATTTGAAGGAAGAGATAGGTAACTCATGAGTATAATTCAGTTACCTTACATATCAGCTCCTCAACATATTTATATTCAATATTTTCTATCATTGCCCTAAAGTTCCAAATTTGACCTGTGGCGATTGGATCCAAACTTGCAGGAGTAAAGCTAAGAGGCCTTCTGGGATTTGGTAAGAGTTCTTAGCATTCAACAAAGCCAAATGCTGAACTTGCCAATTTGACTCCTTGATATCTGATTTGTGTTCTTGTATATACCCGCAGGGGCTTCTTGAGTAGCGTCTTCTGAGCATTCAGAATCCATTACAAAGGGCTGTCGAGCTGGATAAAATGTGAACCGGACATTCTGGACAGATTATTGAAAATGGTTTCCAAAGAAACCACCTTTGGGTAAGAAAGAAATTCCTTATTGTCCATCCACTACTAGTTATCCCCAGTTTCTGGGGTCCTTTCATCCAGCAAGGTTTTGACCTTGTTCAAATTAGTTAGTGTAAGTATACATCACTTGTATTTCATCTGTACTATAGTAAAACTGGTACAACTTTGAAGACTTTGCTTGTGATTCAGAGTTACAGCATATAGGTTTGTCATTATTGCAATATAATATCCCTTAGTTATGCTAATTGCTAAATGATTCTGAGTTGACCTTGAAGTTTAGGTACATCTCACAACATAGAATATAGATAACAGGGAGGTTCTTCGCGTTGGAGGTGATGCAAAATGACATTGTTAATTTCAAGTTGACCATGAGATTTAAGGTACAACGTAACTGTCAAAACGTATGCTATTGCGAGATAACATTGTTAAATGTTTCAACTTGGCCCTGAGATTTAGGTGTAACATGCTTATCAAACATAGATATTTATACAGAGTGGGAAATTCTTCTGAGGAAAAGCAGTATCTAACATTTTCAAATCCAGAACTTGTAGAATAATTCAAGTTGACCCTGAGCTTCAAGTTCCAGTATTCATAGACTGTAGTGGATCATGTACATGTGATGACGGAAAACAACTCATTAGTCAAAAAGGAAAAAAAGGGAAAGAAAAGAAAAAAGAAGAGAAAATAAATAATTTTATTTTTTTTTTATAATAAGGTTCCCAGACCAAACAAATGAAGAAATCTTACTATCGATGACGCATTGACTATTCAGTAGCCTCGTTGGCATGATGAAATTCACATCAAAGCAGGACGTTCATTTGGGCTATTTAGTGTACGTGTACATCATTATCACTCACAATCTTGTGTATCAGCATTTATTGACTATAATAGTAATATAACCAGTGATCAACACAACTTTTAGAAACCAAAATCGAGTCCGTATCCAATGCACCCGGTATATCGTATACCCTCACCAAACACACGCACTACACGCGCTCAACATTTTTCACATTTACATTAAATGCACAAACAAAATTGTTTTCATCCATTTTACTGTTTTCATCCTCACGCACAAACACACACAATTGCTGGTTATTCATAATTTATCCACAAGTTGTAAACTGGTTATCCAGAAGGTGTAAACTGGTTATCCACAAGTTGTAAACTGGTTATCCACAAGGCGTAAACTGGTTATCCAGAAGGTGTAAATTGGTTATCCACAACTTGTAAACTGGTTATCCAGAGGTAAAGAAGCAAACGACATGTTACTTGGGGGCTTCGTCCCCCCAATGATAAACTAAACGACTCCGCGGCTACTGAATCGCAGTCACCAACTGCCATTGCGCCGCCCGCCGAACACGCCAATTTAGCTAAGATAATCCTTTTTTCGTGTGTGTGTAAGGAGAGTGTGTTATTGCGTTAAGAGGGGACACAAATTACTTGTATAAATCCCCCCGTGATAAACTAAACAACCCGGCTGCGCCGCCCCCCCTGCCGAACACTTTCATAAATAGTATTTAATTGAATGAGGGGCATTTTGCCAAATGATGGAGAACAAAAAATGAATTAGGGGCAGTTTGCCAAATGATGGAAATAAGGTACGTTCAATTGTGTATAACTAATTATCCATATTGTCAATATTGGTTATCCAACTGTGTATAACTAATTATCCATATTGTCAACACTGGTTATCCACATTGTGAACACTGGTTGTCCATAGTGTGTAGCTGGTTATCCATAGTGTGCACACTGGTTATCCAACTATGTTTAACTAGTTATCCATAGTGTGCACACTGGTTATCCGGCTATGTTCAACTAGTTATTCATAGTGTGCACACTGGTTATCCACAGAAGGTTTAAAAAAAAAAAACTGAATTATCTAGCGAGCTCACACTATTCTAAGAGAGTAAAGTACACGCGTAGGGGGGTACACGGTGCCCCCGGGTGTACCAGGTAATTTGCCCCAAAATCAAAAAAAAAGAAAAGAGAGAGAGAGAAAGAGAGAGAGAGAGAGATACTATTCCCTTCGTTCCAAAATAAGTGTCGTTTTAGCAAAATGGAGAAATTTCAAAATAAGTGTCGTTCTCACATTTCAATACATTTTTTGTCCAAAGTTTCCAAAATTACTCTCGAAAGAATTAATACTATTAGTGGATATTTTTTTAGTGGGGTTGGTTGAGGATATTCAAGTAATTTTATTACCTTATTTAAGAGTTTCTTAAACTATGTGCAAAGTGTAGAATGACACTTATTTTGGAATAGAGGGAGTAATATTTACGTGACTTCTTGTTTATGCTCCAATGGTAAAAGTGGTATTAAGTCAGCAAACTTGTTTGTGTCTGAGTGACTTTTCAAGTTTAATTACACTTTCTCCGTTCACCTTTAAAAAAAAAAACGTGTTTATTGCGAATACATTACTAAAAAGGGGTTCAGAGAGAGGGAGTACTGGTCAACTTTAAGATTTTTATTTTATTTTATTTTTATTTTTGTGTTTAGATAGCATTTCCCTTCAACTTAGACTAACATCATTAATTGCTTTTTAGATGGCTTTCAGATTGCTTTCTATAAGCTGTCCCAGAGATTACATGTCTGATTCATAATACAGTACATTATAGGAAAGAAAACCAACAATTAATGTGATTTACGCAATCTTATCTTCTCCGTTAATGGAGATTAAAAAAATGTCTTATATGGCGCTAATCAAGGTGTTTGGTCTTATTATCATACCGTTCCATTTCAGAAAAGCCATCTAATTAGCGAAAAAGAACTTCATTTCTGGTATTCATTCCATATCTAGGGTTTAGCATTAAAACCCTCATCCGTCTTGTAATAATCAACCTATTTTCTACTTCGAAAAAGGCAGCATAGAATCCATAACAATGAAAACTGATGAAACAAACCAACAAACGAAAATGACAAGGACTCTGAGCAAAAAGTGCAGAAGCTGCCAAACATTTTTGTTCAGTGCAATTCTTTCAATCAAGAAGAAAAAGTTGAAAATGATTGTAGTTCTCAGTGTTTTGCTTCGTGTCTTCGTACAAAGTAACGAGACGAATTGGAGCGCCAAACAGAATTCGATACTATTAAAATATCCCCCCTTTTTTTTTCTTTTTTGGAAATGTTAGGATGAAAATTCAGCACCCTTGAAATTTGAGAATTGAGATGGAAATGTAATCTAGAATTTTGGGACGAAAAATTATTAATTCACTCTCTTATAAGACGTAATAACATTTTTCTCAGTGTGACAATAAAAAAATCAACAACACGCAACCTTCGACTTGCCGCTCCACGATTTCGCATCCGAGTTTGAGAAGCGTAAGATGAGCGTATAGGCCAGTTGGCAATCGGCAACCACGAAATTAATGCAAAGCATCAACGTCGGCCGTGCTTCATGGCGGCGGCCGTGAGGTAGCCATTCCACCTTATTATCCATTCAATCAAGTCCTATCCTAGTTACAACTATTTTTCAAATTAAAAAAAAATTGACAGACACAAAGCTAAAGCCAATAGTTTTTTTCCCACAAGTGGCAAAAACCACTTCATTCATCCACCGAGGCATCGATTAAATTAAGACAGTACGATAAAAAAGACTCTTATTTTGAGAAAGAGGAGATATCATTATTCACTAATTTGGTGGGTTTTGTGCCAGACAGGCGAGGGGATAGTTTAGCTAATGCTTCAACTAGATTTCACAAAACCGTAGGATCATCTCCTCCTTACCAGGCGGCAGGCGAGGGGGGAATTCATGAATGATTCCTCAAAATGGCAAATTGCTTATGTCAAAACCCGCAGTTCTTTTTCTCCCTGCAAAATAGTGACAATGCACAATACCAAATAAAAACATCAACTTATATATGTAAACACAATTTAACCACTACCAAAACTGACCACAATCGTTGTATTCGTATGGTATGTCAAAAGACTGGTCCGAGAATTTCTCTAAATCTAACTCTATCTCCACAAACTATAGATCTGATGACTTCTACGTAACGCCTAACATCAGCAAGAAAACCAAAAAATATCTTGGCTACTGGCCCCAAAATATGAACAAAATGGAAATTACTACGTCAACTCTCGCAATAATATTAAAGATATACCATAAATGATTTGATTGAATAATTTAGAACCAGCTGGGAAAGAATTTATTGTTCCTCTACACAACCTGACAATAACAAGAATCCATTATCCATAACATCATCAAGGGGGCAGCTCAAATGTAAAAATATTGCAGTGCTCAATTAATTGGGGAATGGTCAATGACTGGTAGCAACTTGTACATGTGCAGGAAATGCATACATACAGTAGTATTGTTTAGTATATATACATAGGAAAATGTTTTTCTGAAAGTGTTTTTCCCATATGAACAGAGACAACTAGGATGTCGCTTTATATATGAAAAACACAAGACACAAACTTCACAAGATGGAAACTTACCTTCCGATTAAAAAAAAAAAAAACCATCCACAGGGCTCAAAATAGGAGCTTTATCAAACGTTACTGCAGAATTTTGCAGGTCAACTACATACAGTCCTTATTATATATATTCATAGGAAGGAGGAGAGATTAATTTCTCCATTCATAGCTAAAGAGTACCTACGTTCTTATCCCCCTGTGACAAAGAAGGTACCTTTAGAAAATGGCTGGTGGATCATTAGCTCCAACAGGTGTGGCCAAGGAGAGGGCAGATCAATACCAAGGGAAGGTCACCGTGTATGTCATCGTCAGCTGCCTCGTCGCCGCCGTTGGTGGTTCACTCTTCGGATATGACATCGGGATTTCAGGTAAATCTTGAGCTTCTTAATAACATGCAATTTCCAGCTCCTGAGACATTTTTCAAAATAATATCAGTGCATATTCTTCGGTATATTCTGATAGAGAACTCACAAGTAATCCATTTCAAATGTAGAAACCCATGATAAGTGTCTCTATTTCAAGATTACCACAGCATGAATATAATTTGTTATACAGCAGCGTATGAAATGGCGCCAACATAAATTGTAAACCTAGAATCTGTTACTGTGTCACAAGCAGAGTAGACAGGAATAGGCAATGGAAGTAAGGGAAAGCTCAGACCATAAGACAAAAATTCATGATTCTATGTGAATAATCCAGCCTATCACTCATAGTTGAGTAATGTTGGTTCACATAAATATGTTCAGCTAATAGTATTGTTGAGTCTCCAGCTAAAAATACTCAGTATGTCCATATCCACGTTACCATGTAAACACAATGGCATCATTGCTGAAGTAAACAGAAATGAAGAGATCCAAACATCACTTACTAAGTCTATGTATTTTGAGGCATGCAAACAACTTGTTTAAATGGAATGAACTTAGAAGTGACTTATGCTCTGGAATTACTTTCACAGGAGGTGTTACTTCCATGGATGGATTTCTTTCGAAATTCTTCCCGACGGTCTACACACAAAAGAAGCATGCACATGAAAATAACTACTGTAAGTACAACAACCAAGGTCTGGCAGCATTTACATCTTCTCTATATCTTGCTGGACTAGTGTCATCTCTCGTGGCATCTCCAATCACACGGAAGTATGGAAGACGTGGAAGTATAATCTGTGGTGGACTGAGCTTCATAATTGGAGCAACTTTAGATGCATCAGCTGTTAACCTAGCAATGCTGATTCTTGGTAGGATTATGCTTGGCTTTGGCATTGGATTCGGAAATCAGGTAAACTACAGTACTTAGAAAATTTGCTCAAAATGTGTTCTTACCGTCGCCACTGGAAAGCTACAGTTGTAGTACCATTATTTTGTGGTTCTCTCTAAAAATTACTGCATTTCCGCTAAAACAGCAGCAGCTAACTCTTTGTTCTAATTGTTTTCTTCAAGGCTGTTCCACTATACCTGTCAGAGATGGCTCCCACCCATCTCCGCGGAGGTCTTAACATGATGTTTCAATTAGCAACCACCCTTGGGATCTTCACAGCAAATATGATCAATTATGGAACAGAGAGAATACATCCATGGGGGTGGAGGGTATCTCTAGGACTGGCAGCTGCTCCAGCTATTTTGATGGCTGTCGGAGGAATACTACTTCCAGAAACACCGAATAGCCTGATTGAACGAGGATCAATGGAGAAGGGGAAAAAAGTTTTGGAAAAAATCAGAGGAACAACTAATATTCATGCTGAGTTACAAGACATAGTTGATGCGAGTGAGCTAGCCAACTCAATTAAGCATCCATTCAGAAACATTCTTGAGAAGAGGAATAGGCCAGAGCTAACCATGGCTATATTCATGCCAACTTTCCAGATTTTGACCGGCATAAATTCAATTCTCTTCTATGCCCCAGTACTGTTTCAGACTATGGGCTTTGGAGGAAGAGCTTCTCTGTACTCTTCTGCAGTAACAGGAGCAGTTCTAGCTTCTTCAACATTGATATCAATTGCTACAGTTGATAGATGGGGTCGCAGAGCTTTACTCATCGGTGGAGGGATACTAATGATCATTTGCCAGGTAATAAGATTAGCATTCTGCAATACGCTCTCTTACATGTACCCCTCTCCCCACGCTACCATGCATGCAGCAACAAATCGAAAAGACGTAATAAATTGACCAGATTCAGGTAGTAACTAGACACAGTACCAGATAGAGTTCCCAGTGAGCTAGAAATCAATGTAAGAACTTTTTACATTTAATTAAATAGCTACCTGAGACATAATCCATCAAGGACAGAGCTTCCAAGAAAGAAAAACATAAGCAAATAGGTGTCCAAAGATCTCTACACATGCAAAGGCAGGAGTTCTAACTCAGCTAGTAAGCTCATACGGTGGCTAGCCATCACTTTTACTACTCCTGAATTCATTTACCTTTGTCGGGTACATTGCCAAACCGTATCTGTCGAATATACCAGATCAGAAATGCATAATCATAGACAAAAAGGTAATGATCAAGTAGGCCAATTTAAATTAAAATTAGGTGAAGAGATAAGCAACATCTATGTAAATGTGCATTTGGTTACTACACAACTGACTTTCTGATTAGTTTCATTTTTCTCCTGGCAAAACAGGTCATTGTGGCAATTATTTTGGGGCTAAAGTTTGGCAGTGATAAGGAGCTTACTAAAGGCTACTCCACTTTGGTAGTTGTGGTGATCTGCCTATTTGTTGCAGCTTTTGGGGTATCATGGGGCCCACTAGGGTGGACGGTGCCAAGTGAGATATTCCCTTTAGAAATCCGGTCAGCCGGACAGAGCATTACAGTAGCCGTTAACCTCTTCTTTACCTTCATAATAGGCCAATCTTTCCTATCCCTCCTGTGTGCTTTCAAGTTTGGGATCTTCCTCTTCTTTGCGGGCTGGATTACCATTATGACAATTTTTGTATATCTTTTCCTACCTGAGACAAACGGTGTTCCGATTGAGGAAATGGTGTTCCTCTGGAAAAAACATTGGTTCTGGAAGAGGGTCCTCCCAAAGGATTCTGAATCCAATGGCAATGCAGAAGCAGCGTAAGAAAAGTCAGAGAACTACCTGCAAAAATCAGAGTTTGTTGAAAATATAAATTGTAAGGATAGTATACTGCAGTAGCCAAGGAAAGAAGGTGTGAAAATACATAGTTTTAGTTGTTAAGGGAAAATGTGGTGAACAGATTGAACTAACTAGCACTTGGTTTGAATTACCACATGATTCTGCCAAAATTTGTAAACAGCTTTTCTGATGGAAATATGCTAGCAAAATATTCTCTCATGCAAGAATGTTGTTTCTGATATTTTACTGATGTTTGAGAATATATGTGTATAGTCCTAAATCACACCAAACAAACCTCTTACAGAACACATGATGAAAATAAGTGATCAAGTTAGGCAGGTAATTCCTCTATGCTGATGTACAAGCTAATATTGCTTTTGGCTCCACATCTAAAACCCTCGTCAGATCATGAAACTTCTGAGAGGGGAATCCACTAAGGAACTTCACAGGCCACAACTCTCAGAAAATGTTGAATTCTGCTGCAGTAGTTGAGAATCAATTCAATCAGTTCCAAGATGTGTCGTCCAAATGCCTACATAAATAAAAAGGAGATGATAGCAGATGACCACAGCTTTCGAAAATTTCAATCAAACAAGAAAAGCTTTAACACTGAAAACAACAACTCTAGCCACAAATTTATCAAATAGGTCAATTTTGAAAAAAATCCAGACCTTTACCACGGCCAAAACCCCGCAAGGTAGGAGGCCAATAAGGTACTCAAAAAAAAGATTTGTCACTACTTCAGCAATGGACATTACCACCTCCATAAGAACATGCAAACATTTCCAACACACAGAAAAATAGGTAATATATACAGTAGTGTACTCCGTCATAAGTGAGACGTGATGAATTATGTATGGAATCCACGCCTCCAAGCAGGTAAGGCAAGGAGGTGGCGTAGAGGTTCATTGTAAATGAATATAAATTCATGACCAAGGTAAAGGATACAGTGAGCTTGAGTGTTTAGTTGGAATTTCAATCATGGTTTAGCAGTCTCATCCATGCCTAAGGAAACATAATGTTCACTTTATAGTTGATAAAACACTATGCATCCTCCCAGGCTATCTCTGCAAAGCATCAAGTTCAGAATACATACCTTCATGTCAGAATAGAAATTGTTGAGCTCAAGATATAGTGCACATTATCACAAAGGTGCAGTCCATGAAACATTTGCCATCATAGCTAATTAAGTTAACTATCCTATAATCTACTACACCTCTCTGTTCACTACGGTAAAACACTTTCCAGAATCTGTTTAGAGTAAAAACTGATGCTGTTTCTCAATAAGTCCACTATTTTGCTAAAGTGAATGAAAATTAAATCCCTCACTGTAGCTGTGAAGTTCTGCTACACCAGAAATTTATGAATCTGATAAAGCATTCACACCCCTTATATGCAGAGCTTTCGAGATCCTCATCCATGCGAGTACCGAGCAGCACCGCAGGAAACTGCTAAGGAAATTGTGCCCAGCTTAGAAGAGCAAGTTTAGATGCATATATCAATCAGTCCTAACGAATAGCATTTCTGTCATCTTTTTGAAGCATTGTTGATGAACAGTTCACATTTGCATTGAATTGGAAAAGTTAATACCACAAAAGTTTGGCCAGAAACAAAACATAAGGATCATAGTAAATTATGTCTTATTACAATAGAATATAAGCTTACAATTGAGAAGAGGTTACCCCTCTACTAAACGGATTCTTATGAGCTATATCATCATAGTAATAACTATTCCAGATGTTCCACAAAAGAAGCATCCACTTATTCTTATCATCACTACTCCAGATGTTCCACAAAAGAAGCATCCACTTATTCTGATAATCTACCAACAGAAGAAATGTTGCAGTACCATGAAGTATCATCAAATACTATCAGGCTTGGAAGAATTTACACATTGTGTCCTAATTCATTGAAAATACCAAAGCAGCGTCCCAAACCTCGTTCACAAGTTTAAAGCCTTATACTGCTCTCCTCCATTCATGCATTGAAACGTAGTAATACTGAATAACAGCTTGTGCTTTTTTCTCTGCAAGTTTGTGTAATGCCCCTGTTTTGCTTACCATCATCCTTCCTGATTGGTAAAAAAATGTACGATGAATGAAGCAAGCAAAACAAACTCACCCAATGTAAACATATCAATCCGATTCGGCCTCAGAGGAATCCAAGTGATGGGAAGAGTGTAAGGTTCACGATATATCAAGCCTCAACAAGCGGAGGAGGTCGTTGGTAGCAGCATCAATTTTCATCTTCTCTTTGCGGAAGAATGCCGGCAACGGAAGGGAGCTCGGAGGCGGGGAAGCAACAATCGGGGCTGGTCCAGCATAAAAATCGGACGCCCTAATTTGCATCTGAACCGTCTTCGGATCAGGTCCCAACCGACCCGTAGAACATAAAACCAATTCATCGTCGTTGCGGCGAGCAGCAAACCCTAATTTCTTAATCTCCTTAGCCGGAGTTGCACGAGGAGCCGGAGGCGGAACAGGCTTCTTGCCATCAATCATCGAGTCCGGTAAAGCCTCTCCGCGTTTCAGGATCTTAACTTGGCCCATGACGAGATTACTCTTGGGAGGGGAAGGAGAAGGAGAAGAGTCCGGCGACTTGCGATTCGAATTAGATGACCTAAACCGGTCCTGACCGGTTGATTCAACCCTGGTAGGGCTCCGTTTCCGACGATTAGATCTGAAACTGAAAACGTTGTTGGGGATGGAATTAGCAGGGCTTCGACGGGAACCATTCGGCTGACGAAGATGATCCTGAGGTCGGACGACGGCGATGGCGCACATCGTTGTGGAAATTATAATCGTCTCTTTCGCCTAAAATGAATTGAATTCGAAATATTTCGACGGAATCAGAAGAGCAAAAGGGATTGGGGGAAAAAGGAGCAGTAATGAAAAATGGTTGAAGAATGAGAGAGAAAATGTGTACAGTTTGTATACTTGTGGGGTAGTTTGGGTAGTGTAGAAAGATTGATGGGGTTGTTCATTTATATAAGTAGTACAGTTGGATTAATCTTAATACATATAGGGTTAGTGTTAAAAATCTCATCTGACGTACGATTTGGATATATTGGCAATTTATAATTATACTCTAGTTAGCAACTTGAATCCGACCGACTTATAAATTGACTAAGCAACCGTTTGATTCCTGGAGACATGTTTTTTTTTCTTTTGGTTTTTTTTTTATTGTAAGAGAGTAAACTCATGTACACTGCAACATCGTGCACATCACAGTGAGAGTTAAATCACCATAGGCAAGTTTTCGGTGCGAAATTTGAGGTAAACCACCCTATGCAAATCCTATATGACAAAGCTCGAGTACAAAATCGAAAATTCATGTGTGCGGTTTGTCATAAAAAAACCTTTCAGAGATGTAAATAGACAGATATAGAGCCACCAGTTACTCTTTGTTAGAGTGGATGAATAAACTCATGATCTCCTAGTGAAAACAATGGTAATTTTATTACTGAACCAACACCACATTCGCAATGAAAATGTATTATAAATTTGTGAAAAATTACAATACTACTAGCACCTAGCTTTTTGAATATATTTGTGATTCACTAAACTAAATCCCATTTTTCATTAATCAATATAACTTTAAAATTAATATTTTGAGCAAATTATTTAGAATATCTTTAAATATTTAGAATTGTATTTTGTAAATATTAACACTTGAAAAGAAGGTCAGATTTATCCAAAAAAAAATTTACACAACTCAAATTCAAACTAGTCAACGTATTCACATTAGACTTCGAATACGTAATATAATTAAAAAAAAAAAAATTGGCAACACTCACTTTTTGCTCTTTTATCTTTTTGGTGCTAATGTCCTTTTTTTTATGAAAATTATCTTTCCAGCTCAATTTTATAGTTAAGTAAAGACCCATTATCATGTCGAAAAATTTTTTCGAGAGGGACTCTTTGTACATACCCTAACTACATATTTATACAAAAATCACAAAAAAAAAAGGTCAATTACATGTAGATACTTGGATCTTCATGTAAATTGTAGAGAGATATTCATTTTCATACACCAAATTCTACACTTTCTTACTTTTACGATGGAAGGTTACTTTTAGGTATGGTGTGGATTGTTGTTTTTGCTTGTCTTTGTTGTTTTTGCTTGTGTTTAGTGAACGTGTGTTTGAAATATGTTTTAACATACGTTTTGAAATTGATTGTAAATATTCATTTTGGACAAATAATTATATTTTAATCGTTTACCATTGATCTCCACTAAAAATAGCTCCATTCTTTTATTGGTACTCAACCAACCAAGATTATGTCCGAGCCATCAAAAATTTAGGTAGCGGGGGGAGGGAAGGGGTATGGTAGTGGAAAAATAATTTCACACACTAAGTGTATCCCTTTTTTCAGTGCAACAACTCACCTATTATACAATAAAATATCATGGTCCCTTCTAATTTGGTAGTAACTTTCCCGGTAAAATTACAATCTTAACTTTTTTATGTGTCCTACGTAATACAGCAGTTGTGTGAAAGATTTTCTCATGATAGTAATCAATGACGGTGAATTGACTTAGTGATTAAAGTGGCAAAAAGAAAAGGTAATAAAATGTTAGAGACAACACATGTTTTTAAGGGTGGATTGTCCTAACAGGTATATGAAGTTATTTGAGAAAACAAACTCGCAAAATTAGTTTCAAAACAATAGTCCAAAACATATCCTTAGTATTTCAAAAGTTCCCACATTTACAGTAGTCTATTTTTTATTTGTATTTTCAATATGTACCAGGAAAAAGTCTTTAAAATTGCATAGAGAAAAGCTGTGTTATGATCTCCATATGTAAAAGTCACTTAAGCCGAACTTTTTCCCGAAGCAAAGGATTTCCCCTCCAAAGATTTGAAAAGGTGCAATATCGAATCCTGTTACCTTACTTCTAATGGAATTTTAAATAATATGTTCGTCTATTTTTCCCTTAAGTCTTGGTGTCTTTGATTTGATTTCCTAAAAGGTTAATGAAATATTTGTGTAGTGTCCTCAAGTATTTGACACCTAATCCCTTCTTCTTCTTCATCCCCTTCCTCTAGCTTATTCCCTCTACTTTAAAATTATCCAGCTTATATTTTTATTTTTATTAGTAAAATTTGAATTAAAATATAAATTTAAATTGAATAATAATTTTGGGACAGAAAAATTATATAATATGAAAAAAGATTATATAATATGAAAAAAGTTATTTATATTATACAATTACCTTGTTTGAACCCAGATAATAAGCATAAGTAATGCTTTCTCCAAGAACTTGTATTTTTGTTTCACCCCACCCTGAAACAAAAATAAAGAAATTAGTCATCGATTACATTCCATGTTGTGTTTGGAAATCTAATCCCACATGCGTACATTGATAGACTTATTATATTATTTCTCCCTACATTTTACAACATTTTTAATAATAATAATAATAAATAAATAGAGAGTTAGTACTAGTAAAAAACAACAAAACAATTGCCGACAATAATTAAAGTTTATTGTCTAAATTTCATTCTTGTGTAATATTTAAAGTTCATAAAAGTGATATTATGGATATGTATAATATTATTACGTACTTAAGAATGCAATGTAATAAACTAGGTACCTTAACATAATAAATACTCCCTCCGTCCTATAATTATTGTCCACTTTGCCCAAAAAATTTTGTCCTAAAATTGTTGTCCAATTTGATTTTTTATGGATCAAGTTACACATTTGTCCTTAGTAAAAAACTATTATCTATAAAATCTTAGTGGTTAAACAATTACTTATGTAGGGGTATATCCAGTTATTTAAGTAAAATATAATTAAGTTTGACCAAAAATAAAATTTTTATTTCAGTAAAATTAGACAATAATTATGGGACAAAGGAAGTACGTATTTTCTTTAAAAAAATAACAATGGCCGACAAGGCGCCAACTCGAACCCCAAAGGCCAAAACTTTGCAAATAATAGAATTTAAAAATAATTGGTGCAGTGTTGCTGGCCAATGTGCGCATAATAATGTACATTCACCCAAAAAAAAAAAAAAAAGAGAGAGAAACGCAACGGTCCAAGCAGTACAGGTAGATTTATAGACGAGCCTCATGGGACCCACTTATTTGGGAGCTCAGCATCCACCCTAACAAAAAAATTTTCCGGCAAAACGAAATTACGAAAACCACGTCAAAACTTCAAATCAGAAGACACGCGCACTCTACACTGATTTTTGTGATTACTCTTTCCTTGTCCTGACGCGACTGACTGACCACATTTTACCCAAATTTCAATTTTACTCTCTCTTTTTTTTTTTAATAAATTATAAACGACCCTTCCTCGAAGCATTTAAGACAAATTTACGGACATTACTTTCTGAAGATCGGACTGCTCTTCCTCAGCTCATCCCTTTGATCTTTACCATCTTTTGTTTTTGTTTTTTCTTCTTCTCGGAGGAAAAAAAGAAAAGAAGGTAAATGGCCAGCTCGGAGTTGGGGCCTCACCTGAAGAAGGTGTCCAGCGAAGGTGGCTCATCGGAGAGTGGCAGCTCCGAGAGCAGCGGCGCCGATGACAGAGGATCCAGCGGGTACAGCAGTGGAAACGGGTCTGTATTTGAGTCTTCCGGGTGGGTTTACCATTTGGGTGTTAATTCCATTGGGCATGAGTATTGCCATCTCAGATTTCTCTGTATCCGGGGCAAGTATGTGGAGATGTACAAACGTGACCCCCTGGATAAACCTGGCATTGTAAGTCATAATTCTCCTCACACCCACCCTACTTTTGCCTTTTGTGTTTTTTTTTTTTTTTTATTTCTTTGCTTGCTGCCAACAGTTTCGGAAGAATCCCCTTCGACTGTGTTGCGGGCCTAGTTTCGCTACTCGTTTTCTGACTTAATGGCATATAAAATCGATTTGTGGAAGTGGCTGTTTATTGGCTTCTTGGTCCTTCTGTGCTGAGCTTGACTGATACTGAATGGTTGAATCCAGGAGGTTTTTGTTTAGATCCTTTGATGATGACATTGATGGCTCGTCTGTCTAAATGAAATTAATATAAATATGTGCTCCGTTTTTTTATTTGCCATACATGGTTTTTCTTTCTTCATATTACGCGCTTTGTTGCCTATTGGTTTTGTACTTTTGTTTAACTATTTGTCCTATGGTCACCCTATATGATCTTGATGCTATTTAGCGGTATAGTTGGAGCTAGGCTTTGTGGGACACTTACCATTGAAATCTAAAGATCAGAGTTCTGTAATAATTGGATGTAGGTTATAAAGACTGCATGGAAGTTTCTTATTTAGAAAAGCACTTTCGGAAAAAATGCTTTACAATTGTCACTTTCTTCTACATTTAAACAAAAGGGTGAAAAAGCTGGGGAGGAGTTGCTGAATCAATTACTTCAAGGAAAACAAAAGTTAAAGCCTCAAAATAGGCCACTTCATGAAATAATTTGCTTGCAAAGCCTTTTGTGAAATGCTGTGATATAAGGCATCACTGCTCATGTATTTCATCATGAGAAAAAAATTAACTTCTATACTGAGCGCAAACAATATTCTATCTCTTCTCTCCTTTCTGCATAGTATTTTTGTGGCTGTATCTCATTACATGTTATTGCCATCTTGGATATAAGATATGGGATCCATGAAAGACTCATTTTAGTTCCTTGCGTCTTTACTGCAGAAACCCATCAGAAGGGGTGTTGTGGGACACACACTAATGGTGGAAGAGTTAGGTCGCCGGAAGGTTAACAATGGGGTGAGGCTGTTATTCTGTTCCTTAAATGTGGATTCCAAACACAATACTTGAATATTTTACTAACCGATCCTCTTTCTCTGATCCTAAAAGCTGTTAATGTTACTCACATAATTAAATTAGTTTCTTCTTTGTAGTGTACTTTTCCTTCTTTGACTTATAAACTTCTGTTTCAGGCGTTTGTGACGTATCTCAGCTTTCGTGATAATAATCTAATTTTTACTATTTTCTGTTCTATGCTTCTAGGAACTCTATGTTCTAAGGTTTTACAACCGATTGGATGAGACAAGAAAGGGTGAAGTAAGTTGAGAATATATTCACTCAGCGATTTTCAGTTGTTCCAATCTATTAACGAAGAACTATGGAATACTGTATTAACTACTTCTCTTAGCTTTTGGTCTATGTTGTGGATCCATTGTCAACTTTTGCTGATTCACATTAGACAGACAACTTCAGCAAATGTAGTCATCTAATGAAGTACTTTTTTATTTGTAATTCTAGATTGCTGTTGCTAATGCCGGCGAGGCACGGAAATGGATGGAAGCCTTTGATCATGCAAAACAAGAGGTATCATTTGCAGCAATGCCATTTTATGCTGTTTAGTTACTTTAGGCAAGACCCCTCTGCTTTACCTGACCCATTAACTTAACATGTCATTGCCCTGATGTTTGAGTATTGGCTAACAATTTTCATGCTCAAACAAAGTAGTGATAGAGTATATTCACCATCATCACCTTATTCTCTCTAACTCATCAGCTTTCTCTTGTAGGCTGACTTAGAGCTTTCAAGAGCCGGTAGCACAAGAAACAAGCTTAACGTGGAGGATGAGTATGTTTATGCCTTTACCAATTTTAGCCGAACTTTAGTATTTGACACCTTTTGGATAAATGCCTCTATTAGGTTGTTCTGTTTACATTCTTCTTCCTGAAGGCAAGTTCGAAGACTAAAATGTACAGAAAAATAAAGGGTCACATGAAGGCTGTTTCAAATGAATGCTAAATTGCAAGTTTCCGTTTGCTTCTCAATTACTTGAGTGCTTTTCATCTATAGTTCCTGTTTGCTTTCATATTTCACAAAATGTTCGGACATGAGTGTTTATATTTGGGTAGTTGCTTTGCTGATGAAAGTCCAGGGGAATAACATTAATTTTCTCTGTGACAGGATCAATCTTGAAGGGCATCGACCTAAAGTGAGGCGCTATGCACGTGGCTTGAAAAAGTTTATAAAAATCGGACACGGTGAGGCTGTTTTCCATGTAGACGCTGTATGTTTAGAGTTAATATTAACCTAGTCTCTTTGTTGAAGTTTAATAACACACGTCTAGTGATTTGATTTGGTGAAATGTAAGCTGAATTCGGTATTAAATACTTGCAAAATGATAAAATAGATGGAAATTATCATAATGTTTGCACTTGATTGTTGATTAAGTGCTAAGGTTTTGGACCAAACCTGTGATGTTATATCCAATAGGTTAATCCTGATGAAACCATTGACACTAGTAGAAGTTTTTATTATAGGTGGGCTTACTGTTTGGAAACCATGTAATACATTAATCTAAGAATTCGGGCATCTTGTTTTCATTACACACGGTCCTCAGTGCTGCATGGGATCCTATAACACTTACTTTAATGTGTACATCATTTGACAATTGATGTATGTGCCACCTTGGCTGGTAACTTTCCAAGTCATCTTACCATGGGTGATAGATTCTGTTATACCTAGGTCCGGAGGAGCTCTTGCGTCAAACATCTAGCTTGAATGGGAGTGGTAGATCAGATATGTTTTTCGATGCAGACGGTGGAGATGTAATTGAAGCACATGAATGGAAATGTGTCCGTACAATCAATGGTATATATCCTTGCCTTTTGCCTTCACGTTACTTCTTTTTCTTCTTCCTGTGAGGTATTTGTGTAAATGTGACCAATAATGTACATTTAATGACTCAATATCTTTGTACAATCACTGTTTTATCTGTTGTGAGAAGAATATGTGATGGTTTTATGCTTGCTTCTATGTCATTTGTCTTCAAATTGAAGGATGAGGTTCTATCTGATCTACACCAAGTGGATGCATTAAGTTGGATAACATGCATTCATATTCAGTGTTCTGTCATGGGGATACACTTTCTGTTGCAACTAGCAGTATACTACTATACTACTATACTTTTACGTCATTTGTCTAAGCGTTTCACACTCAGGATATCTGATGTTAAGTGAAAGGAACCTATTTGGGTCTCTTGAGTACCCCGGGCTTTTCAAATGGACATCTTTGGTTGAGATACCTCATTGTTTTATAACAATTTAAACAATTATGCCAAAATTATTTGGTTGTGTAGCATTATTTATGTTGATGTTAGTTATTAATATGGGGAGGGGGAAGATTGCGAAAGAGGTTTATTTGTACTTCATTTTATGTCTGTGTTCTTGTAATCAATGTTTCTTTCGATTCTGTTATTCACAAAATATTCATATTTCACAAAACTGAATTCTAATGATGCTTTCATCGCAGGCGTTAGAATATTTGAAGATGTAGCCAGCTCTAAGGTATCTTTCCTATAAAAGCGTAGATGTTAATTGCTCCTATCCTGGTCATTTTATCCTTGTCTTTGTTACATCTTAAAATATGTATCTGTATGTCTATTTCTTTTTTAACTGCTCAACTTATTTTGAACGTTTTACTTTGTTTTAGTTGGAGTTTTCTCATAGTTGTGCACAATTTATTTGCAGAATGGCAAAGGTGTCCTTGTCAAGGCAGTAGGTGTTGTTGATGCCAGTGCTGATACTGTTTTTGATGTGGTTTTGAGTACTGATCGGCGTCAGAGATATGAGTATGTTCTCTATCGGTTGGCTCTATTGCTTCTGGTGCCTCTAGATATTTGTCTAACAGATTTACCACAGGTGGGATACATTGACAGGTGACCTAGAGTTGGTTGATCCTGTAACGGGCCACTATGACGTTGTATATGGAGTTTTTGATCCAAAATATTTAACTTGGTATGTGGTAAATCACATTGACAATTACATTTTTCTTGCTTTTGTTACTTTTTCCTTGTTATCTCTCACTTCAAAGCTCCCCAAGCTCTGATGTACATTTGGAGATTGGGCTTTGAAGTGGAACAACTTTCATAAAGCCAAGTCACACTTCAAAACTTAAGTCATCCTGCTGCCTGATGAACTAGACCTTGGCTAAGCTCATTCTTGGTTTATGTTCTCTAACAGTAAAGTTTTTATTCTTTGGACTAAAAGCTCATTTCAAGTTTAGCTCTGAGTGTGATTTATGGGGACCATCCAACTACTCTGACAGTTATAATCTAAGAAAAGAGTTCCCTCTTTGTTGAAGCTATGGATGTAGATGTTAGCAAGAAATTTGATCGTGCATTTTACATTGCTCTATGAAATTTTAGCACCTTATCTTTGAAACTTTCATCTTCTGTTCATAAGCACTTGGAGTTAAATCTTTTGCAGGTGGCAGTCCAAGAGAGATTTTGTTTTCTCTAGGCAGTGGTTTCGTGGACAAGATGGAACATACAGTAAGATATCTGACTTCATCTTTTTCATGCAAAGAAAATTTTGTTTGCTTGTACATCATTGTCTATGTTAATCATTTTACTCTAATTAACGACATGTGGTTTGGGGGACTCTTCTAGTCATTTTTATTTCATGATCGTAAGCATATCAGTTTCTTGTAATTATGAAATTCTCGGGATGACTGCAAATTTCCTGAGGTAGAGGGTGAAAAGATCTATATGAATTGATCAAGTTTACAATATTCGGCTCTTATAGTTTGTAAAACTAGCATGTGCAGGCAACCTAAATAGCAGGAGTAACTTAAAACAATATCATCAAATGAGCTTTTTCTTACAGAGTATATACCTAAAACGTCCTTTTCTGAATAACTCACTTTTATATAGATCAAACAAGTCATCAGCATATCTCATTTTTATACACTAGAAACTGTGGAGTTCACATGACTAATAATTATTCCATACGGTGCAGCTATCTTGCAATTCCCTGCAGTGCACAAGAACCGGCCTCCAATATCTGGATACCATCGCACCAAAATTAATCGTAAGGATTCTCTTTATCCCTCTTACCCACTGAAAGCTAATAGGTATCATTCTTTGTATGATCCCTTGGGTCTCTGCATTGCTGAAAGCCTGAGACCATGATATGAAGATACGCAATGCAATTCTGATGCGAAGTTCAAGGGGTGTCTTTAGGCTTTCTTAGTTTTGAAGATTCTGGAGCCATCAGTAGATTACAACTTTCTCAGAATCTACTCATTCCATATCTTCTGTGAGCAGTATAAACCGTTTTGCTATTTTCTCCATTGCCCATGCGCTGCAAGTGGTGGCTTACAATAACCCCTAGTCAATATTGTTAAGTACATATGTTTTTACTTGCCACTTATGAACGTCAAGGTCTTTCATTTATGTTTATGTTTTATGTTCAAATTCAGTATGTTTAAACTGTTACCTACTAAACACAATCTTGTCCTTTTTTTTTTTTATTATTATTTTTATTTTGTACTAAGCTTTTCATGTAATTATTTTGTTATGTAGCTTCTACATGGGAGATCAAGAATTTGAATTCTTCCTCTTCGTCCAAAGTAGCTCGTTGCCTTGTGACTCAAATGCTCGAGATAAACACCAAAGGATGGTTTAAGTGGAAGAACAGTTTCAGCCCAAAGTTTGAGAAAACTATTCCTTTTGGATTATTGAGTCAAGTTTCAGGTTTGTGAATTCCATGTCTATGCAATTTGTTAATAACTTTTGCATTTTGGTACATCTGCAAGTGAAGAGTAATTCCTTCTATCTTAACATGATCTCATATGAGTCGTAACATGCTCAAAAACTTTGGAAAACGTATGTTTTTGTACTTTGTATTTACAATAGCTAGGTAACAATGAGATCATCTCCGAGAGCTCTCTGCATAAGAAGTTGAAAGAACAGGACACATTGTTTTACTCAGCTACTGCTGATGAATTCCAACTGGATTTAGCATTTGATAAGCCATTTGGTTTTTTTTTTTTTTTTTTTTTTACCATTTGGTTTTAACTAAACAGGGATACTACATGATATTTTTCTTCTATACAACTGGTTTTGTATTACTCTTCCATTTGTATATGCTATTTTTAGGCCTACATTTGTCTTAATTTAGTTGAATGAATTTAGAATAATCAATTTGCTCAGCCTAAAACATTGATTTGATTACCCTCCACATGCCACCCTTTCTACCAAAGGCTAATTGGAAACCCTTGTCTGGCAAATTGGCCATCTTGAGAGAACCCCATTGACAAGAACATGCGATCCCCATCCTTTCCATGAGTAATTTCCTGAAATGTGAGAATGTATTAAATGCTGTTTTGTACCACAATAATGATTTATGGTGATAACATTTGGTCGTTGAAAATGTTATTCAGGCCTGAAGGAATACATCGGAGCAAACCCTGCTCTTACACTTGAATCAGCTGCGACTGTAATTCATTCAAAAATCTCTGATGAGACGACATCCAATGGGGAATTCAAGGATGCAGAAGCTCCCGATGAATTCTATGATGCAATTGCTGGAGATTCAGAATCTGATGATAGTGATGACGACACCGGAGCTAACGAGGTTCCGTTTCCATTCTTTGTTTCTTCATTGCAATTTGAGACCTTTGTTAATAAGGGTTTGACCTGTTCATTTCCTCTGACCAGAAAAGGAAAATTAAACTGAAGAATGTTTCATGGGCCATTGCAAGTCTAGCTTTAAAGCGAAAATCAGGTGTCCTTTTTTACACAATTGACTATTGTATTTTTATTGTTTTACCATTTGAGGGGGATTTGGAACTATTTCTGGCAAAATATTTAAGTGCAATTTCTTTTTTGGTGAATACGCAGCCTTGGATGCAAATAAGGAGTTAGACTCAAGTGTAACTCCAATAAATCTGGACTCCTTCCAGTTCCATGGTACCATGCAGCAAGGAAAAGATGGGAATGATTCTAACTGCTGGAGTTCTCCTAGTGGCACAGGTTTCATGATCAGGGGCAAAACATACTTGAAAGACAGCACAAAGGTGGAGTTTTTATGTTTTGAACACAAGCATGCAGTTACTTTATATTGCATGGTTCTAGCCTTCGAGCTGAGTAAAGGAAGGGGATAAAAGCTTATTCTGTGTGCATCTGCTATGTCCAGGTAAAAGGGGGCGAGCCACTTCTAAAGCTCATAGCCGTTGACTGGTTCAAGGTCGAAAATACTGCTGACAAGATTGCATTGCATCCCAAATGTCTTGTTCAGGTAATTCTCTATCAATCATAATCTACAAGTGTTTGCCTTGGATTGATTGGATGATTTTGGTTATTATCTTTTCCTTTCAGTTTAATACTTTTGGCCTGATCTTATGTCCTACCAAAAGCATAAATGTCTATTTAAGACGCTCAATTACAGTGCAAGGGAACAAATCATCTGTCTTGTTTATATAACTCTTAATAAGATGTGCTCTCATGTTATAATTATGCGGAAGTAGGAAATGGTTGTTTTGATTTTGAATTCTAGAATTTGATGAGGCTGTCAGTCCAATTTTATTCTCTGTTTGCTTCTTTCATTGTTGGTACAGGCCTCTACCAATTTATCCCTGTTTCGACCTGTTTTCCTTTCTTTCTTTATTTATTTATTTTTTTTTGGGGGTAATCGTCATAGGTATAGTTGTTTTGTGAGACAGATAAATTAAGACTTTATATTCTTCCTATTCTCGACTTTTGTCGGTAGGCAAATATCTTCCTGGAGTTCAGAGTTTACAAGACAATAATTTCTAATAACAGGTCATGCAAAATTGTGATGGTCATTTGTCTGTCTCATGTTTCCATTGAAGTCTCGCACCCTCTACTTAAATTAAATTGGGCCTCTTTTATTTACTTGTTTTTTTTTTATAGTAGACCTAGATTGAACTCCAACTGCGTTCTCATTAACTAATGCCCTGTCAGGAGTTAGTTATGGTTATTTGTCCCGTTCAGCTTTCAAGCTCCTAAAGTGCTGTAGAAACCAGTTTCAGCTATCTAACATAACTGCCATATTATTACAGTCTGAAGCAGGGAAGAAAATTCCATTCATCCTTGTTATCAATCTTCAGGTACACACCAGGCCTTGTGGACACTGTCTCGCTTTTATTTATATATATACAATCAATGCACTCTCGTTTTCTGGAAAATATTTTCTATCATGTATCATTCTTTCATAGAAGATTTTCTTAAATATAATTTAGGCCTCACATGTTATAATGTGTGATTGAATTTCCATGTGAAATCTTCCTCCTTATCCACACTCCTCAACCCAGGAAGAATACTATAAATCCAAATTGAAGGATAGATCTTATGATTTGTGAATGATGTTATGTTAATCTTCACATTTTCTCATCATTATGTCAATATTTCTATTGGCAAAAGCTGGCCTTGGAGAAGCCACATGTTACTCAAACATTTGAATCATTTATAATCTCATTTCTAATTCATTTGGTTCATTCAAAGGGTACTTTCCTGAGATTAAGGTGTGTTCTCCCTGTTTTAACTTTTGCAGGTTCCAGCCAAACCAAACTACAGTCTGGTTCTATATTATGCTGCCGACAGACCTGTAAATAAAAATTCTTTATTGGGTAGATTTGTCGACGGAACTGACATGTTCCGTGATTCAAGATTCAAATTGATTCCAAGCATTGTTGAGGTTTGAATAGTTGTCCTAGTCTCTAAATTCTGTGATGAACTTGTAGCCACTTTCTGTTTTTGATGTGGTGAGCAAATTTTCTCGCAGGGGTATTGGATGGTTAAACGCGCTGTTGGAACAAAAGCTTGCTTACTTGGAAAAGCAGTCACCTGCAAGTATGTTAGGCAAGACAATTTTCTGGAGGTAATGTTTGAGCTAATCAAAAGTTATCACTTTCCTGATTATTCCATCGTGCTATCAATCTAGAAGTTCAAAAGACTAGATTTTTAATCATCAATAACTTTGCAGATTGATGTGGACATTGGCTCGTCGTCCGTAGCAAGGAGTGTGATAGGCCTCGTCCTTGGATATGTCACCAGCCTAGTAGTTGATCTCGCAATTTTGATTGAGGTCTGTCTACCCATACCCTAATGTCCATATGCAGCTGATATGCATATCTAAAAAACTTTTTTAGTCTCTCTGTATCTTCTGATTTATGTTTCATTTACCTCTAAAATGTTCGGTTTGCAGGCAAAAGAAGAAGCTGAACTACCGGAATACATTCTCGGAACTGTTAGATTAAATCGCTTTAGGCTCGATTCCGCTGTAAATTTGGAGAGCTGAGGTTATGATCTCTAAATGAGTGTACAATCAATTTTTGAGTTTGATGAAGCTGTTTGTTTCCCCGTGTGACTGTCCTGCTTATTACAATCTCAGTATTCACAAGTCTTGCACAAAACAACCTGGGTGAATAGCCAACTTAGTATATATTTACTGCTGGCTAATTACCTGTGTCTATTCTCCTCTTTACCCATTACTGTAATCTTTAAAGTTACAGAAACGCAGTAGAAATTGCTGCTTTCTTTTTTACTCTGTAATTTACCTTTTTCCTATTAATTTGCTAACGTCGGTGAATAACTCTCTGAGGAACTACTTGTAACCCAAGACTTTCTTGTTTCTTGGTACTAGTAACTACTAAGGTAAGGTAAAATAACCGAGAGATGTATAATGTATTAAAGGAAATTACTGTAAACGCGCATATTATAATTTTTACATCTTCCTGATAGTTCCTGCTTGTGAGTCCTAAAAGAATGAAACTTGCAAGATATCGACGGTCACAATTTTTTTTGGGTTCAACAAGTTTTTATAACAAAAATAAACAAATATATAAACCCGACTCCCAGTAATTTCAGTTGTTTTCCTCTCTTGCTGCAAATCCAGTCCCCAAAAAACACAGAATTCCTTGTCAACATCATTCCATGAAGAACCCAGGAAAAACCCAGAAACCTATGGCCATGGAAGAAGGCGAATGTGAAATTCAAGCGGCTTTCACTCTGCTTCGTATGAGGGAAACGCCAATAGACGCTGATACTGCAGAAAAATTGCGCATTCAGAGGAGAAAAATCGAAAAAGAAAGAAGAGCCCGCTGTTTGATTAGGGAAAGAGGTGTTGTTTCTGATCATCTCTTCAAGAAGAAGAACAACTTCGATGGTGGGTTACTTGGAAGGCAAGAAAAAGACAATGTCGGATTTCTTGGCCGGCAAGAAATAGGGGTCCTCCCAATTCCCGGGAATGACAATCACCGGATGAACTACAACGGCGGCGGTGTTTCTGTTCAATTGCCAAGGTACCCACGAACTCAGACCGTGGCCCAACGGATCGGAGCTTTTTGCAGCGAGCCATTCGAAAAGGTCTTGACGGTTAGTGATCTCAAACCCCATCTTCACAAACTGGCGTTAACCAGAGAGAAAGTGCACGAAAAGCTGTTGCCAATGTTGGAGACCGGAGATGGAAATGTTGTGGAAGGGATAGAGGTTGTTACTTACGATTGGTTGGGTAATGAGTTTCCGATGAAATTCAAGGCTTGGAATGGAAAAAAAATCTATGTCTTGACGGCTGGGTGGAATAAATTGCTAGTGAAACATCGGAACACGATGACTGTCCAAGATAGAGTCGTCATTTGGATGTTCAGAGAGAAATCATCAAAGGGGAAAATTTGCTTTGCTCTGGATCTTCTCAAGAAGAACAGAGCAGGAGATTACCAATGGTTAAATCAGAATGTTGTTCACAAGCCTCCCAAAATCAGGATCAAGAAAAGCTGATTGTTTGCCCAGTAATTATGAATTGCGTTGCAAAGGTTGGATTTTTGTAGCAGCAAGAGCAGTAGTAGCACCTTAATAGGTGTAAGGATCCTCTTCTCTGCCTTTCTCATAAACCCTAGTATCCTATCATTATTAAACTCCTTTTGATCCTGTAATTGAATAGGGCTTAATGGTAAAAAAGGGATTTTTAGCATATATTAGGTCGAATTGTTTGTGTTTTTACTGTTCTTTTCTGTTTATTTCATATTTGGGGTCCTAATTTGATTGAGCAGGGTTTCAGGGGTGAAACAGAGTATCATTAGTGCAAAAAGATTTTTGGTAAAGGGGGGAAATAATTAGGGTTTTGCAATTTGCAGATTAAACTTGTGTAATGAATAATTTCTTTTGTCTGCCAAACGTGTGAATTTTATAGCTTTTGTAAATAGTAGAAAAATTTTGCTTTTTTTTTTTTTAAGTTAATGCTCTGCTTTTTATAATTGATTGGTGTGACTCTGATTGGTGATGGTTTTAATTTCTGTCCGTTTGCTGTTCTTCTTCCTTTTTCTGTTGAAAATTCAGGGTTTCTTTTTTTACCCAGAAATCCTAATCACACTAATCAGCTTTGAAAAGACTGGAATTTTTAAAGGAAATAATAGAGTGAAAGTCATAAAGATAATCACGGCTGGTGAGGTTTGAGTGTCCTTTTCAATGTTTTCATGTTTTTGTTTTTGCCGGTTCCCAGAAATCTGACTGGATGGTTGTATAAATTTTCCACAGTTATCGTTGACAATTCTATATAGGTTTGGTCTAAAAAAATACTATATTACTACTAAATCAGGATGCAATTCTGTAACAGTTGAATTCGACCATAAACAATGCATCTGATTTTGTTTATAGCTATTTATACCCTATTTTGGGTAATTTATCATTCTGGGAGTGTAATTAATGATAAATAAAACACAACCACCAGAGCACCCGCCGTGTGGGGTGGCCCGGTGACGGCGACTATTCCTGAATTCACGACTCTATTTGCTTTATTTTCGGAGAATTCTTGTCCCCTTTCTAGCTTTATCTGAGTAGTTAAAATTCACAGACAAAGAGGGGGACTTAATCAATTGTAAATCTTGGTCCACTTAGTGTGTAAACTGTACGCTAAATTCCTAGCTTTATTGCTTTAGGAATCTGTGCACACAGTTCCAAGTGGAACACTCCTCAAATTTGGTTTTGCCAATAACTCATTTTTGGTTGCATTCTCAAATCCAATCGAGATTAGTGAATGATAGTAACGTATGACCAAGGTTCATTTACTAAAAAGTTGTGGACATCAAAACTTTAATGTTATGCTCTATGGTACACATTTTACAGTGACCATAATAGTACTACTACTATTTACTTAGATTTTTGCATATTGCGCACGGTGTTTCCTAAGTGCATTGCACTCAAATTAATCCGCACTGAGGCGGGTTTGTCTCTTTTCAGAGAGAAAGCTTCCTCAACATTGCTCTTTCCATTCACGAGACTCGAATCCGAGACTTCGCTTAAGTAAACCAAAATACTTTACTACTTTGGCCTAACAAGTTTTGGTACTATTTACTGAGATGGATACAAGATGAAGTAAAAGATATACCCTGATTTTGGTGGTACGTACTACATTAACAAAGACCATACGCTTTTCCAAACCCTCACGGGTATACATAAGTTCAATTGATGTTGTTTGTCTGTGTACAAATAAATTTCACTCCTGCTTTTCACAGTATTAAATGTCGGACTGTGTGGATCTGCAGACTCGTTTGCTTCCACATTTTGAGTTTATTAGTCGGAGTTGCCAGCAACACCGGTGGAAACAATACATGCAAAATCACAGACACAACCCTTTTTTCACAAAACCACTGTCCTTCAGTTTCTGCTTCTGAGTCCTTACCAAGAAGTCCTTCAAAACTCCCAAGATCAATGGTTTTCATTTATTTTTCTCGTATCCCAATGCCAGTGTAATTAAAAATAAAAACTTTGACTTTCAAGCATTATTTATTGGTACTCTGCCACCATTAGAGAGGGTTCAGTACGTTACTTAAGACTAGATCCACAATTGTGTAAGAATAAGAAGTGGTCTTTGCCTTTGGGGGTCACAAAATGACAATAATTTAAGAAGGAAGGCATCATAATTCATGGCCCATTCTCGAGGGTTTAGGCTTCTAACTTCAAGGACACGATCGTGAGAGAGATGCCAAAGCTAGCTTCATTCGTACTACTCCTACAAAAGTTTAGTAGGGAAAGATCACTGCTTTTTTCATAATGCTGCCCTTTTTTTTTTGGCTCCTTCGTGCCATTTTTATGACCCCATTCTTACAGACAAAATGCTAATCCATAACGCCTTTTACTCTTTACGCTAGCATGGTATGCATGGAGCATTACAAAAAAGTGGAAAATGCATATATATGTTTGAGCTGGTTTAATTTGGAATCTATGATACTCCTTCCAAACTAATATTATTTTATGCGTTCATCTTAGAGATCACGGATTTGAATTTATTTCAAGCGTTTAGACCATAAAAAACGCTTAAAAACACAATACAGTCAAAATACTGAACACTTGTACTCTTCAAGGCTAACTTATAATTTTCATTTTCCCCCTCGTATATGAAATTGTTATCATCAATTACAGAAATACTGCTTATCAAATCAAGGATTAATACAGGTTACAAACTACTATTATGGATTCAAATATTCGTTTTGACCGTCATAATTGCACCTCAAAATAGCTACAAAAGTTGCCAGTGGACCCAAAAGTGTACATGTATTGAATTTGAAGCCTGCTGTAAGCCTGTAACTACTGCTTGAATTTCAGCTCTTACTAGTATTTGTTGATACCACAGCAAACTAATTGATGGTGACTTGAGGGCAAAAGTACTTCCAGATAGGGATCCAATTACTGGAATTTTGACGTTTAATAGCAGGAAAGAGAGAGAGAGAGAGAGATTAAGATGCCCTCTAATTATAATTTATTCAGAAATACATTCCTTAATCACACACACACACACAAGCTCTTTAGAAAAAGCATTAAGCTGGTCCACTCTTTTGATTCAAAAGGAAATCAATAATAGTGTGAGAAATTCTTTCAATCACAACTAATCAATAAAACGTCATTGCCTCCTTTTCTTCAACCTTTCTCCATTCCCTATGCATCACCTCATTTAGCAACACTTCAATAACAGGGAACACAATGTGACTCTGTAATCTGTATTTTGTTTTTCTTTCTTTCTACATTTGCCTCTGCCTCCAGCTTTCTTTCTTTCTTTCCTCAGTACTATGATTCAAGTCCCTATGGAGATTCTGAACCTCAAGTGCTTCATCGTTTTTATGACTTTTTTCATGTTCTCAATCACAACGATTCCTGCTGCGGATCCCTTATCTGAAGCACTTTTGAGCTTCAAATCAGAGCTTACAGATCATTCCAACTCTTTAGGTGACTGGGTTTTGCCTGAAAATCTGAATGACACTGATAAAGGTAGCATTTTTGCTTGTTCTTGGTCTGGGGTGAAGTGTGATGAGAACTCCTCCGCAGTTATTGGTTTGGACTTATCCATGAAGAATCTTGGCGGTGCAATGTCGGGGAATCAATTTGATGCCTTCATTGACCTAGTTGATCTTAATTTAAGTTATAATTCATTCTCAGAGCAACTTCCGGGGAGTATTTTTAACCTCACCAACCTCAGAAGCTTAGATATCAGCAGGAACAATTTTTCTGGTCATTTTCCTAAAGGGATATCAAAGCTTCAGAATTTGGTTGTTCTTGATGCCTTCAGCAACAGTTTCTGGGGACCCTTGCCGGCTGATGTTTCACAAATTGAGACCCTCAAAGTGCTAAACTTTGCAGGGAGTTATTTCAATGGTCCAATCCCATCAGAGTATGGTTTCTTCAGGAGCCTTGATTTCATCCATTTGGCCGGAAATTTCTTGGGTGGTGAAATTCCTCCGGAACTGGGAATGCTGCAAACGGTGACCCACATGGAAATCGGTTACAATACTTATGATGGAAGCATTCCTTGGCAATTAGGCAACATGAGCCAGCTTCAGTATCTTGATATTGCAGGGGCAAACCTTTCTGGCCCAATCCCAAAGGCGTTCAGCAACCTCACCAATCTTAAATCCCTTTTCCTGTTCAGGAATCAGCTAAATGGAATGATTCCCTGGGAGTTTAGCAATCTGATATCTCTGGAAAGTTTGGATCTTTCTGATAACTTGCTTTCTGGGTCTATTCCAGAGAGTTTTTCAGAGTTGAAGAATCTAACGCTGCTAAGCCTGATGTACAATGACTTGAGTGGCTCTGTTCCTGAAAGCATTGCCGAGCTTCCAAAGCTTGAAACTTTTCTTATCTGGAGCAATTACTTTTCAGGGCCACTTCCCAAAAATCTGGGCCTCAATTCAAATCTCAAATATGTTGATGTTTCAACGAACAATTTTGTAGGTGGTATTCCTCCCAGCATTTGTGCAGGTGGGATGCTGGCGAAGTTAATCCTATTCTCGAATAATTTCACCGGTGAGCTTCATCCATCTCTCTCCAATTGTTCCACTCTAATTCGCCTTCGGGTTGAGGATAACTCATTCTCAGGTGAATTTACATCGTTATTCAGTAACCTGCCAGATATAACTTATATGGACTTGTCTGAAAATAAGTTTGTAGGAGGTATAACCAATGACATTTTGAATGCCTCCAATCTTCAATACCTAAATGTGTCAAATAATCCAAACCTTGGAGGTGTGATTCCAGAGAAACTGTGGTCACTTCCACAGCTCCAGAATTTTTCTGCAGCCTCTTGTAGTATTTCAGGAGTCATCCCTCCTTTTGATTCTTGCCAATCTCTGTTGGTTGTTGAGTTTGGGTGGAACAACTTATCAGGGAACGTTCCTGAAAGCATATCAATTTGTGAGGATCTTGTAATTATGGACTTGTCCAACAACAATTTGTCAGGTCATATACCCATTGAGCTGGCTGCTCTTCCTGCTATTAGTATCCTTGATTTGTCCCATAATAGTTTCAGTGGTCCTATTCCACCGCAGTTTGGGAACTCTTCCAGCTTAAAGCTTCTTAATGTGTCATACAACCATATATCCGGTTCAATTCCTCAGGAAAAGAGTTTCAGAATGATGGATAGCAGTGCATTTGTGGGGAATTCAATGCTTTGTGGAGAACCATTGAGATCTTGCAAAGGAAGGCCTAGTGGTGTTGAACTGGGAAGCAGGAGGATGCAGAAGTTTGCATGGGTTCTCATTAGCTGTGCAGTCATTGCCTTACTCATTGCCAGTTTGATTTTCGGGATACTTCATTTCAGGAGAGCAGGAGGTGAAGGTAAATGGAAAATGGTTTCTTTTATCGGCCTCCCCGGGTTCGCAGCAGACGAGATTTTAAGGAGTTTTAATTCTGCAGAAGTTTCCACTGCTGCTTCGCCGTCATTTCCTCATACGGTTTGTAAAGCACTTCTGCCTACTGGAATCTCTGTATCTGTGAAGAAGATTGAGTTGGAACCCAAGAGAATGGACTTAGTTTTAGAGCTCATAAACAGAATAGGCAATGCAAGGCACAAAAATTTGACTAGGCTGCTGGGATTTATCTACAGTAAGCGTCAGGGATATCTGTTGTATGATCACTCTCCTAATGGAGATCTCGCCGAAAATATCAGGATGAAGAGAGATTGGGAAACTAAGTACAGGATCATACTTGGAATTGCTAGGGGACTTTGCTTCCTTCATCATGATTGTGTTCCTTCCATTCCACATGGAGATTTAAAGGCTAGCAACATAGTGTTTGATGAAAACATGGAAGCTCAGTTATCAGAATATGGACTCAGTTCATTGTTACTGCTCCAATTTGGCAATGGACATTTGCAAACAAGAAGCACAATGGGATCAGGTAAATTTACATGTACATTCCTATGCGGCATCATTCTTTTAGGATTGAGGAATACAGCATAAGTACCTTGTCTCTTTGCGCTAAGTTCAATTTACTCAATAGAAATGCTAGCTCCAGCCTTTCTTTTCGGGCAAAGGATACTTTCAATCTCATGAAAAAGTGTAATATCTTGAACATTCATCGCTGTTGGACACAAGTTTGCTTTATTTGTTCGAAAAAAAGATGAAGACTTGCATTAATACATCCCCTCTGATCGGATTCCTATAGATTGAAAAGGGATGATATATGCAACAAATCAAACATCAGATTATAGCTAGTATAGGAGAAAGTATTTGCTGCATCATGTAGAGATATTGCTTGAGTCAACGTGTAATGTTAGTCAAGTTATTTCAATATAAGGTTTAGGATATGTATATCCTGATAAGTATATTTTTTCACTTTGTTTTTTCCTTTCACAAGCTTAATTTGCGCAAGTCATTTACGTTTATAATGCTTTGTTCTGAACTCCTGTGCAGGCGAAGTTATGACAGGCACAAAGGACCAGCTTTACAAGGATATATACAACTTTGGGGAGCTAATTCTGGAAATATTAACGAATGGAGGACTGACAAATGCAGAATGGAGAGTAAAGAACAGTCCAAAAGATGCTTCTCTAAAAGAGGTTCTTCTGAAAGAGATTTTAGATCAGAATGAAATTAGCTCTTCTAATTCCATTCAAGCTGTGATGAGATCAGCTGTTGAGGTGGCTTTGCTCTGCACAAGTAGCAGACTATCAGACAGACCTTCAATGGAGGATGTGTTACAACTACTATCCGGATCGAAACCCCAAAGGAAATGAAGAAAAGACAAGCAAAAGTTCTTGGAGAGAAGATGCCATTATGAGTTGATTGAATTTTGCAGTTATGTTTTGATTTGGTTGATGATAATTTGTGCTTTTTGGTTAAGTTATATGGCTGATAAGTGGAAAGTCCTTTCTGTAAAATGGGCAGTATATGTATGTGCATGTGTATTATACCCACCCCCCCAAGAAATGTGAATCTCTTCAGTCTTCAGTTTCAATCTTTGAGCCTCTTCTTTATCATGCATAGTCATGGATTCAATTTCTACACTTTCATGAAGGCCTATTTATACATAAATCAAAAGCTACCCTCAATCTCACGTTGTAAACTATTAAAATGAGACGGAAAGAAGATATGATTAGTACAAATGGAATGTGCTTATTTCTTTCTGTTTCCGAAAAAAAAGGTGATTTTATCTATTTTGCTACGAATATACAGCAGTGGAGAAAAGAAACCTTCTGTTGGTTGAACAAGAAGAATATTAGGAGATGGAGTGGACTTGGAGGCCTATGGGCCTAGCCCATATGATCTTTTACTCGTAACAAACCCAAATAAATAATCTGACCCAAAGCGAGTAAAGAAAAATGGCGGGAGCGGGACAAATGGAAACTGCCAAACGTCACTATTCCATCTCAGTATTTCTGGAAAATGGAAAAATCACATTTCGCACCGTTTCTCGAATGCATACAATTTAAATTATCGACTACCCAAGTTCGATCACAATCGTTTACTATTATGCTACGCGGTTTACGCAATTAGACAGCACTGAGTATAATTATTACTCCTTCCGTATCAAAATTATTTTCTAGTTTAAAATTTCACATTTAGTACAATTTATAATAGAATAAAAAATTTAAATTGAACAATAATTTTGGGATAGAAAAAGTATTTATTACTCCCTCCATTTTAATTCAATAAACTCATTTAGACAAATTCGGATATTACAAAAATTTGGTTAAATTTTTAGTAATTCACCTAATATATTCCTATTAATGAGTAGTGGTTGCTAGTTACAAATTTGGAGTATGATTAGATTGGGGGTTGAATTTAATTATATGTTCTAAGTTTCAGTGATAGTAGTAGGTGTATATTAGAGAATTTGTAGGTAAAATTAATATAAATATCTAAAATAAAACTAGATTTTAGTACATCCCAAGAGGGAAAGTAAGCCTATTAAAGTGAAATGAAAAGAGTAATAACAATCTAAGACATTAATCTTTTAAAAGTAGTACAACAGCGAGTTGTGTAATAAAAATTAACGATACATATTTATTATTTTCACATGCTTGCATCAAATGTGTAACTAAAGGAACGCATACATACTTTGTTTAATTGTATTCTCTACGTTCCAGAAAAATAGTTTACATAATTTTTTTCTTTTGTTCCACAAAATAATTTGCTTTTAGTACAAATTGTAAAATTTTAATTTGAAATAGGTATCTTTTTTAAGACAAAAATAGTATTTTATAAATAGTATATATTTCACAATATATATGGATAATTTTTGTGGGGACAGATAGATGGACAGTAATAATAGAGATGGGGAATTCAAAATTAATTTGGACATATCCCATTGTGATTTCAACTTACATTCATTCATTCTTTTTCAGCATTAAATTTCTTTTGCCATACTTGGAATTGCTACTTATTCATCATCATCTTAGTAGTTTAATCTGCCCCACAACCATAATTTATGAAAGAAGTTTTTTTTTTTTTTTTTGAAAGCAAAGGAAAAGAAAAAGAAAAAGAAAAAGCAGAAGGAGACTGAGGAGGAGAGTACAATTTTCCATTTTATTTTTTAACAGAAAAAAAAAAAAAAACCTTCAAAACCGCAATGTAAAAGCGAGTCGTTTCCCAATTTACACACACTCACACACTAAAGAAAACTGAGAATTGAGGAACTAAAGACAGTATAGTGAAAGGTGAAAAGAACAAGAGTCAAGAAGAAGTCAAGCTGAGCCCCCTTTTTCCGTACTCACTTTTGCCGCCACTTTCGGCCCTTCCGACTTGATCATCGCGGCCATGGACGACGGCGGAGGCGGTGGCGATTCCTGGAGTTTGAACGGCACCACCACCACCATCACTCAACCTACAAGTTTTAGCTACGGCGCCACCTGTGAGGCATCGGTGATCACCCAGGAGTTGTCTATGCTCTCGCTTCCTGAGAATGGGGAGTCATTTGGTCAAGTTCCGAAGAAGACAGAGAAAGACCCCAGAATAATTGCTCGAAGGTAACCATTTTTTCTTACTTGCTGCCGCATTTCCTTTCCTTAGGAAAATTCACAGTTCTTTTTAAGTGCATTTTCACTTTTCGTTTTGTTTTCATATACGATGATCGTTGGAAATTCCGCTGGTTGACAAACCCTGGAATTCGGGAAGTGTACAATCGCGTCGATTGGAGACCAATTAAGATTCTTCTTAAGAGCGATTCTCTTTATTTATCATCAATGTATCTGTTTTCATAGCTTTGTGTTGGCAATTTAGAAACTAATTGATTCGTGTCTTACCTTTGCTTGATATTTTGTGGAGAGATGCGGTCTCATAACTTGTCCTGGAGATAGATACATGATGAAAGCAACTTGGTTAATGATGTGTTAAAAAAAAAATAAATGAGAGAGTGAGGTTTTTCATGCGTCCATGTACTTGCAACCCCGGAGTTTCTTAAGTGCTACGATTTGGTTAGGTTGTTTGCGTTCTCCACATTTTACTCTGTTTTGAGTGGCATGATTTGCGTTGAGAAGTGCTTAGTGTATCATACCTTGGTTTAATCCACAGATGATTAGCTATAAATGCCTCCGCAAAATTCTAAATTGCTTGCTCCGCTATGTAATTGGTCGTGGTTTTAATTAATATGTCTAAAAACATTTGAACGCTAAAAGAGGATTTTTTATTTATTTATTTATTTATTTTTAATTCTTTTCCTTTTTCTCGTCGGAGGACCGATTTATGTAGAGGCCTTGAGTTATGATGTTATAAATGTGATTGTATCCACGGCAAATAACCTGAGTATTTGATTGCTACAGTATTCCTTTTTGGCTTTTGTTGACCTCATAACAGTTTTGTGTGTCTATTGATTAGTTCCATGCTTGCATGTGGGAATCCTCAACTTGTTGAACCAATAGTAGTGCATGCCAAAGTATCACTGCATTTAAAGAAACCCTGCTCTCCTTTCATACCTCACGGACATCCTTCCTTTCTCATTGAAAATTGTACATAAGGAATTCTCATCTCTCCTAAGTGTCAAACATAAAACAGCTCATGTTCCTTCTGTTTCCATTACACACGTTGTTGTCCCTTATGGAATTCCCGTCCTTTGTCCTGAGCATTATGCCAAGTATTTACCTTCTGGTCACTAAGGTAGTTGATGCCTTCCTCAACTTTGTCCAATTTGGGTGATCATCAAGTTTATAATTCCTTTAAATAATTTGATCTGTAGGAGATTCAATCAAGTAGCGCTAAGAAGCTGATAAGATGATGATGTCTTGTCGGTCTCTATTAATGACATTGTTCTTTGTCTTTTAATCTATAGGTATCAGACTGAACTTTGTAAGAAAGCCACGGAGGAGAATGTTATTGTGTGCCTAGGAACAGGTTGTGGGAAGACTCATATTGCTGTATTGCTAATCTTTGAGATGGCTTCCTTCATACGAAAGCCACAGAAAAACATTTGCATCTTTCTTGCTCCTACAGTGGCTTTGGTTCAGCAGGTTATTGTTTATTTTAAAGTCTCTTTCGTGTCATGGTTTAGAATTTAGATAATAGTTTATTTCTCTTTACCACCACCACCATTGTATAAAATTTCCTGGAACAAATCAACTCGTTAAAATTTTAAAGGCTTTTGTATAGGTGTATCCTGAATTCCATGTATATTATCTAATGTTTCCCCATAATATCTTTGGAATTAAAGCAAGCTAAAGTCATTGAGGACTCCTTGGATTTCAAAGTTGGAGTCTACTGTGGGAATGCAAAGCGCCCGACGAGCCATCATGATTGGGAAAAAGAGATGGAGGACCATGAGGTTTGTCAAAATTGTTATCAATTAAATTTCTAAGAAGTTTATACCATGCCTTGATTAACGTTAAACGTTAGCTGCTTGTTTTACCACTCAGTTGAATGAGTTACCCATCGGATTAGTCTGTGGTTTGATGTTTTTTTCGGACATCTTACTTCTAGTATACTCTAATTACTCTTAACTGGATCCTATCAATGTTTTATTTTCTTTTTAGAGCTTTCTTTTGCCACTAGCCTATAAACCAACTCTATGCCAATGTCAGTTTGGCCTTGTTCTTTTTCTCTTTTTTCATGCTATATCTTTTTCTGGAAGATAAAAAAATGGATATGGCATCCTCATAGGGGTTGTTTTTTGTGCAGATTCTTGTTATGACACCACAGATTCTGTTACATAATCTTAACCACAGTTTTATCAAGATAGAGCTTATTGCGCTGCTTATATTTGATGAATGTCATTATGCCCAGCCTGGGAGCAATCACCCTTATTCTGAAATTATGAAGGTAACGACTTCCTGGCACTCTCACTTCGTTCTCCATTTGTTTGTGATATGAATAACCATTTCTTTTGTTGCTTTTCTTTTGTGGATTTGATAATCTCATAGGTCTTCTACAAATGCAATCTAGTCAAACTTCCCCGTATATTTGGCATGACTGCATCTCCAATACTGGGGAAAGGTAAGCTTGAAGTGTGTTTTCCAACTGACTGTGTATTAGTTCAAATTAATTCGAACAGTACTCGGGAGCTTTGTGAGTTCAGCGTAGGAAATTCCTGAACTACAAACATTTTGTAAATCCAAGTACATCTGCTTTTGCAAGCCATTGCTTAGTTGAGGAAAGAAATCCAGGAACATGCAAGCAGTTTAATCAGAATAAGAATATAACTATCATTATATCTTATAGCAGGCCAATGTTCTTCACCGCTTCATGTTGATTGTTAACTTGAAATAACCACTTTGTGAATGTAATCATGAGATTTTGATATCGACTTGAAAGCAGGATTTAGTCTATTTGTTGTGATTATTTAAGTTTGTCTAGATCATGAATGTGGAGTTTTTCTCTCGTCAATAGACCGAGGTTCTTACATTAATCTGTTTGATATAATGTCCTCTCAGGTGCATCCCTTGTTGGTCTCGAGACATTATTACGTGCTAAGGTGGGTTTTCTAGCCTACTTGTTATTTAGCCAGGTTATGTGCTTTTCTAGTGAGCACTTGGTGTTTTCCTCTGCAAGTGCTTTTGTCGTAACTTTTGCCCAGAAAGCTACGTGGATATGACGTAAAAGTTTTTTCCTATGCTGATTCAGGTTGCTAAATCATTTGTAGGTTTATTCTGTGGAAGAGTTAGAGCTTCAACATTTTGTTGCTTCGCCAAAGCTTCATGTGTATTATTATAATCCAGTTATGAATGGTTCTTCTGCTTATGCAATTTGCCACAAGAAACTTGAAAAGATTAAGCATGAGGTATTCTCAATGTTTTTCAATAGAAACTCAATTTTCTCTTGAGAAACATTCACTGGCTTGTGTTCATGGTTCTTCAGTCTGTGTCTGCTCTTCCTCGAAACATTGGTGACCATGATACTCTTCGAAGTACTAAGAAGATGCTTCAAAGGCTGCATGGCAACATCCTCTTTTGTATGGAACATGTAGGTCTGTGGGGAGCTTTACAGGTAAGTCATTATCTCAGGATTGCGATCCATGTAGATATTAAAACGCTTTGCATAAATGACATTTGCCTGTAGGAATGGAGTTTTTGGCAGCATGAAATTATTTTATCTCGAAATTTCATAACTTGAAGAAACCTGAGCTTAAAAAAGACCTTTGGTTCTTTTATTTTTCCTTTATTTCTTTTCACATGAAGTATGGAATTGAATGCTGAAAGTCATCATAAAATGGTCTAATCTGTTGTTTATTTCAATGTTGACTGTTTCTCTTGGTAGAAAGTGGAGATGGAGGAATTTGAATTGTAAACGTTACTAAGTTGTCCATCTATGTGACTTTGGTTTGCTAAAATGTCTGGTCTGTTTTTAGATGTCTTTCTTCCCCATCCTCCTACCTTCCTGTGATTTTTGTAGAAAAGTTTTGACATCATCCTTTTCTGCTTGTCTGAAAAGGCAAGCCGTATCTTTTTGAAGGGTGATCAATATGAGGGGGACGAGTTGTCGGAGGTAGAAGAAAATGCTGATTGCTCCATATGTGACCAATATCTAACTCAAGCTAAATCTATCCTTGCTTCTGCTTGTAGAGAAGGTATTATTGGCAGCTGGCTCCTTTTTACACTAGCATGTTATTCTATATGAATGGGTGATTCTTATTTTTTTGCTGAAATTGCTTTAAAAAATTTATGTTCCTTTGAATATGTTTCAAGAAATCTCTGATAGTGGGCTTCTTGATTGTATTTTCAAAAAGATGGTAATGAACCCGACTTATCCCTGGTGGAGGTCCTGAAGGAGCCTTTTTTCTCTAGCAAGCTTTTACGGCTGATTGGAATTCTTCGCGACTTCAGGTGGGTAACTATTGTTGTTATATTAATAGGAGAACTCAATATTGCATCACTTCTTGTGAATAATATTGGACTCAAATTGTTTATTCTGCCCGTGTAACCTTCTCATGAAAGTAATTGAATTAAACAATAATAGTTTCTGCTAGTAGAAATATGGATTTCCATTATCACTTTGAGATTCGTTTTTCTCAGTGACAATGCTTGAATTAAAGGTGATTAGCTTTCGTGAATGTCCTCTGGTTTGTAGTTATTAGCATGCTTCACTGGGGCAAAAAGACAAAATCTTATCATGTTATGGGAAAGCATAAATGTGATAAAAAAGTGGATACTTGTTACACAGGCCTTTTTTGGACAGATAAGTTGTTTACTTTTTTATACAGTTGGATGGTTTAACAAATTGTTGTCATCCATTCTGTGGGTTAGTGTTAATAACATATAGGATGATGTTAATCTAAACGTGCCTGATGCTGTTAAACTTTTGAAGATCTCCAATGTAGTTGATAGGCATTTTTGTTTTGGGTAGATTGGCTTCTTGGCCTCTTGAAATGTCAAATGTATTCATGTTCTCAAGCATGAACCAGAGTGCTTCGCTTTGTGTCAATCGTTGGGATGCAGATTAAGTCTTCCTAAGAAAATTAGAATCTCTATAACTACAGCAAGCTGGTTTTTTCTTGGTTTTATTTTAGCACTTCTTGTCAATTTTGGTTTTCATTGAACCTGTATTATGAATTGAAGGTTATAAGCATGTTTGTGGCCAACCTTACGTGTACCATTATGCGTGTAGGAAAGAGAGATTTAGGAACTTAAATCATAGAAGGTTGGGGAAGATTCTGAAAAGTGTTAGAACTAGTGAAAAAGCATGTTATATGTCTATCTCAAAGGCATAGTATTTGATCTGAGTTACATCGCCGGCACGCTGTGTAGGATCATGGTCTAGTTGTTGATATGTTTGATTGATGCAAAATAAATAAATAAGTAGTTTGAGCCGTTGAATTTTTCCCATTCCAGGTTTCAGCCTGTCACCACGTTGCTTTCATTTTGTTCCTTTTGATGGATAATAAATCATGATTTCTAAGATCAAGATAATCAATATTATCATATTCTAAGTTCTTGCAATAAAAAATGTTTACTTGAATATGTAATGCGTATGTGCTGAGATAGTTCTCATTTCTTTTTCACAAGCACAAACTCCAGTATTTTTCATGAACAACTAACACACATTACCTTCTCAACAAAAAAAAAAAAAAAAAGAGAAAAAACTAATGTCCATTACCGTTGTCTTCAATAATGTGCTTGTGCAAAGAAAATTGTGTTTCCTTCCGCTGTCTTTTCATTTTTCAAGTTAATCCTCCTTAGATCTCTCTTTGTGAACTTTTCAGGTTACAACCAAATCTGAAATGCATAGTCTTCGTCAACAGGATTGTGACTGCAAGGACCTTATCATACATACTTAAAAATCTTAAATTTCTTTCTTCCTGGAAGTGTGATTATCTTTTAGGGGTACACTCTGGCCTGAAAAGTAGGTCCCGGAAAAACACAAATGTCATTCTTGAGAAGTTCAGATCCAGTGAGGTAATGCTTTCTGTTTTCTTGTCTAGGTTTTCTCATGAATATTGCGTGACCATGATGTATTGCACTCAGTTCTGTAGGATTTCTAAATGCTTTGCGTGTTACTGTATGCTAAGCAAATGGATTATCTTAACAGATTATGTTTATATATTTGTTATTTGGCAGCTGAACTTGTTAATCGCGACTAAGGTGGGTGAAGAGGGACTTGATATTCAGACGTGCTGCCTCGTAATACGGTTTGATCTTCCAGAAACTGTGGCTAGTTTTATACAGTCTCGAGGCCGTGCTAGGATGCCACAGTCTGAATATGCATTTTTGGTTAATAGGTGCTCTCTTGAAGCAAATCTACCTGGCCTTATCTGGAGTTTAAATTGTTTCCTCACAGTAGGCATTTTCATTTTTTTTTTTTGTTGCAGTTACAGTGAAAATGAGAGAAACTTGATCAAACATTTTAGGAACGATGAATCTAAGATAAACACTGAAATTTCATCAAGGAAATCTCAATTTACTATGATTGATTTTGAAGAGAAAACCTACCAAGTGGATTCAACTGGGGCCACAATCAGTTCAGCGTCTAGTGTATCTCTGCTTCATCGCTATTGTTCAAAGCTTTGGCATGATGAGTATGTAGTTGCAGCATTGTCTTTTTTCCCCTCCTTGATTTATACGATGTACAATTAGTTTACTGGTTACATCCGTTTTCTTTACAGATATTTCTACCCAAAACCCCAGTTCTTTTACATGGATGATAAAGAGGGCATGATCTGCCACATAGTTCTCCCATCAAATGCTCCATTCCGGGAGATAGTGAGTGACCCGCAGCCTTCATTTGAAGTGGCTAAAAAGGATGCCTGTTTGAAAGCATGCAAGGCTTTACATGAAGTCGGAGCCCTAACTGATCATCTTTTGCCAGAAGAATATAATGAATGTGATGAAGTAGATGATGATTTCTCTGATTTAGAGATCTTTGATGGTTAGGAGGCATTACCCATTTGAATCATTTGCGTTGTTTCCTGCATTGCTGATGACTGAACTTTAGGCATCCTTAAAATTTAACTTTGCCTGCAGATGATGATTCACGTAAAGAACTCCATGAGATGCTTATCCCTGCTGCCTTTAGAGAAAAGTGGAATGCGTTGGACAATTGTGTTTCCCTTCGTGTTTACCATTTTAAATTCTGTCCGAATCCAGTGGACAGGGTTTATAAAAATTTTGCACTTTTTGTGAAAGCATCTCTACCGGAAGAGGCTGAGAAAATGAAACTTGATCTTCATTTGGACCGTGGTAGATCTGTTTCCACCGAGCTTGTTCCTTCTGGAGTAGTAGATTTTGAAAAAGATGAGGTAACCCTTTTTGTTTTTCATCTGGAAGTTGAAGCTCGTTGGTAAGTTGCTTTGCTTCTGTTTAAATAATTGTATCATTTTGTCAGCTGGTGGAAGCTGAAAAATTCCAGAGAATGTTTCTTAAGATCATCCTAGATCGGGCTGAATTGAGTGCGAACTTCGTGTCGTTGGAAGACAAAGTCACATGCAACTCATTCTCATCAACCTCATATTTGCTACTTCCTGTCCTCTTTAACGAAAAGAACAAGATTTCTGTTGACTGGAAAGTGGTTAGGAGATGTCTATTGTCACCAATTTTTCGGGCTCCTGAATGTGCAGAAGATCCTGAAGTTTCTCAGTTCAAACGACAGTTGCAGCTCGCGAATGGAATCAAGAGTGAAGAGGATGTTTTGAACAGTTTGGTGTATGTCCCGTGCAGGGACACATTCTTTTTTGTTTCTGACATTGTGTTTGACAAAAATGGATACAGTTTAATCAAGGATGTGAAGAATCATGTACAGCACTATCTTGATAAGTAAGTACTCATCTATTTATTTTGGTCGCCTGATTTTTTCAAGTATTATTTATTTCCTTTTGTATCATGTGAGTGCAAGTGCAAAGTTTTTCTGCTGATGATCTTTGTAGTTGGATGCCATTCCAAATTATTTTGTCAGTATCTCTATTAATTGGTGCAGGTATGCTGCAGTTAAGTTTGCAATAGCATGCCTTTGATTAACTAAAATAATTATATTTATAATCAAGTGTTAGGTTTTAGGGGTGGGAGTGTTTGGTGGGAAAGGCTAGAGGATCCTTGTTACCATGGATGACGTGTTCAAACCTCGTTGGGGCAATCCATTTTTTCAGAAAAGTTCTTTTTTCAGCCTGACATCTATTTGTTGTTGGTGCTGAATTTCTCGTATGATATTCGACTGGACTTCATATTAACTAGTGTGACCTAGAGAAATTGGATTTATATGGGATGTTTTATAGCAAACTTTACATTTTTGTACATCGCTAACTAGGCTTCTCATTCATCACGTTACTTGTTTACTTGGTGGCTGGAAAGAGACAAGAAAGGGAGTGTTAAATTCTTGACATTTATGATATAAGTGAAGAGAGTGAATTAGAATTTTTGACATCCCATTCTTGGTTTATGGTCTAATAAGAAGCTTGGAGATCAGCATTAAAGTCCAAATGTTTGACTATAAATAGAGTAAATTGTGAGTTTGTATGGTGCCAATTCAGTACTCATAAAAGTAGCAACAGGGTAAAAATGTGAAAAGTTTTGGATGTAATCTTGTGGATCGGAAAGTTTCAAGAACATGATTGTATTATGCTACTGAAATTGAAAGGGATATTTATAACTCAGTCATAAGGCTGTTTACACATCTAGGATTGTGCAACTATATGATCATGAACAAGATAATTAGACTAGGAAAAATGAAAATGGATGTGTGGATGCACTAGAGTAAATAAAGTAATAGAAAAGCATTAGAAATCAATTAAACAAATCAGGAAAGCATGCCTAAGGTGGTTTCGATACATACTAGACCTTTTGGATGCAGTAGTACAGCATGTAGTAAACAGGGAATCCTTTTCTCAAACTAAAAGGAAGTATGGTTCAACAGCTGAACATGTCATGGTTCCCTTCAATGATCTCCTTTGCTATCTTGTATTAACATGTGGTAATGTAAATAATAATCTACAAGGGGCTAAATACATTTTTGAAAATTTTCTTTCTGAAGGTTTTCTTTTACCCTCTAATATTCTTACCTTGAGAAATAATTAAAGTTTCCTTGGTTGTTCATTGTTATAATAGGTTTAACATTAGTCTTAAGTTTCCTCATCAACCACTTTTGAAAGCAAAACAACTATTTTGTCTGGACAACTTGCTACGGAAGAAAGGGTACTCAGGTAATAGCTTTCTCATTCTTTCAGTCAGTTGTGTAATTCTTGTCAAATTTGAACTTTTGTGTATATCTATGAGCTAAAGGCCTTTACATTATTGTTAGTTGAAATGTGTTTAGCGCTTGAGTTAGTAACTTATGGATAAGACAGTGGGTCGCTGTAAGATTTTTATGAATATTTCTAGGTGCACCATCATGACTATTAACATGATTTGCTTTGAAGAGGTTGTTGGCAAGAAACTTGCATGGGCTGCTCTCTCAACTTTTCTACCACAGATGATAATGCTTCATTTTTGTGTCTTAAATGTTTCAAAACATTCAGGCTTTAGGTACATCATGTTTTTTTTTACTACGTGGTCAGCTAATGCCAATCAGAATGAATGTGAATTCCAGGATATCATAGTTTAAGCTTCTGTGTTCCTAAATATAAGCATTTAGTCTTCAGGTTCCCCACTCTAAATAGTTGATCAGAACATGGCCATGGGTTTGGGAATCTCTTTGTTGGAATTGAATCCAGGAAAATGTTAAGCTCGTGTGTCCTGGTTATACCTCAGTATGATCAATCTTGTTGTATTTCTGTTGATTGGAAATACGGATCCGATGGAAATTTGTATTGAGCTTAGGGAAAAAGCTGGTTCTGGTTTGTGGTGACATTAGTACCACCAGTATGTCCACCTTTAGTTATGTAAAACAGCATGCTACGGCCTCAAATCCTGGCCCGTCTGAAACTACTTTCCTTCAAAATATAAAGTTTGGTGTGTTTCTTTGTCATGAGTTGCTAGAATGAAATGCAAGAGAAGCTCTTTCCAATTTTTGGGTCTTATACCACCTACAGCCTAGAAGTTTTTCTTTCGAGCAATTTACTTTGCATGTTTCTATTGCTCTCTTTCTTGGTTTCATTTGAGAAAACTTCTCTGTATAATTGGCACTGTGTTATCAAGCAAAAGCTTATCCACTTTGTTCTTTGGACCATTACGATATGCGGCTGTCCACTTGGTAAATAGAAATGGAGAGGATCAGAATGTATTTTAAATTCTAAAATGATGATTCTATGTTTCTTCTTCTTCTCTCTCAGTTCATTTGTTCGTTTGCATTGCAGTTTAGTAAATGCATGAACAAAAATAAGTAAAAAAATGAGTATTTGTTGAAGTTTGAGATGTTGTTTATGCATTGTAATACTTGATTACAGAGCAACGTGAAAAAGAGGAACACATGATAGAATTGCCTCCAGAGATTTGCCAGTTGAAGGTGGTTGGGTTTTCTAAGGATATCGGGAGTTCCTTGTCTTTGTTGCCTTCAATTATGCATCGTCTAGAAGGCCTGCTTGTTGCAACTGAGCTTAAGAACAAATTATCTGCATCATTTCCAGAAGGAGCAGAGATAACGGTTGATCATGTGAGCCCATACTCTAGCTTTCCATGAACGATGGGATACACTCAAAGCTAGATGTAGAGTCATTTTTTCTTTAACATATACCTTATATGTAAAAAAAGGTGATTTACTGTTGACTGATGTTAAGTGCAGGTTCTTGAAGCCCTTACGACAGAGAAATGTAATGAGCACTTTTCTCTTGAAAGATTTGAGGTGCTTGGTGATGCATTCCTCAAGTTTGCAGTTGCGAGGCATCTGTTTCTTTTACATGATTCCCTAGATGAAGGACAGCTGACTAGAAAGCGATCTAAGATGGTCAATAATTCAAATTTACTTTATCTGGCTACGAAAAAGAATCTGCAGGTAACTTTCAATTTTTGGGAATGAATTCTGAAGCGTGTTATTTAATGAGGAAAGCTTTAAGCTGCAAAATGATAAGAAGGTTTTTGTGCATTGTTGATACTGAAACACTGCTCTGGCTCCAAATATAATTGAGCACCTTCTCATATGCTGGCATTGAATGTGAAGTTGTATAGGTCTATAATAAGATAATCCCTTCCAAGTTTTCTGCTTCTTTTATTATTTGCTACAATGACTCTTCTGCCTTTTCCTCTTTGTTTTGGACGTCCATTTCAGGTATATATACGTGATCAGTCATTTGAACCTAAAGATTTCTTTGCACTGGGCCGTCCTTGTCCTGTAATTTGTAGCAAGGAAACAGAAAAGGAAATACACTCTGTACATGGAAGTAAAGCAAATGGTGAAAATGCTGAAGTTAGATGCAGCAGATGCCATCACTGGTTGCATAAGAAAACCATTGCAGATGTGCTCGAGTCGCTTGTAGGTGCATTTCTTGTAGATTCTGGCTTCAAAGGAGCAACTGCATTCCTCAAGTGGATTGGTATCGAAATTGATTGCGAAGATTCACGATGTTGTAACATTTGCTCCTCTAGCTCAATTTTTCTTCCATTGGCAAATCACGAAAAAATGGATTTATCCGCTCTTGAGAGTCTGTTAGACTATCAGTTTACACATAAAGGTTTACTTATTCAAGCATTTATCCACCCTTCCTATAACAACCACTCTGGAGGCTGCTACCAGGTAAGGCAAGATTTTATCTACTTTTTGTCTGGATTTTGAAATGGATGTGTTCAATTAGATGTGTTCAATTAGATAGTTGCCTCTTCTGATGTTCTAAATATCCTTGGCCCAGAGACTTGAATTCCTTGGAGATGCCGTCTTGGATTATCTGATTACATCTTATCTATTCTCCGTGTATCCCAAATTGAAGCCTGGTCAATTGACGGATTTGAGATCAGCGTCTGTAAACAATACATCTATTGCTGAAATTGCAATTCGTTACTCCTTTCACAAGTTCATTATTTGTGATTCTAGTGAACTGTCCAAGGCAATTGAGAAATATGTCAGGTTCACGCAAACTGCAGAAAAAGGAGAGGCTGATGATCCAACTTGTCCAAAGGTAACTGTTGTTTAAATCTTTTGTTTGATGGAAGCCATACATCTTTAGTCAAATTTCACGCGTAATCTCCACTGTCTTAAATAGTGGTTTGATCTATTGTAGCATTTTCAGAACCGAAGGGTTCTTTTTGTTTCCCAAAAATTTGAGCTTGGAGGAAAGGAATCATAGAATGGATCAAGGACCTGCCACATGACATGATTTACTATAGCGCAGTATAGTTTGTTTTGTTTATTTTAAGAGTCTATTGGTTGTGACTGTGACATTAGCTGGCTAATAGTCTGAATTTGTGATTGTGATATGCTTCCCTTGACGGCATTGTCTTCCTCTCTGATTTTTGTACATGTTGTTGCCTCATTTTGACTTTCTCCTTTTTAAGCTCTTTTTTTTTTTTTTTTGGGGGTCCTTTTTTAATCTTATGCATGTTAAGATTGCTTTATGTATCCTTTATTTTCCCTTGAATTTTGAGATTCTGATGTCTGTTGAGGACTTTGTTTTGGTGGTTAAAGTTATAAGGTTCTCTTGTCCTCTAGTGTTGGTTAGTCATCAATTGTCTACAACCAAATTCGTAGTGTAAGATAAACCTGTACTTGATAGAATACGAATTGCGGGTGAAGGAAATTACATCGATGACTGGCTCAAACCATTGTGCTCTTTCCTTCCTGTAGCCTTTGTAGAAACAACTATAAACCTTAAGTATTTTGTGCTTATATTTAAGTTGAAATAAGTAGGTGGCGATAACAGCTGCTGATCAAGTTGTATCGTTGACTTTCATAGTTTCAGATTACCTTACTTTTATGTATCTTGTGTTTTCTTTCAGGCCCTGGGTGACTTGGTTGAGTCTTGCATGGGTGCCATTCTTCTGGACTCGGGATTCAATCTAGAGCGTGTCTGGAGGATAATGCTCTCTTTTTTAAACCCAAACATGAGTTTCTCTAAGCTTTGGATTAATCCGGTTAGAGATCTTCGGGAACTTTGTCAGTGTCATAATCTGGATCTGCAATTTTCATCTTCGAAGAGGAATGGAAGATTTTCTGTTCAAGCAAAAGTGAAGTTAGGAGATAATTATGTTCAAGACAGTGCTGTTCATGTCAGCAAGAAGTCTGCTCAAAGAATGGCTTCAAAACTACTATATTCACAATTGAAGGTAATTTTTAAGCAGGTTATGTTTTGTATTTCTGCGTGGTGACTTCTTTGTTTCTAGCTGCAATGCTCTGTGCATTTTGACTTGCAACGTAATCCTTCCGTACGTTTTTGCCAGATAATTTGGGACATGTTACCTTTAGATTGAATATGGTGTTGGAGACACACTTTTTGCCGTCCAGTAGTGTGTGTTTGACTAGTATCATTAATATGCAGGATCAAGGTCTTAGATCCAAGTCTAAATCATTGGAAGAAGTGCTAAAAGAAACCAAAAAAATGACGGCACAATTGATTGGATATGATGAGGTGCCTTGGGATGTTACAGCTAAACTTCAAGACTTGAAGTTGCAGGATGTTAAGGGAACTGATTTTGACAGAAAAGTGCATCCCCTCAATGAAGTCAACCGAAACAATGGTGATGATAGTCACAAGCTCATAAGGCGGAGGGATATCGGGGTGACTAAAAATCAAGTCCGCCACGTTATTACTCAGGGAAAAGGTATCTGTAGTTTGTCTTATGTTTCCTCAATTAGAAATTGTAGTTTTCTCACTTGAACGTGATGACAGTTGGATTGCATAATGGAACCCCTAAATCGCGGCTGTACGAGTTCTGTGCCACCAACTACTGGAAACCACCTACATTCGAATGCTGCAAGGAAACTGGAGAGAGCCACTTGAGGCAGTAAGTGATATGTTTTTCCCCTGATTTAGAATATGCGAATTTGAATCTTGCATGAAGCAACTATGAACTTAGAAATGAATCAAGGATTTTGTATGTATGTGTAGGCTTTATGTGTGTGGGATATAGATGCATATTGCCTGCGTCTTTTAATTTGCTGGTGAAAATTTGTTAAACATTCAATTTCTGTTTACAAAATTTTATTAGTTTTAATAAATAGAAAAAAAAGGTGGTTACAGAAGGATTGTCGGGTGCCGAAAATGTGTAACCAAACAGTCAGCAGGTTGCCGGTTTTATGTGCTAAAATAAAATATCTACGTTGGGATAACAGTTGCCCATCAAATCTGTATCTATTAGTTGGAAGAAAGACAGTTATGCATATCAAAATGCACCTATAAGCTAAATTTAAACGTTTTAAATGATTCCCCTCTCCTTTCCTTTTAGTTGTCGGCTCTAGTGTTGATGTGTGGGGGTAAAAACTGTTACAGATTCACGTTCAAGGCGGTCGTGCAAATTGGAGATGGGCAGAATCAAGTGGTGGAATGTTACGGGGGAAGCAAAGGAAAGAAAAAGGAAGCAGAGCAAGATGCAGCTGAAGGTGTGCTGTGGTACCTGGAACGTGAAGGTTATTTAGGGCAACAGAAATGAGGTTCGAGAAAAGCGGGTGCTACTGCTAAGTACTAATTTAATTCTCTGAAACTGGTTATTCTCTCGGTAATATGTATATTCTTGTATGATAGTATTTTGGTAGCAGCCTCATATGATCTCATATGCTATGGTATATGTGATGTAGTAGAAATCGGGTTCAATAGTTGGAAGCCCCCTCTGACGTAAATGTCATCTTTTGAGGACTGTTAATGTTTCCTCTTACGGTCTGGGGAGGAGACAGCGGGTGAAAAAAAAAAAAAAAAACCCATCTTTAAGATCTAGTAGTTGTACCATACTGATGATGATTGGGAACTGTTGTTAACGTAAAACGAGCATTATTTTGACTGGAAGTGAAATGCTGGTCTAGCACTGTTATTTTATGGAGTTAATAATATGCTATGATCTTTCAAAATTGTTGAGGAAGCATATTGGGAGGTGTAAGTTGGATGCATGACAGGTTAACAAAAGTGGGGTTTTTTTTTTTTTGGACTGGATGGAATCAACAACATCAGTTATGTTATTATTATAATAATTATCTCTCAGTGGAACGGGGTGGACTGGATGGAATCAGCAACATCAGTTATGTACTTATGTTATTATACTATTCTCTAATCTCAGAGTTCTGCAAATGGTGTTGTTTAAAAAGTCAACCGGGAAATGTGGGCCGATAACCATCGTTTATTAATTCTCCAACATCAGTTATGTTATTATACTATTCTCCAATCTCAATCTTGCAATTCTTAATATTTTATAAGATGAATGAAAGATAGTTTACATCTACTTTTCAATTTTTACTTTATTTTATAGATGAAAAGTTAAGTGAACCGTCAAATAGTGTTGATAAGATATTAGATTTTCAATTTTGATATCAATTATATTGATACGTGTGATTGTTATAATAAAAATTAAATGAAATTTAACTTTTTTTAAAAGCATGTAATACAATTCTTAAAACCAAGTCCACCATATTGTGAACATGGTTGCCCATGTACAGTGTAGTTTCACAACCCTGTGTTTCCTTATTTTAAGGGGAAAAAAAAAGAAAAAATGAAATTAAAGTGTCCATCAAAAGTATGGTAATAAGAAATGTATTCCTGTGATTCAATTAAGTTTTATACTATTAATTGACACCGACAAACAACTAGCTTGTTCGTGTGAAGGTGGTGACCACCATTATGCTTTTTTTTAAAAAAAAAAATTCTGAGATATTGTTCGATATAGATTCACCAATAACTGGAAATATAATTGAGCAGAGCCTATTTTATGATATGAAGGGAAAGTTAACACAAAATTTTTTCCATGAAGGTCATTGAAATGAACAAAAACAAAATGTTTAATAACAACCTACACTACTAATAAACCTGTAAAGGTGGAATCAAAGTCCATACGAACCATCCATATGCCCGTAATTAGAAACATGGAGCAATCCACAAGGGTGGACAAACAAAACTAAATGACTCAACACCATGAAAGCGTTGTAGTCTCATCTTCAATATCAAAAACGCCCATATCGTGTCCACCGCCTCTTCCGGCGTCTCTTCCTCCCCATACGAATTTACGATAAAGCTCCCAACAATCGTCCGTAAAATATATACAATTGCCTTGGATTCCGTCAATTTTCATTTGTGTTGAAGGGATAGAAATTGCAGCATTATCTCCAACAAATATCCCTTCCCCTCCCAAACTAAAGATTTTCTCCAATTTCCGTCGCATTAGATTCAAACGGAATATTTTGAAATCCATAGTCTCATGGCAATCGTCATCCTCGTCAAGGTGAGTGTAGCGAGTGATTAAAAGTAGATCATCTGATCCATTGTTATTGATGGATGATGATTCCACTAAATATGGTTGTCTGAAGCGGATTAGTCTCTCATCTATGGAAAAGAGAATACGGGCGTACTCGATCGGCCGATTACAATCCCAAACCCAAATATCTCCATGAAAATTGATAGCATAAAAACTACCTTTATAGTAATTCACATGTAGGAATCCAGCTCTTCCAGAGTTTATTCGAGTCCATGTTCGATCTCCAGGTCTACAGAAGGCCAGAAAGCTACCATTTTGAATGGCCATTAGTATGAAATTTGATGTCCTGGATGGATTGTCCGACAATACTCCTTTGTCTATGGTAAAACAAAACGGGACGGTGATGTAATTATACTTTGGTAAAGTATGAAAATTGGGGAGTTCCATACGTGCATTGGAGAAAGGGTTCAACAAAGTAGTTTCTCCCGAATTTGTGAGCGTTAGTAACCATCCAAATCTTACTTCAAAGCACCGTTTACCCTTTGCTTCCGGGAGGTGTAACCTCATACAAGTTCTTTTCTTTGATAGGCTGTAAAATTCACGTTCATCGTCATCACAGCTGCTTTTTCCTTCTGCCAACATAAGTAGTGGAACCCTAGGACATGACGACGGTGCGAATTTGTCAACGGCAGCTCGCCAGAAAGTACATACCTCCCTGAATGCCATGAAATCTTCCAACGACCGTAAGCGTTTGGCTATCTCCACCACCACTTTGGAATTAAGGGACGACCAATCTATATCCATCAAAAGTGGTTCCATGTGTTCGCGTTTCCGTGGTGACACAAAAAAAGGCCAAACTTTGTGACCGATAATATTTTTTTTCATAGATCAAAGCAAGAAGGAAGGAAGAAAAAGAAATACTACTGACTAATTTGGTTTGTTGGAGAGGAAAAAAGAAAGCAAGGTAGCACTTTTATAAGGCAGCAATCAGCGTAATTCCCAAAGTCAGGATTCGGATGAAAATCTGTATGAGAAAGGTAATTTCCAAAAGGAGTATTAGGCAACTCCAAAAGGAGGCAACTCCGGCCCCCTAATGAGAAAAGTAACAACCACCCCGGTGGTCTTGTCCTCAGCGGACACGTTCAGAATACCATTGGCGTCGATATCAAAACACACTGTAATCTGCGGAACACCCCTTGGAGCAGGAGGAATGCCCGAAAGCTCGAATTGACCGAGCAAGTTATTGTCTCGGGTTCTTGCCCTCTCTCCCTCAAACAAACACCTGAATGGTGGTGCTCCTGTTGATCAGAACGGTCATGACGCCGCCGGTGGTTTCAAGACCGAGGGAAAGCGGAGTAACGTCCAAAAGCAAGATGTCTTGATCCTTCTCATTTTCGGAACCGAAGGGTTCTTTTCTTTTTTGTTTCTTAAAAAATTGATCTAGGACGAAAGGAATCATAGAATGGATCAAGGACCATGCCACATGACATGATTTACTATAGCTCGGTACAGTTTGTTTTGTTTATTTTTTAAGATCCTATTGGTTATGACTGTGATATTAGCTGGCTTATAGTCTGAATTTGTGATTTCTGATATGCTTCCCTTGATGGCATTGTCTTCCTCTCTCATTTTAGCATGTACATGTTGTTGGCTCATATTGACTTTCTCTTGAAGGTACCCTTTTTAATCTTAAGCATGTTGAGATTGCATTATGTATCCTTTATTTTTCCTTGAATTTCGAGATCGTGATGTCTATTGAGGACTTTAGATATGGATCTTGATTCTGTACATGCTTTGGCACTTGCTTAATTAAGGTACGAAAAAATAAAATAAAATGCGTGTTCCCCTTAACCAACAATACTCATAGTTAATTTCTTGTTAAGCTAGCTGTAAAGATTTCGAGGGGTAAAAAACAAGTGTCGAAAATGGTTTTAAGAAAATTTGTTATTATGATATTCATGTTTTGGTGGACATTTTATCTTGTATGGAATTGGATATTGTTGTGATCCCTTTATAATTTTGATAAGAAAGGATTAAGGTAATCAGAAGGCTTCCTTATTCCTTTCTTCGAAAAGAAGCAGTTACGTACTAATATATCTTGAACTTAGAAGCTCTTGTGTGATTGATGAATAGATTTGGCCAAATTAGCATTGATCAGTCGCGGACACTGGCGAGCACATTATGTCATGGGTGCACTCTATTCAATTTTCAACTGTTGATGTAGAGCCATTTGATTTTAGTGACCTCTATGGCATGCATAAATAAAAGGCTAATGCTGTAAAAGGTATCTTGATTAATATTGATGTTTAAAAAACTAGCTACAGATAAGTGGACATTTGCTGAGCCTTATAGTCTTTTGTGTATATTCTTAGTTGTTGAATGTATTGCTGTATATATTGTTGCTTTCCTTTCTTCAAGCGCCTGTCTGATCCCGTGCTGTTTCATATAGGTGGCTGCTAGTATCAAGTTCAGCAGAGGTGTTTTATCATGTCTAAAGTTCCTTGAAGCATTTCCATGGTCTGAGGAAGAAGAAGAGAAATTGAGGATCCTGTTCACAAAGTTTAAGTTTGATGATGCAACTAGTACAGACATTATGACCAGGCTCTATGGACCTGAATCCAAAAATTGTTCACAAACTTTGGTTAAACAGCTTCTCTGGCCCATTACAACTTGTGTTGACCCAAATGCTGGAAATGAGCTGAAGTCTTTGGTCAGGGGTCTTTTGTCCCAAAGCTCAGTGTATGAGAAAGACTATGATGTTAACAGGGGTGATGTTTTGGCTGTTTTCCCAATCTTCTCTGGACTTCTTGCTTAACCTAATGAGAAGCTAGTAAAAATTGAGAAAACTATAAGCAACTCATAGAGTGGATTTCAAAGCATGTTGAAAACCTTAATTGGCTGCTTGAAATTCTGATTGATCGCCAAATGGCTCACGGGATGGTGGGTATGTGGGCCGATCAAAAAGAGTTACTCAGCATGCACAATTGTGTTTCCCCGATGATTAGGCCACGAGCTTAGTCGAGTTGCAGCAATGTTATTTATTGCTATATGGGTAACCGTAAAGTGTATTGTAGCTCAGAGACGAGGTTGACCTGTCTGTGTTCAGGCATGGTTTAGGCCTATATATATGCTACTGGACTTTGGTTGGTTGCAGAGATGTAAAAGAAAAGGACTGGACATGAAGGTGTTGGAGGAAGCTATGGGTCAGGCACTGCTTACAGTTGCATTGAAGGAGCAGTACCAATTGTTCATGGATTGGTTCTCTTTATTCTCAAAGCAAGGCAGCGACTGTCCCAACCTTAATAAGCATTCCAGGTTTGGTGGCGCAGATCATTTGTGAGGGTCTGATTCTTTTGGAATTAAATCTAGGTAAAATGATTGAAAATCATATCTGACACGCTGTCAAATATACTTCGGGGGCCATGTTTTGAGAGTGGACTACGTGAAATCCTTGATGTAGATTATGTAGACATAGCAACACCATCGGATGTGGTGTTGTAAGGAGTGACAATGCAGTGGCAATCTGTAGAATGTTCAACTGTTGTATTATAAATTTCGTAGGCCGTGTATGTCATTTGGAGTTGATTGCTTTGGGAAGGCTTTGATTTACATTGGGATTTTGTATTACTACCTTGTTGTAGGAGTCTTGTAGACAAAGGGAATTCCCGTGGGAGTACCAATGAGATTGACCTTATTATGTAACTTGACAACTCCTGAAGTGCAGTGCAGTGTGCAATTCAATGCCCATCTGCAACTTCAGTAAGGCATTTCATTGTGATTTCGATGAGTTTCTTTTATAACCTATGATAGATATAATTGTTGAAAAAGTAACAAAGAACACCACGCCTCCCTCCGGCAAGATAGGGCTATTATCTTATATGGCAAATGATAAATTTTTTGAAGGGTGCCCTAAGAATAGAGAATTCGTTCGTAAAGACACTATCTATAGAGTTGATGTGTGATACTTGACTCAAAATGACTATCATATTTGGATTTTCTCTTTTGGTGCAATTTGTATTAAAATGAAAATTCAATCTGAATAATTATTTTCGGAAAAGATTGAGCATTAGAAATTATCTGTAACACATCATTGTGCCAAATATGAATTACTCTTTCCTGCGATAAGTTCACCTTGGGAGCAAAAGGAGATATTTTTTAAATAATTAACTTGTATGAAAGGTCCATCCATGACAAATTTTAGAATGCTACGCATATTCAAGATTAGATTGAAGTTGTAATTTTCTTAAAATCACTCAAAGCCTCATGTAAATGATGTAAATATTGAATTTCTCGTGCCTCTGTTTCACTTTGTTGCCGAACACAACAATGACTTCTGGTTTTTTGGGATAATAACATAACAAAGACTTATCTTTGAAAACCAAATGCTATTTCTTTAATTAATTGCAAACGAAGTGACTGGTATATTCTCATTGTTGTCCTATAAAAAATTAGTCCACGTCTAGTTCGAAAAATTATATTTTAAAAATTTAAGACTAAATTCGGAAAATAGTCCTTTACATTAAGCAAAATGCACATTTTGGTCATCTACATCAACATTTGGTTGAAATGGTCCTCTACATTTATGTTTGTAACTTTTTTTGTCCTGTGACACTATTCTAGGAGTTTGACTATATTTGGGTTCAAGTCAACAGGGGTATTTTTGGAATAAAAAATATTTTTTAAAAAAATTAATATTGAATAAAATAATATTAAGTAACTAAAATTTGAAATTATAAAATAATAAAATAAGATTAATTTAATATTAATTTTTCTGGGGGATGATCTCCCGATTCAGGTCAACTTCCTTCAGCTTCACATCTGGGTTTATTTCTCTTGGTATTTTGTGATTTTATAGGGGATGGCTTTGTCTAATTTGTTAGCTAATAATTTAGTTTTCTTGTTTTTACTTTCCAAATTCGTTTTCTCCAGATAATATGACGCTTTCCCAATGTGTTGCTCTGAAGAGTGACACTGCCACTAATCTCGCACAAGGCGGAAGCAGTTTAGTTTCTGTTTCAGGGAGGAGTACTTAGGAGGATAAAAGTTCTGCGACTCAGACCCAGAAGTCCCCGGAAAGACCAAGCATTCTACTGCTTCAGACATTGACAACCCAAAAAAGAAGGCAAAAATTTCAACCCCTCCTCAAAATGCATCCAACCACAGGCGTAATTACCCCTCTCTCTTTGAAGGTGAGGAGGGCTTTGAAATTCCAGAGGAGGATGTCAAATTGGTAGAGAGTATTTCCACATGCAAGAAGATACTTGCGTGTGACGATATTTGTGCAAAAATTGGAAGAATGTGATTATCGATCCTCAAACCCATGGGGGCGGTCCATTAGCTAGCTACTTGAGTCAATGTAATAAATTGCAGGAAATCTGGGATGAGACGGAGGGATTCGCACTGATGGATCTTGAAAGGGATAATTTCCTCGCAAAATTCTTATATGATATGTTGCTAGCTATAGTAGTAGCATACTGATGATGACTGTGAACTGTTGTTAACGTAAAAACAAAAGCATTATTTTGAGCGGAAGGGAAATGTTGGTCTTATTTTATGGAGGAGTTAATATATACTAGTATGATCTTTCGAAATTTGAAGAGGAAGCAAATTGGGAGGTGTAAGTTGGATGCATGACAGATTAACAAAAGTGGGGTTTGGACGCGGGTGGACTGGATGGATGGAATCACCAACATCTGTCATCAAAGTATTTATATTCTCTAATCTTCTGCAAATGTTGTCTTCTAAACTGTGGTTTAAAAAGTCAACCCGAAAATGTGGGCCGATACCATGTTTTTAATTCATTCTCCAGCCTTCATCATCTCCCATCTCATGTACTGTCTAGTACCACGATCTACGTTTATTTTAATTTTTTTTTTTAAAAAAAAAAAATGAAATGAAATTGTCCATCAAGATTATGGGTAATAGAAATGTATTCCAGTAATGCAATTCTTAAAGTTTTTATATTTTTTAATTGACACCGACAAATAGCCAGCTTGTTCGTGCGGGTGGTGGTGACCATCATTAGTAGTAGTATTATGCTTCTTTTATTTTAATCTGAGATATTTATTGTTCGAGTATATATTCACTTACCAAATAAAAGGGAAAATAATTGAGCAGAGCCTAATTTTTATGAAGGAAAATGTAATAATACTCCTTCATGTCTCTAATACCAAGCCATTTTAATTTTTAATTTGCCTTTCATGTTTTTTTAATAGAGGACGGAAGGGAGTAAAAGTTTCCGTGAGGGTCGTGGAAATAATCAAAAAACAAAATGTTTAATAACGACCGACACAGCAACTAGCAGCATCAGGGCAGTAGAGGGACCCACTTCTCGAGGAAAAAGGGTCCTACACTTCTCTCGGGTCCCACTCATGTGTTGGGTTTTACATATGGATCTTGATTCTGTACATGCTTATGCTTTGGCCCCTTCCTTAATTAAGGAAAACAAAATAGTAGTATAAAATTAAATAAATTGAGTGTTCATCCTTAACCAACAGTAATTAGTTTCTCGTGAAACTGTAAAGATTTCGAGGGGTAAAAAGCAGCAAATTGAAAATGGTTTTACTACGGAAATTGTTATTATCACTTTTGATGATATGCATGTTTTCATAGAGATAATAATAGGATGTTGTCAGTCTCCAACTCTAAATCTAATTTTCTCATTTTATGATAAACTTTAAGAATAATTTAACACTTCAGATGGAGTTAATAACAATTACAGCAGTTTCTTTTTATTTTCGATTACCTTAGTTTAAAAAAAAAGTAAAATAAAATAAAGAATCAGACTGAAATTATTTTATTATGTAATTTCGTCAAAATGCTCATCCGCCGGGTTACTTTGGGAATAAGATGTTTTCGTCTGCCAATCATGTAACCCCATGCAAATTAAGACTATTTTTTATTTCTTATTTTAGCCTGACACACCATATGATACCCTATAATAGGCATTTGGTAATACTTACCGGTTATGATCCAATATTTGATTAGTGTTTATGACTTAATTAAGTGGTACTAATAAATTGTATAAAATGTCATACAAGTGTTACACGAAAAGTAATACATAATATCCAAATACATGTAAAAAGTCGCGGACATCGTGTAATATATGCATTTGCGAGTCTTCTGTTGTGACTAAAACGTGAGTATTCCTCATAATTAGTACTACTAATTATCATTTAACTCGGTAATTAGTAACTCCGATAAGCCAGGTCATCAAGTGCTTTCGCTTAACTGTGAGTTTGTCTTTTTAGCAGCGTATACAAGTAGCAATACTAAAGACTAAAGAGTAGAAAATGAACGTGGCTACCACAAGATAGGAAAATTTGTTTATTTGGTCAAAAAAGATGTACAGACTCTATATGATCAAGAAATCCATTAGTCACTTGCTTTGATCGTCAATCGTATTCACATCACATCGAACTATGCAGTCAGTTTAATAGTTTTTGTTAAATTGAATAGAGCTTGTTCATGTCAAAAATAATAGTAACAAATCCATGAACGTTACAAATAAGTTGTTTGTCTTTTATTTCAAACTGAGAAATGAAAAAGACGAATAAAAAAAAAAAAATTCTTCAAACTCTCGTGATGTAATTAAAGAAATTTTTTGATTCGGGAATTTAGCCAAAAAATGTAAATTCTTTTTGATTTGTCTAGTGGAGGAATATATTGTTCAAAAAATCATACTAAAAGAATGAAACGACAAGTGAACCAAAAGAACAAAACAATTAGTGATAAGGTATGAAAATTAAGGGACTAATTTTTCATAATCGTATGTAGGGAAGGGGGGATTTTTGTTGATTAGTCCATAACTGTGTTTTGGTCTTAATTAAATTCTTGTTACGAAATGGAATGATATTTCCTACCGGTTTACTGAGCAGTGTAAGATATAAACTGGTCCCACTTCACCTACTCACCTAACCAAACCTCAAATTTGTAGTTTTAGAGGGGGGTAAAGACTAAAGTGGTAATCAAAGGCAAAAGGGTAGTTTAGGGAATTGCACTCTGTATGATCTGAATCTGATCTGATTATTCACGTAAACAAACATAAGTAAGCATGAGTTTATTTTATTTTTAATATAATTATAATAATAATGATTATTATTATTATTAATACTTTATATTGGTAGCCTCCAACGGGAGTGCAAAATTGTGGTCCAACGTGTGCTCCCACTAATCAGCTACGGCCAACCATACTCACCAACCTTTTTTTACTTTCTCTACCCCCGTCGTTTTGCCAATCTTTTTTTTATTAATTAAATAAATAAATGCTTACTCCAATGACAACTTCCGGATAATTAATTTCCTTGATTTTGATATATATGAGAAAAAGAAGAAAAATACCGAGACGTACGAGTGGCGCGTGATTCACAATCTCTCTCGCTCCCTGCCCAGTTCCCGTCCACCTACACACACCAATCCGGGAAATCATAAAACAATAAAGAGGAAATTTAAAAGCTGACACTATATTATATATAGTACTACTTTATTAGAGAAAAAGAATACTTTACTTAAATAATTTCATGAAAATTATTCAGTCGCCAGCTTATTGGGATCTGGACTAATTACCTTTTTACTCTTTTTATTCCTTCATAAATTAGTAAATCCTAATTAATTAATATATTCATTCATGCAAAGAGTTTTATCCTATTTTTTGAAGCGTACAAAATAGAGCTTTTATAAATGAATTTTCCGCAGTTGCATTTAGTCGTTTCTCTATCTCTCTGTGTGTCTGTCCCTCTTTTTTCTTTTCTTTTTTTTTTTTTTTAAAAAAAACAAACTGGAGTCTTGAGATATTTTTGAGTGGCTACACATATATTGTACCGTAATCTAATTTAGATGCGAGTTGGATAAATTCTTTTTTCTACATGACAACATTTTTACGGTAAATATTTTATATCTGATCAAAATTTAAATGATAAACTTCTTTACCATAACTGGAAAGCAAGTCAAATTGTGACTTCGCGGTGTAATTTGTAACCAAAAAATAAATAAAAATGGATCTGTTCAAACCATTCACTGTCGGTTGAGAGAATTAAAAACAAAACAAACTAATAATAAATAAAAATTTAAAAAAAAATCGAAGCCAGGCAGTACTCGTTATATATGTGTTGAAGATTCCTTAACCATTTGATGTTACACCGATGGATCATGAGAATCCGGAATGCGAATTAATTAGTCCAACTGCTACATATCCACGAGACTTGAAAATGCATCTTTGATCGATCATCATCACTCTTCCATGAGGCTGGTAGCAACGCAACCACGCCATTGTTTCTCGTTCCAGCATGATATTACATACTAGATTATTTATTTTCGATACTATGATTACATAGCGGTGGTTTACAAAATTTGGCATATTCATTCTTTCATTCATCAAAATCCAAAATAAAATAAAACAATAATTTACCTATTAATCACAAAATCTAATTCAAAATAATTATTATCAAAATAATATTTAAACCCTCATATTATAAAACACCTCTTAAATACTCCCTCTGTCCCAAAATTATTGTCCAGTTTGAAATTTCACTTTTAGTGCAATTTGAATTAGAAGTGAAAATCCAAACTGGACAATAATTATGGGACGGAGAGAGTATTATTTTTGCACACATTTAACCCCATCACCATCGGACCATCTCCACCATAGTCGGATCGCCACCCACTGCCTCCGTCCGGCCAATTTTCGATGAAGTTGGCCGGAATCCAATTAAGCGACAGTGTGTGGTAGTCCGACGACGGTAGTAGTGGTTCGGTAATGATATAATTATTTTATTCTAAAAATTATGTATATAATGTTTTAAAACTCACCTCAAAACACATTTTAAATCCAAATCGAAAACAAAAACTAATGTTGTTCAAACAACCCCTAAACACAAAGCGAGGGTAATAGCTGACTCTCAACTCCAACAATGTCAAGTGTTGGGAATATTGGTGGAACTTGGAAGCTCGCAAACGTTGAAATGCTTGATAAATGAGGCCAAAAATTCATTCTGCAATTCGAGAGATATATGAATCATTTCAGTCAGTTCAGTTCAGTGGACTTAATGCATGTTAGAATTAAGTACTGCAAAAAAAAAAAAAATTATAATAAATAATAAATTCCACATGGTGATCCGAAGTGGCCCATGGTTTGATACAAACTTCAACTTGGTAATGATACCATTGTTAAATGTTACCCCATCGAACAGTTCATTTTCTTTTGTTGTATTCAATATGCATTTGTTGTTTTTTTTTGGGTCGTTACCTTTTTTTCACTCATTTTGTGGGTGACGACGATCGTATAAAAGTGACGAAACTTGTGGATGTTGATATACTAGCATTTTGATTTGTGGTCCTTTACTTAAAAAGAACTTGGTACCTCTTCAATTCAAGCAAATTCCATCATCCGAATTCACCCTCTATATATACACATAGCGCTGCTTCACTTTGAAAATGAGGTTTTTATATTAGGCAAGTTTTTTCCCTTCCTTCGTAAAAGAATGTTACAGTGTTTATTTTTTTGCGTATTAAAAACATATATTAATTATTAGAAATTAGGGTGTATCATTTGGCGCATTACTTGAATGATCAATATATATTGAACATTTTGGAGCAGAATTGACCTGAATTATAAGTTGGCAAATAATTTTTTGTAATTTTTTTTTTTACATAAATATGGTACCTAATGATGACAAGTAATTAGGGAGTGTACAGATTATGGTCACCAGCAACGAAGTCCACGAGCTCATTTTAATATATTTTTTATATCCAAATTCCAATCATATATGATATTGCTTCCCAACCCCCGGGTTTATGTAAAGATAACATATATGCGAGTGCGACAACAAAATTCGAGCGTCTCGCAGGTGGTCAATAATTGAGCAACCGTTGATACAGTATTTTTTATATTTAGCTCGAAGCACGTCTCATTTTATCAAAAATATGTGAAAGATCAGAAAATGAATATTAATGTAATTATAACTTCTGCCAACTAAAAATTAGGTGACTCGTTGGACGTATATATTTATGATTTGGTATAGTAGTGTATCATTATCAAAACTTTAAATTATGTGTCCTCCTTCGCCGACACCATATTTGCCATTCTGCATATATAGCGTGATGATTATAGAAGGTATAATTCCATGTTTTCATCTTCTCATTTTTTCCGTTGCAAGCAAGAGTCGACCGCTAAGAATAAGATAGTTACGGGCTGAGTATAGGAGAAGTTATTTTGCAAAGTTTTGTTAGGAGAGTATCAACCTCAATCCTCATATTAGAGAGGTTCACAAAAAGTGTGTAGTGTCGCAGAAAACAGAGAATTCAATCCCCGAGTGATTATGAATGTATTTCCCTTCATAGTGTCGTAATTTTCAAAACTCTAAAATTTTGAATAAGAGCCATGAAAGTGAAAACTAAAACGTTTCAAACATATAACCAATAATTTTATAATACTCCTTATGTTTCAAAATTATAGTTAAGCTTTATTTTTTAGTTTTCGTTAAAATAACTAAAAATAAAAGTTTATGATTTTAGAAGGGAAGGAATGATAATAATTTAGTCGCAGATGATTCAAATCTCAAAATATAATTTTGATATAAGAAAATTAGACAGAAATAGTGTTTGGTGAAAAGGTAAACCCGAAGGCAACATGGCTCACATCAGAGAGATCTGTGTGGTGGTAGGTGACCGTAGTCAAATTACCGTGGTCAACCACGCTCTCCAACGCGCGTCACCCGGGTTCCTGAAATCTGAAGAAAATGGAGTAGAATGGTAGTATACTTTTTCCCTATAATATTTTACCGAAATTAAGGGGAAAAGGTTAAAAATGGAGTGAGTAGAGAAAATTACACAAAAAAGGATCGCAGATCTACCATGGCACCAACTCCCACGAAAGGGCAGTAAAGCCCAGCAGCCCTTTTGGCTCTATAAATACGGGCATTCATCTCCACTCAAAACTCGCGTCCGCCCCAATTCTCTCCTTTACCTGTGCTACTGATCTGATCTGTGAACTTCATTGCTCTTCTTCCATTGTTGAGGGAGAAGAAGAAGGGAATTAAAAGACTCAGTCAGTAATTCTAACGTCGTTACCCCGAAAGGTGCGCTCCCTCTCTCGTTGTTTCTGTTTCCCCCGAGTTTCCCTGCTCCATTCTCCTCCCCATTTCCCTCCTCGTCATCATCTTCAGGGATCTCTCCCCGTTCCCATTGATTTGTTTAGTTTTAGTTTTCTTTGTGCATATAAATTCTACTCCTTGTTAGTTCATTTGATTCTTCTTTCTTTTAGATCTGTACTGGTAAGTGTGTCTAAAACTCCTCCTCCATTGATGACTTTCTTCATGTGTCGCCCTTTTGTTTTTGTTTTCACTGTGATAAGTGCTGACATGGCAAGTTAAAATTGAGTGTTTTACTGGGTTTTCTTTTTTTTTTTTTCCGGGCGGCGGGTTTTTGGTAAGTTATCATTGGGATTTGTGAATTAGGATAGATCCACGGGGTATTTTGGTGGAGGGCTTATTGGATCTGAATTCGGGATCGCTTCTGGTTTCTAGATCTGATATGAGATTGTTAATGGCGGCTGTACATGTTTTTAAGCCTGTCAGCATTGCGATTCACCTGCATGTGTCCCATATCCATCCTGTTCCCCATCGTAGATTTTCCATAAAGTTGGTAGATCTTGGTGGCTCCTTTTTCTGTTTCGAAGTTTACTATACTAGATTCCTCACTGCCTTGTACTAATAACAAGCATTAGCGATTCAATTTTGTCGATTTCGTTTAGATGTTTGCTAAACTATAAGTCCAACCCACTACCCGTGTTCTTTGACATGTTTGAATGCCATGTGATCTTTTATAGTGGGGATTTATCTGGCAGTTATCAATTGATGAATATTTTTCGTTGAATGAATGTTTAGTAGTATGCTATGGGTGTTTGTTTTTGGGTAGCATACATGATGTAATGTGGGGGTGCGTTTGGAAATGTTTGTTTATGCTGATGTATTGAATGATTTTGTTTAGGCTATAAAACTCATCTAATTTGGATTTTACGTTGACGTGCATATTGATCTAATTGTGAATTGAGACTGGGATTAATTCTTCTGTTCTGTTTCATTTGATGATCCAGAGCAATGGCCTCCCACATTGTTGGATATCCCCGTATGGGACCCAAGAGAGAACTCAAATTTGCTTTGGAATCTTTCTGGGACAAGAAGAGCACCGCCGAGGAGTTGGAGAAGGTGGCTGCTGACCTCAGAGCTGACATCTGGAAGCAGATGTCCAGTGCTGGCATCAAGTACATCCCCAGCAACACCTTCTCATACTATGATCAGGTTCTCGATACTATTGCAATGCTCGGTGCTGTTCCACCAAGATACAACTGGACCGGTGCTGAAATCGGGTTTGACACTTACTTCTCCATGGCCAGAGGAAATGCCTCTGTCCCTGCCATGGAAATGACCAAGTGGTTTGACACCAACTAGTAAGTGACCTGTTCATCCCTTCATTATTATTTTTCTGAGCCCCATGAATTCTGTTCCAAGTATTAACGTTTTCTTTGTTTCCTGAACACCAGCCATTTTATTGTTCCTGAATTGGGACCTGATGTCAAGTTCACTTACGCTTCCCACAAGGCAGTTAATGAATACAAGGAGGCCAAGGCGGTATGTGATTTTCAGAATATTGCTTTTGTTATTTTCTGATTTTAGCTGTAATTGGTATGTATACGTAGCTAAGGCACACAGAATGTAAACAAGTCACTTTTATATCCAGTTTGTATTGCATTTATCATAAAAAACAGTGACATTATATGGTATAATGCAGAATGAAACTTGTTTTAGTTTGTAATTTCTTGTTTGTTACCCGTATTTGGGAGATATGTTTGGGAGATATGTTTTTTGCTTCAGGGATCAGGACTTAGTATTTATGCTTAAAAAACTTATGTGATTTATGGGGTTTAAAGTAATTAGAAATTTTTATCCTTGAAACTTAGATGCTGAGAATTGATTGCATACAAATTGGATCTGTAACACTTTAATCACTTAAGTTGAAAGTTGAAACTAACTTGTCTTTTTCATTGTACAATGCAGCTTGGAGTTGAAACTGTTCCAGTTCTTGTTGGACCATTTACTTTCTTGAGCTTGTCCAAACCTGCAAAGGGTGTTGACAAGACTTTCCCTAAACTTAGCCTTCTTGACAAGATCCTTCCGGTTTACAAGTAAGAAATGTGCACCTTCAGCGCATTTTCTGCTTCTGATTACATGTTCAGCTTCTAAGTATAAAGAAATCTTTTTGCAGGGAAGTAATTGCTGATTTGAAGGCCGCTGGTGCATCCACAATTCAGTTTGATGAGCCCGTCTTGGTTATGGATCTTGAATCCCATCAATTGGAAGCATTCGTTAAGGCTTACTCCGAATTGGAGTCATCTCTTGCTGGCTTCCATGTTATTGTTGAGACCTACTTTGCTGATGTTCCAGAAGAGGCATACAAGGTCCTCACCTCCTTGAAAGCAGTTTCAGGCTTTGGTTTTGATTTGGTCCGTGGAACCAAAACTCTTGACCTTATCAAGGCTGGATTCCCTGCTGGCAAGTTCCTCTATGCTGGAGTTGTTGACGGAAGGAACATCTGGGCCAATGATCTCGCTGGATCTCTCACCACCTTGAAGGAACTTGAGGGCATTGTTGGAAAAGGTAATGTGGGCAGTATGCAGCATGTGTCTTGCAGAAGTAATTTTACAGATGTTTCTGTATTGGTATTGACTCCCTTGTGATTATTTATCATGCAGACAAGCTTGTTGTCTCCTCATCTTGCTCTCTTCTCCACACTGCCGTGGATCTTGTTAATGAGCCTAAGTTGGACAAGGAAATTAAGTCTTGGCTTGCATTTGCTGCTCAAAAGGTTGTTGAAGTTAATGCATTGGCCAAAGCTTTGGCTGGACAGAAGGATGAGGTAGTTTTTTTGAAATTAATTTTTTTATCTTTTCTTTTTCCCTTGCAAGCTGTTGAAGCAACTTACTGCCTTAATTTTGTCACTCTCGAAATGTTTCTGACTCCTTTTCATCTGGTATGCTGTTTTATCCAGGAATTTTTCTCTGCCAATGCTGCTGCTCAGGCTTCCCGAAAGTCCTCCCCCAGGGTGACAAATGAGGCTGTTCAGAAGGCTGTAAGTGACAATATATTCTTTGATCTATAATTTGAACTGATTTGGTGCAGAGATATTTCATCTTATGGTGATTTATGTTATTATTTCTGATTTCCAGGCTGCTGCTTTGAGGGGATCTGACCACCGTCGTGCCACAAATGTTAGTGCTAGACTTGAAGCTCAGCAAAAGAAGCTCAGTCTTCCCCTTCTTCCTACAACAACCATTGGATCTTTCCCTCAGACTTTGGAGTTGAGGAGAGTTCGCCGTGAGTACAAGGCCAAGAAGTGAGTGGTGTATTAATTTTCTTTTTTAAATTCCTTTTACTTCTCAGTATTGTCCTTTCTCAGTATTGTCCTGAACAAATGAATATGTATACAGGATTACCGAGGAGGAATATATTACTGCCATCAAGGCTGAAATCAAGAAGGTGGTTGATCTCCAGGAGGATCTTGACATTGATGTCCTGGTTCACGGTGAACCTGAGGTAAGCAAGTCCATGTTTTGATCTATTTGATTTGTTTAGTTGTTGTTATGCTTAATGCTTTGCATTTTCCTGCTTACTTTTGACAGTTATCATTTGAGAAAGTATTTGGTTCCTTCACTCACATTCAGTAAAACTTTTGTAGAGAAACGATATGGTTGAGTACTTCGGTGAGCAGCTTTCTGGGTTTGCATTCACCGCCAACGGTTGGGTGCAATCTTATGGATCTCGCTGTGTGAAGCCCCCAATCATCTATGGTGATGTGAGTCGCCCAAAGCCCATGACCGTTTTCTGGTCCACTGCTGCTCAGAGCATGACCAAGCGCCCAATGAAGGGAATGCTTACTGGCCCTGTCACCATTCTCAACTGGTCCTTTGTCCGTAATGACCAGCCCAGGTACTGTTGAACTGCCTTCTGTCCATGTCTTGCATTAATGCAGTGGTGGTGGTGGGGGGATTAGCTAATTTAACGATCGAGTGGCTGCTGATGCAAAACTCACTTTGTTTTACAGATTTGAAACATGCTACCAGATTGCTTTGGCTATCAAGGATGAAGTAGAAGATCTTGAGAAGGCCGGTATCACTGTCATTCAGATTGATGAAGCTGCTTTGAGAGAAGGTTTGCCTTTGAGGAAGGCTGAACATGCATTCTACTTGGATTGGGCTGTCCACTCTTTCAGAATTACCAACGTCGGCGTTGAAGACACAACCCAGGTTCTTTCTTCTACCTATTTGACCCCCAATTTGTGTTTATAAATGCAATCCTCTAGTTTCAGTATTTTGATGAGTTTGTGTTTTGCATACTACAGATCCACACTCACATGTGCTACTCCAACTTCAACGACATCATCCAATCCATCATCGACATGGACGCTGATGTGATCACCATTGAGAACTCCCGATCAGATGAGAAGCTCCTCTCTGTTTTCCGTGAGGGAGTCAAGTACGGTGCTGGAATCGGACCTGGTGTCTACGACATCCACTCCCCAAGAATACCGTCAACCGAGGAGATTGCTGACCGAGTGAAGAAGATGCTTGCTGTGCTTGACACCAACATCTTGTGGGTCAACCCTGACTGTGGTTTGAAGACCCGTAAGTACACAGAAGTGAAGCCAGCCCTCCAACACATGGTGGTAGCCGCCAAGCTCATCCGTGCCGAGCTCGCCAGCGCCAAATGAAGATGTCAAGAAAGGGTGATACCCGGGCTTTAATACTTAATTCATTGTTTGCTTCACAACATTTGAAAGAAATATCCTATTTTGCTTTCAATAACACTTGTGGTTTACTGAAAATGTCGTCAAATTAGGTGTAGTAGTTGGCCCTGCCCGACTGGGGTTGGTCATTTTTACTTTGTTTGTTTCAAATTTTTGGTTTAAATCCCATGTTTTGGTTCCCTCTTCATCATATATGTTTACTTTTTAAACAAGTACTGCCTACTAGAGAGTAGCCCACGGCCCCCTACTTATATATACCCAAAGGAATTTGAAGTGCTTTTTTATACAATCGGTTGTTTCGGGTTCATTCATCTTGTCTTGTCACTCTTTCGAACATTTATAACGGGAGAATTTATGTTACTACCGGATCCAATTTAATCTTAAAACAACACCTTAAAATCAAACTTCAGGGAAAAATCATCATTTTGCCTGTCTTCATGAAGAAAATTAATGTTAGCATGTTTAGCAATTGCCACTGTCACTTCAATAATGAGCTCAACGAGACCTGTTAGTTCTACGTAACTCTCAGAATCAAGCAATCGATTACAACTGTGAACTGTCACTTCCTTAGCGGAGTTCGGACAGGATATGAGTCAAATTGTTCTTTCAATTACTTTTTCACAATTGTTTATATTAAAACTCAAAATTTACGTGTTTGTTTCATTTTTTAATATGTGTTTTTAGGTGTTTTTTGTATTGGGAATGTAAAAAGGTGTACTTCCTTTGCGGAGTTTGCGGAGTTGGACATGATATGAATCAAATTATTCTTTCAGTTACTGTTTCACAATTGTTTACACTAAAACTCAAAATTTGCATGTTTGTTTCGTTTTTTTAGTGTGTTTTTAGGCTTTTTTGTATAGAGAATGTAAAAAGGTATACTTTCTTTGCGGACTCGGACATGATATGAGTCAAATTGTTCTTTCAGTTACTGTTTCACAATTGTTTATACTAAAACTCAAAATTTGCATGTTCGTTTCGTTTTTCTAGTATGTGTTTTTAGGTGTTTTTGGTATTGGGAATGTAAAAATGTGTATTTCCTTTGCGAAGTCGGACATGATATGAATCAAATCATTCTTTCAGTTACTGTTTCACAATTGTTTACACTAAAACTCAAAATTTGCATGTTTGTTTCGTTTTTTTAGTGTGTTTTTAGACTTTTTTTGTATTGAGAATGTAAAAAAGTGTACTTTCTTTGCGGAGGCGGACATGATGAGTCAAACTGTTCTTTCAGTTACTGTTTCACAATTGTTTATACGAAAATTCAAAATTTGCACGTTTGTTTTGTTTTTTTAATGTGTGTTTTTAGGTATTTTTTGTATTAGAAATATAAAAAGGTATATTGAAAATGTAAAAAAAATATTTTGGGATGGAACAGTAATTATTATAATATTCTAAAAAAATCTGAAAAAAAGGAAACAAACAGAGAATTGCATAAGGATTAATATTACTACCTTCATCCCTTTTGTTTAGAGGCTTTAAGCATGATTTTATATATAAAAAAACTGAACACGATTTTTTAATTTCCTTAATAAGAAGTTTTTAAATTTTCAAACATTTACCACTCAACTATTTATTGAAAAAAAAAATTCCAACTATATCATTGACATTGTAAAGTTGGTTTAAGAAAATTTAGAGCATATTTATTAAAAATAACTAAATTTGGTTAGTTTATTAGTACGTATGAAATTAGGTACTCGTTTCTTATAATATGAAATGGAGGTAGCATTATCTTTCAAATAATAATAATGTTAATGGTGGTTTTAATGGTTTTCTTTTTAAATATAGAAACATATCTTAGGGCAGTTTCAATTTGTATCTTCAATATTTTTCTTTTATGCAAATAACTTTGAATGTTATTCTGAATGAAACAATTTCATTCTTATTTTTTTCCGACTACTAGTTATTGTAAACGGTTTAAATTCACTTATTTAGGAAAAAAATTGAAAAAAAAAATGCCACAAATCAATCCACCAAAAAAAAAAAATTAATTGGAGGGGGGGAAGTGCAATGAATAAATAAGGAGCTTTAAATGGGAGGTAAAACAAAAGAAAGGGAAAAAGTAAAACCCCATTAAATGTAGGTGTAATTTGAAAACCAGATTCTTCCTTCAACATCACTGTATATATATGGAGAGAGCTTCCACCTCTTCTTCTGTGACAAAAACCACCCAAAGAAGAAGAAAAATCCCCCAAAAATCTCTTCACTCTCTGCATTTTGCAAGAAGAAGAAGAAGAGGAAAAACCCAACTTAAAAAAGCAATCTTTTTTTTTTTTTTCAAACAAATGTATAAATCAAAGTTGCAGGAGCTTTGTCACAAGCGTTCATGGAATTTGCCAGTTTATGTCACTCAAAAGGATGGACCTGACCACTGTCCTGCCTTCACCACCACCGTTACAATCAATGAATTTGAGTTTGCCTCTGAAAAAAATGGGTCTAAATCCTCTAAAGATGCCCAGAATGCTGCTGCTAAGCTGGCTTACGACTTCCTTTCTTCTTTGCCCGCTGATCAGCCTCCTCACCCCTCTCATCTTTACAGGGCTCCTTCACCTCCATCCCCTTCTGTTCCTTCTGCTCCTTCACGCGGTTAGTTTTTGTAAATCTTTGCTCTCGGATTAATTAACACTAATGTGGTTGTTTCTAAGCTTATATGGTCGGATTTTTTACTGGGTTGGTATGGGAATTTTGATGCATTGATTTTTCCGTAAATAAAAGGTCGAAGGAAATGAAGCAGCCTCTTTTTATACATTTCACGGTTTGATTTTTTTTTTTTTTTGGTGTGATAAATTCCTGTTTTGGATTTTAATTAGCTTTTTTTTTTTTGGGGGATTGGAAATATCTGGAAGGGAATCTGTGTGTCAGTTTGAGCTGTGAGTTTTTATGTGAATTCCTATCGTTTATGATCAATACCTTCTTTATTTAATTAAGAGGCATACCGTACTAACGGTATCGTGTTAACAAACTCTTACACGTTTTGAAATTGTTGTTGCAGCCTCAGGCAGCAATGTTGTTTCTGGGGCTCCACAGAATGGGGCACTGCATCAGAACCATTTAGGGAACCTTGACATCTTGCTGCGCCACAATAACAATGGTAAGCCTAAAGATGGACCTTTTATTTTTGTTGGGTGCAAAGCCTAAAGATGGAACCTTTACTTTTAGTTTTTCCTTGTTTGAATCATGAAAAAGTGATGAGACCACTCGTTATTAATAAACTGTTGTCTTTTGTCATATATAATATGTATCCAGATTTACTTCTGGATTAAAGTCTGACATCTTCCTCTATTTGTTCAAATCAAGAATGCATTCTTCCATTTTTGTTCAACTTAAGAGTCTAGTTTATGGTGCTCTGTTGGTCTTGCTTCGATTAAGATGTGGTACAAAAGTTGAAAAAATGTATGTCAGACCTACTTTGCGGTAAACAAAGAAGCCGTGGAGGTGTCACATAGGCCATTGCCAGGAAAGAAATTTCTATTTTTTCTTGCACCATTGGAGGTGCTTCGAATTTTCCCTAGTATTATCATGTTTTAACTACTCCTTTAACAAAATTGTCTCGTCCAAGGTGAAACAGAAGTCTTTTTCTGTAAATAAGTGAATGCTTCAAGCTGTGAGGTTTTTGCTAACTTGCTACTGTATATAGCCAATTGGATTCAAGACAATTTCAGTTAAATTGCTGGTTACCTGTACCGCTATTTAAATAGTTAGCCATGTATACTGGTTGCAGTTTCTTCATAAGCTTTTTGATGATGTTTTGAATGTGTTCTCCAGCATCAGTCAACAAAGGCGCAACTGAACCTGTGAAGAAAGATGTCTTGGAGCAGCACGAGGGAGTGAATATTCAAGGTAGCACACCTAAAGGTACAGCCAAACAAAAGAAATAATACTTGTAATTATTACTTTTACTTATTTTTCTAGGTTTTAAATGAGAAAAAAAGTGAGACTGATTTTTTTTTTTTTTGGGTTTTTTTTTTGGTTTGGACTGGAGTTTACAAATTGTGATTTACATGTCTTTTCATTTGAAATACAAAAATGTGTAGGTTTAAAGGTTTACATTCTGAATTTGAAGGCTCCCTTGTTTGCTGGAGTCATGGATGTTCTTTTAGATCACTGCATTGCTCTTCTTCTAAGAAGTACTTAAGTTGATAACATGAATAACTGGCCTAATTCTCATGATAAGTAGAGGTGCCAAATAGGGCGTAATGTTGAAAAATCTATCAAAGTTTTCTTGCACCAATTGATGTGCTGAAGTTCCCAGTGCTAAATGCTAGTTTAGACTAATTTGTAAAGGAAGAATCATAAAGATCCCCTCACCCTCCCCAAAGAAAAAGTACGAAAATTTGGATTGATACGCTAGAAGAATGCGTATCTTAGGTGACCCAGTCTTTACGTGCCAGCAAAGAAAAGAGAAAAATTCTACAAGAAAATAAGTATGCTTGTATTAAGTACTGTGTTTCGTGTGTCTGATATTTGCGTTCAAGGTCTTCATTTAGTGGGTACTCATATTCACACCTTTTTTGGCACAAGTGTGACTATTATATGCTCTGAAGTTTCTTACTTTGTTTTATGATCTACCCTAAGAAGAATGCACAAGAATTAATGCATCTTTTTAAAGCAACTAACTGAAGGTTAGATATTTTTCTAATCTTTCTTGTCATTTCCAGATTTGTTGCATGTGTATAAGAATCAGCTGCAGCACTATGCGCAGAAGAATAATATCTCTCTTCCAGCATACTCGAACGAATTTGTTGGCCTTCCTCATGTCCGTCGGTTTAAGGCTAGTGTGGTTGTAGATGGAATTACATATCAATGCCCTGAATATTACTCTACGTTAAGGGATGCTGAACATGCAGCTGCAAAAGTTGCTTTAGAAGCTTTGTCTATTGCAGAAATTCCCGAGGTTGTTTTTTTTTTGGAATAGAAGTATTTGTATTATCGTTCCCGTCGTATTTGTGAATGTTTCTCTTTGGTCGCTAATTTTCCTTTTTAAAAATGCTTGCAGAATGAAGGTTTATCAAAGTCACTTTTGCAAGAACTGGCCCAAAAAATGGGTTTTCGCATTCCATCCTATAGTACTGTTAGAAGTGGTCCATCACACAAGCCAACCTTCGTGTCTACTGTAGAAGTGGGTGGTGTAAGCTATGAAGGTGTGGGATGCAAAACAAAGAAGCAATCAGAAATGAGTGCTGCCAAGGTTGCGTATGAAAAACTGACCAGTGGTAAGGACATTTTCTATAATTGGTTAACGTGACCTGTGACCCACACTTTTAATCTGTGACGAGCAAAAGTTCAATGCTGGTAATAACTACTGCAAAATCAGAATCTACCTTACCATTTCAATGTTTTTAATAATAATTTCTTGGACATGTAGTTGTTCCTGTTCTTTTTCCTGATGTTTGGGGACGTTAGTGCCCCAAATTGTCCCAGAGATGAATGCACAAGACTTTAGAGGATAAGCAAGCATGTTATAGGAAATGTTTTGGGCTATGAAATAAATGCTTGGGCAGCAAGGGCAAAAGAATTTTCTTTAGTTGAATAGCAATTGTATAAGTTAAGAGATGATATCAGGAGTTTGATGAATGGGAAATGACTCAAACTGAGAAAAGTTTTACAATAGTTTCAAATTTTTTAGTCTGTTAAACCCAAGCCTTCTTTACTGTTATTATCATATTTGCATGAAGTGGTGACTATAACTTTAGATGGGCATTAATACCTTGTTCAGTGATGAAAATTATTTAAGAGGCAGGAATATGAGTATCCGGCTTCTTGAAAAGGAAGGAATGGCTTATAATTTTTGTTGTTAAAAGTATCCAAATTTTGGGTGGACTATTATTCTGGTGGACACTTACATACGTCATCATTGGACCTAATCAGAATCCAGGCTCTTCTATTGCAGGTAATGCAGTATCTCATTGTTCCCCTGCATCTACCTTGAGGATAAATGCAGAAGCCTCTTGTCCAGGATTGCAACTAGCCAACGTTAATGCCTGCCAGGTCATTGGTGCCCAAAACACCTCAAAAAACCATATGAAAAGAGCTCCTGGTGAGAGAAGTGGTTGTTTTCTTTTCTGTAACATAAAGCTTTTATCATTGCTTTCCAATTTATTAGCCTAGAAATCTTTCCTTTCCATCATTTGACCATAGGACACCAAGTTTTATTTGCACGATTATGGTGGTTCTAACTCAGGTCATGCAAGAAGCCTAGCAGACAGATTCCAGTTTCCATTGACGTAGGGATTTTTTTATATTTGTATACTGCGACAGATTACTAGAGGTGCTTAAAAAGTTTGTCAGAGAGGTCAAAAACTTGCATCTCTGATTCTTTAGCCTTCGTGAAAAGAAATTTCTATAACGTCTAATTAAGTGTCGAGTTTTTCATGTCTTTATAAGTTTGGGTCCTGAATCTTGATTCTCTCTCATGGTGCGTCTCCTATTTTACCCATATGATGAGAGAAATTGCACATGCTGATATATCAGATTCTGCAGGCATTCGAAATTCACCCTCATTTCTCATCAAAGTGAACTTCTGTGGTTATAGTGCATTGAAATTCAAAAAATAATTTCCTTATGCAGGTGAAATGAATGCACACCCTGGCGTGCTTTCATGTGGTACTGCTGGAAAGGAATTTTCCTCTCCTCATTCGGGCTCCAATACACTACAGAACATCCTACCAACACTTGCACCTACGGTTAAGGAGGCGAAGATGGATGAAGTTGAAGGTAACTTCTGAAGCTCTTGTTACTGTTGAGTTCCCACTTTTGTTTGGGTTTCAAATATGTCCAGACTGCTCCCGCTGATATCTTGGTCAACCTGATTTATCGGTCCAATATAATAAGCTTTTAGTTCAAAACTTGAAAAATTCCACAGATCAAACATTTGTTGATGCATGAGATGTCCACAAAGTTGTGCTAAGAACAGTTAAACTGGTTGTCAAAATTACTGATTCTTGTATTTTCCATCAATAGGAGAAGGAAAAGCAAAAAGGCACAAACGTTCATCATCTGAAAACATTTCTCACCATTTGCCAGAAGCAATCCCTCCATCTGATTTGTCTATTGACCCTTCTTCAGGTTCTTTGCCTTCTGAATCAGTGAAATCGGAGGAAGCAAGACGAACTGAAGGCGGTAATCCCCTAAACTCGAAGACCTTAATCTTTCGCCGTGGATCAAACATGGAGATTCCAGAAGGTGCCATTGAATTGTCTCTTGGGAATGATGAATGGGTGGTCATGAGAGTGCCATTGGATCAAGACCAGCAGGCAGGTACAGGACAGTAGTTCAGTGAAGTCCAGCATCTGTACTTTGTGTAGTACATTGCATGTAAATCATTGGATGTTTTACTTTCGGCTCTAGCGATCCTCTGCAGTTGGGTGTAACGTGCGGATCTAGAATTAGATTCTAAGATTATGATGTAGTTTTCTCTTATTAGAGAATATCCTTGAGAAATTGAAACTCCAAAACCCAACTTATTCTCTTCTTAACTTTTAGTCCTGCATATTATATAATTATGCAAGGAAAGAATTTTCCAAATTTAGAACATGGGTTGCAGTGATACATTTATTACCATCTTAAGCAAGATGATGCTAAACAAGGTTATATCAAGTTTTATAAGTTATTAGAATATTATATACTTCTTCCGTCTCATGATGGATCATCAAGTGTCAGTACAAACAAGATTAACAGGCACCATGGTTGGAGATGCAGTGGTGTGTGACTTTATCCCCAACGGTAGCTTGGTGTGTTTTAGGGAAGTTCGGTTACAACGATGAAGTTAAACTCGGGGATGATATCGTATGAAGTGGTACAACATAAAAGACACCTGACCACTCTTTTGTTTCCTTATCAATTAGGAATCTCTTTCTGCTTTTTCAAAAAAAAAAAAAAAAACCCTTTCTGTAGAACACAAGTAGGGGTACTAAAGACAAAAGCCAGAAGTCATTTTTCTTTTTACAGCAATTATAGAAAGTGTTAAAATTCATTTTGCCAGTGTCCGGTCTAGTTAACCGAAGCACAGCAGTTACTTTAATCACACAAACCAGCAATAAAAATTTTGGCACATACGTCACATGGCAAAATAATCACTATAATATTTCACTAGATGTTAAACCCGTGCGATGCGCGGGGTTTATTTATACATTATAAAAAATCAACAAAAAAAATATAAAAAGTGCAAAATGTATTTGGAGTCCATATTAAGATACATTACACAACTAAAATTAAATAAAGGCGTAATTGTAAAGATAAAATAATGCATATCATTTGAAATGCAAGTGTTCACTTGATTTTTATTGAAGGAGAAGAATTGGACAATAGCACTCATAAGCAGAGTAAAATAAATAATATTGTCTTAAGATTAAATATTGAATGAAAAGTTAAAATGATTGTACGCGTAAAATTCATAATGAAGTAATTATCAATAATAGATGGTAGATTATGTGTGACTAAAGTATGAAGTTTAAAATTTTTATAGTTATTTTGTTGTAATTAAAGATTTTATGGTACTGTTTGGCCCAATACTTAATATTTTAGAGGAACAAACCAACTGTAGAGTTAAAACTTTTGCCCTTTAATCCCTTTTTGCTATGATAATAGAAAATAATAATTAATGAAATTATGAAATTATAGGTAAAGAAAACATAAATTTAGTAACGTCTAAAAAAAAAAATCCTAAAATATCATTTTGCAGAAGAACATACGGAAAAAAAAAATCATATATAACCCTTAACTAACCATTACCTCCCATGCCACACGATCGACCCACTATTAGTTCATCGCTTTCAGAACAACAAACCAACTGTAGGGTTAAAATTTTTGCCCTTTCATCTTTGGATTTCAGGTTGTTTTGGGAGGGAGAAATTTTTGCAGCACTGGAACATACTCATGGTTTGTGTGAATGTATAAATAGAGATAAATTAGGATTGATGATAATTGATTATCCAAAATTTCAGTGATAAAGATAAAGTTTATAACAATTTTTGAGATATTATTAAGGAAATATTATATTTATTTGGGTAGATATGATATTACACAAATAAATGCATTGGTTTGAAATTCAAAAGATAACAATTAATTATAGTTAAATTCCATCCTTTTAGTAATAATTGAAGACAAGTTTTGTACCTTTTTTTCTTTTTTATTGGCGAAAAATACAGGGTCATGTTTTTGAAAAAAGATTTTAAAGATAACATTATTGTTGAATGATTGATTTTTTTTTTTTTTGAATTGTAGTCTATTGATTTACATGATTGGGAGGGAGATTTTTTTTGAGAGATATTAATTAAATGAGTCCAGTAGTAACTTTAGGGATTTTTTGGAGGGGGGAGTAGAATAATTCTGGTGCATTAATGTTCATTAATCCCGTCCATTAAATTTAATTAATTTTTATTTTCCTATTTTAAACTATAGTTTTAAATGTTATTTAATAAAACTTTATTTACATAAAATTTGAAGGACTATTAGTATAATTGTTGTAAATATTTTTTGACTCAACCATTAGAAAAATGACACATAGGATTTTATCCTATATGGCACCTTTAGAATTTTTTTTGTTTTTTTCTCTGGTTTCTCTCTTAGTATAATACTATAAATCATATTAATAATCTACTCCTAATTGCAAAAGAGTAGTTTTTATTCTAATAAAAAGTAACTCTTCTTTTGTACAAAATAATAATCTATTCTTCATATTTTTATCGTTCTAAATACAACATAACAATAAATAAAAGCGATTACAATTAACAAATATAAATGTTATCTTTAAACGCAAATATAGGACTTACAGGATGGAAGTTATTTTTTAAAATATTGATATATGCATGAAAATATTTGTAAAGAAAGATGAGAAGAAATGATGTGAACTTTCTATTTAGAATCTATACATTTAGGGTTTTGAGAATAATTTGAATTTAAAACCACAATGTTTCTTGTAAAATTTTTATAGACCGAGGACTAGGTCTAGGAATGAAATTTCATTGACACAGTTTGAGACGATGTCCTAAATTTGAAGGCATAGGTCTCAGCTTGAGGAGCAAAACCAAAATGAACAATCCCATCCCAAGATATTCTACTACTAAAACAAATTGAAGGGAACATATAATATTCAATTATTCATATCAGGAAAAAAATGCCTGACAAGAAACCAGACAACCTCCTCAATGGCAGAACTCATAAGAGTTGCCCTTTAACATTTTTTAGGGCTTGCTTAGCTATTTTATACTTCGGTTCCAAATTGTTCTGGGAACTAATCACATATTTGCTGACGAAAAATTTAATCCCAATCCGAAGGGATTCATACTCCGGGGTGACAGCAATCCGCGAAAATGCATTCCATATAACCTTATCAGGAAATCCAAAGATGGCCTCAAAGAGCATGCGGAAATGCATGATTCTTTTTGGGGTTAGTTGCCCAGGATCACCGAGATCTACCACCTTAAGTACTGCAAGTGAAAGGCTAAAAGAGGCAATCATTTCTGCGGTAAATTTAGCAAGATGCATCGACCTGATCAAAGTCATTGTTTCGAGCTCTTTGTAATGGTCCCAGAGGCAATACTGAGAAGAAACCAAGAAAAATGGAAAGTTATAAATGAAATGGTTTACGCGTAACAAGCAAGACATTCACAAATCAAACTAGACAGTATACTGACTAGAAGAAATTTTATTTATTTATTTATTGTTTTTGACAGTAAAAAAGTTTGTACCTGTAAAGTAAACTTGTGGTTTTTGTCGCATAACAAGACATTCACAAATCAAACTAGACAGTATACTAACTAGAAGAATTTTATTTTTTATTTTTATTTTTTTTGACAGTAAAAAAGTTTGTACCTGTAAAGTAAACTTGTGGTTTTTGTTGTGCTTGCATAACTTGTAACCAAGAATGGTGTAATATTTGTTAAAAACTTTCTCTTGCAAGCAGCATTCTACAAGAACACGCATGATCTCTCTGTCCTGAAAACAATAACTTGCAAATCTAAATCCACAATACTCTCGAGCAAAATGGACACAAGAAGAGAACAGAAGGTGCTCACCTGCTTTCCCTGCAAATCTAAACCAAGAAGTTTTGTAAAAGCATCCTTGAAGTCCTCCCCACTCATTATTACACAAAAAATTGCCCTTCTAGCATCTGTGTTCATCCTCTGAGCAGCAGCAAGCTGCAGCAGTTTTTGGGCCTCGTTAACTTCCGAATCAATTTTGCTAGCAACCTCCTCCAGTTTCTCAGTTGATTGTTGAGCATCACCAGATAACCACCATTGGCCTTTCTTATCAGGATCAAGAAGCTTACACCATTTCATAACTCTCACCAAGACATCCTCCACCCTTAGCTGCCAAAAAAAAAAAAGGTTTAGTGACTCTAACGTGGAAAAGCATCTAACTCACACGCAATGGTAAGATAGAAACCAGGTAACTTTTAAATCTCACAACTAGAGAGAGGGAGGGGAACTAGCAGCATAATTATTTCGCTAAGCAAGATTCCAAATTTCGTGAAAAAACAAGGTAGTAATAACATCCAATGAGTCATACTCTACCAGAATGTTCATATCCCAACCTTAAAATAAGAAAAGAAAAGTAATTGACCAAATACCTTCTGCAGCCATTTCTTTATCCGCGTATGCTGCACAGTTTCTTCTTTGGGTTTCTTCTTATTGTTTTTGATATCACATATAGTTTCAAGCATAAATTCCATCTGCAACAACAACAGGGACGGTTATTGCAATGAGGAAGCACAATACAGAGAGCTGATCGTAAGAAATTTGCGTAGATTAGTACTCTTTTGCCACTCATATTTGCTTGGCCGTCTCCAGCAGAAGGAGCCTTCAACTCGTTCACTCTTAGCTGAACACTTTGAATGAAGTTCTTCATTCCAACAGGATGATCACCCCTCAATTTCATCCCACAAGCTGTTCTCATTGGGAAAAGGGATATATCAGGCACACCATTTTAGTTCAGTCTATGCACAAAAGCTAGAGGAAGCTTTTCAAAAAAAATATTGAAGAACCAAATCTATGTGCTCCTAATAGATCCTCGAACAAATGAAAATCCTCAAGACAAGTCAACAGAACATACATTGGCCCTAAACGAATAAAATTTAAGGCAAAATCCTTCAGGAGGTTTTAAAGTTTTCACTATTCCTCTTAGAGGCAACGACCACTTTACATGTACTGATGTAAATGTAAATGAACTCTTCACTTGCGGAATATACAATGCTAAAGAATGCACTTACTTTGCAAAATAGTCAAGATTGTCGAAACATCAACCTCTGTCAATCGCTTGCTAAGCATTGTCATGAAATCATACAGCAAGTCACTGAAACACAAAACCAAGGAAACACCTCCAACGTCATAGAGATTTGAGACCTCCAATAAACAGGGAAAACAAATTATTACTAATAATGGTCACAAATTAGGAGATGTAGATGTTCAAGGCATCTAGTAGTTGGAAAAACATTTCTATCATCTAGGATCTTGAAAACGGATGGCAGTGAGTTCAAAAGAAAAAAGGGATGGCAGCAGTAACAGGAAGGGTAAGTCAGAAAGGACGTTTGGTTAACTGCTGAGGAAAATGAAGCAGCATAAGTAAATATTAATTCTACCCGTAAGTCTTTTCATGCGGCAAATACAGAGGTGGAGTGCTGCCGATTACGATTATTGACATAGGAACAACGCATCTCAAAGGTCTCTGACAACTTGTACATATCTCATTTGGAGATAAAAGAAATAGAGTTAACTAGGTGAAGTGGTGAGGGGTGGGAAGGTTGGGTGGGGTGGTTAGGGGATTAGGATGGGGGATGGTTATTACCAAGAGGTCGAGGGTTCGATTCTCGTTGGGGCCATCCAATTTTTTTATTTTTCTTTTAAGGAAAAAAAAAACTAGGTGAAGTGGTGAACAGGATGAACAACAATACAATAAAATCCCTTTTTCCCTTTAAAATTAAGTGTTGGAAAATTATCAGCCTGGTCCCCGAAAAAAGCGCTTTCCCGGTCACTTTATGTCTAACGTTCCTGAGGCTGGCCATTCTCAACAAACTTAAAGTTAATAATTTCCCTATAAACTTGAGTTAGTTTTGGCATACAACTGCAAAGGGTGATGAAGCAACTAGAGAGGGGCAGTCAAGGGCAAGTTTTGATAAGGTTTGGAAGTAATTACCTAGTGCAAATTCCAAATATGTACAGATAGGAGAGCAGAAGAGTCAGATTTCGCAAGGACAAATTATCTTCTTGAAGGTACTCCATCTGGATACAGCACATAGAATTCAAATCAAATTCTTTTAAAAGATGCATGTTGATAGAGAAGAAGAGGAATGGAAGGGGATGGCATTCACCTCAAAATATTTAGCCAAAGCAGCAAGAAGCTTTGCACCAAAGTCAATCCCAACCGAACAGGCCATTCCGGCCACAAAAGCAGCAAAAGTGGCAGCATATCTGGAAACGAAAATAACAATGAAATTTGGAGAAGAATAAGCATCTCAAAGAATTTTCAGGATCTCAAAGGAATCATGTTTTGCTGAGGTGAAATTGCTGTAAACCTCAGACAATCGTTTCTGGTGTGGGAAAAAAAACATTAAAAATAGCCATTAAGCAGCTGCAATTAGTTGCCGATAACAAGCTTGGTATGGACAGAATAATAACGCAAGACAGCATCAAGACAGAGCAATAAAGTTAGGCTTAGTGTTAGAGAAGGTCAAGGAAAAAATAAAAATTACGTAACTGTTCATTGCCACGAGGACCTCCAGCACAAGAAGACAAAACTTCATGGCCAATAATCTCGAAGCCAGCAGTGCGACCGACACCCTGCAAACCAAGAACAACAGAGCTGATAATAAAAATCTAAACAAACAGAGGTATAGCAAGTGCAACTGCAAGACACGAAAAATAAGTTATAACTGTGATAAAGCAATTCCAACTAAAAGATTTGGTAATCTCCGAGTTTTGGGGTACTAGAAATCATCTACTTTTGCAACAAAGTGAATGCGAAACAAAAGAATTCAGCCAAGCTACCGATTCTGAATTTATATTGCAAGCACCACATAGAGGAGAGTTCAGGGACAAATACACTTGGACTAAATGAGGTATAGTCTAATCCTGTTGTGTTCTAACATCAGAACATTCCAGTTGACTGCATAATCAGTTAAAATGAAGGCATTTTCTAGACCCTATCAAGAAAAACCATAACATTTGTGTGCTTTAACCTCTTGAGCATCTAATGGATTGCCCGTTTATTTAAAAGCATAAATTCCTCGTTCGCAGTTAATACAATACGACAGTGTAATGCCATAAAATTCAATACTTAAAGGACAGTATATGTCAGCAAGTTACATGGAATATTGTGGATATTTCCCCTGTGATTGATTCAACATTGGATTCAGAGAGCCTATTCAGGAGACCTGGAACAACCATTTGGAACATCAACCTTTAGCATCAATAAGCCATAAAAATGACAAAAAAGCAGGAAAAAAATTAATTAAAACTATTTACCTCTAATACGTTTGCGGATTTTTACATGTTCTTCTGATTCAGTCGTGGCTCCAGCTCTCAGGTGAGGCGCCACATATTTGGTACCAGATCCCCATCCAGAAGCCAGTTTGGGAGCCTTTCCTGCATCCTTCGCCTGCTCTGATGTTCCCTGCGTCTGGGATGTGCCTTGCGCTGGGTCTTGTTCGGGGGCCTCCGTTGTTGTAAGTTTTCTCAAGGAGTCACCATCAAGGTTCTTCACAGGATCTGATTCAGTGCCTTTGGTTCCTGAGCCCTCTAAAGATTCAAGAACCGAAGGAATCCCCATAAGAAAACCATTCATGCCATCATTGTCAGCTTGAAACTTCCCGCTTTTAACCTTTAGCTTCTTAGCAAGCTTCTTTTCCAATTCTATATCCTCATTTGCAGCAACAGCTCCCTTTTGTGATTCTTCCAGGTCACGATACTTCTCAAAGTTCGTTTTCCTGGTCCTTTTCCTCTCATTCCTTACACTTTTCTGTGTAGTTAACTCCTCTGATTGCTCTTCTGTGCTGGCATCTGACATATGGGAATCTTCAACTTCACTGACAGATTCCATTTCACTTTCTACTTCCTCATCAGAGACATTTTCACGATTCTCAAAGCTGTTTGTCACTGCATCATCCTCATCCATGGAATCAAGAACTGAAGGGATACCCTCAAGCAATGCACCAAGGTCATCGTCCATTCCCCCCAGTTTCCCTTTCTTCACCTTGAGCTTCTTCGCAAGTTTCTTTTCCAACATCAAATCCTCTTCAGCTGGAATATTACCTCTTCTCATTTCCCACTCGATATATTCATCAAAGTTAGTCTTTGACTTTTTACTTTTCACCATCTTCTTTTTAGCCTGTGAAGGCCCTCCCTCTATTACAGTAGTTTTTGACTTTTTTCTTTTCACCATCTTGTTTTTAGCCAGTGAAGGCCCCTCAACTCCAGTATCAGGAACCCTTAACAAATTCTCTTCCATCCCAGCGCTTGGCTCATTAATTTCTAATTTCTTCGCAATCACATGCGTTGTATTTGGAATGGATTTTCTTAATTTTGAAGATTTCTGGGCACAAGAATGAAAAAGTAATAATCACAATCAAAGTTCAAACGCACATCATACGGTTTCAAAAACTATACAAGTATAAAGCACATAAACAGATAACTAACATTTAGTCACCCGGAAAAAGAGGGAAACAGAAGAGAAAAGGAAAAAAGAATAGGATTTTGAAATAAATTACTTGATGATGAACCCATGAATCGAACTTCTTCTTGTTCTTTGCTAAGCGAGCTTCCTTTCTACGCTCTCTGCGAGACTTTTCACCTGTACTTCCATCTGCGAGCCCAAATGACAACGAACAAAGTTACAAACCATTCACATAACTGAGATTTGCACACAATATTGAGTCATAACATTCGAAGAGTAAAAAAAATCAATCCTACCCATTAATGTGCCGAATCTTTCCAATTACTTTGCATCAGAGGTTAACCTAATTGCCAGTGAACGCCCCAAAATGCAAGTGAATTTTGCACCGGAAATTAAGACCTCGAACAACTTGGGAACCAGAAACTATAATCCTCGGGCGAATAGAAAATTTCTGAGAAGGAGGAACGGCAATTATTCGTTCGTAGATGTCCGCCGGAGATGTGTTGATGAAGCCGGATGTGATTACAGTATGGGAGAAGGGGTTTTAGACCCCAGGGCAGGGTTTATAATTTCGCCGCCACAAGCCACCGCAACTTTTGGGGAGGCTATGAAGGCCAAAAGCGTAATTGTAGTTTTTTCTTCTTTCTTTCTTTTTTTTTTTTAGAAAATAAGCGTAATTGTATGAATGAGAGAAATTAGGAGAAATCTTTCTTTTCTTTTCTTTTTATAATACAAATTATAAACGCCTTAGTTATAACATTACACGAGAAAGGTATAACAAAACCAACCTTAGTTCGGTTTGTCAAGAATTCGAAATCCAAAAGCCTTCACTTATGGCACTTCTAGTTCTAGGTAATACTTTGTTCAAGTGTGTTTTCTTCCTATTGTTAAATTATTATTTATATGCTACTCTTTTATCCCAAAATTATTTGTTCACTTTAAATTTTCTCTTTTAATGCAATTTAAATGTTTTTTAAAAAAATTCTAAATTGGACAACTAGCGAAACGACTAGTATTATAGTGCTTGTTTGGACGTCAGTTTCGTTTTCATTTTCGACTTGAATGCAAAAAGTGATTTAAGTGGAAAACATAATGGAAGATGAAAAAATTGTTTAGATGGTATCTTTAGCAAAAAGTTGTGTTCAAATATCAAGTACGGAAAATATTACTAAACAATCAAAAAGTGTCAATTTTAAGTACTGTAAAAAAAAAAGAGTTTAAAAAATGATTACTAAACAATGGATAAAAAATGTGCTAAGTTTTGGATTTAGTCACTGAATTAATTTTTAGTTCCAAAAATGGTCGCTACACTAACAAAATGTTACAAGTTTGATTTTAAAATATAAATCAAAAAATTATTTGGACAGTTATTTGTTTTACATTTTGTGTTTAAGAGGTAAAATAGTTGAAAATACAAAATGAGATGACGAGCAAACAAAGCAATATATGGTTATGTTTAGTTCCTTTTTTCACTCATTTTTTCAGAATTTTTAATTAATATGTATCAAATCTCATCATACCTTTTTACATTCTCAATGCACATTTTTACATTTTTAATATAACTTTTTACATTCCCGATATAAAAAACACACTCAAAAAACCTTCCAAACATAACCATAGTTTCCACCATAATGACATTGCAGTTTTGGGAATCCTACACCACATTACCACCCTAGACGTGCAATGCTGTTCCCTCTGTCCAAAATGCACAAGTGACAAGATAGATTTCAGCGAATTTTTGTGGTTGATTTGCCCAACCATGTGGTTGTACTCTTTTTTTAAAAAACATATATATGATTATTCTTAGGACAAAAAAAAATTATTAATTTATCGACGTTTCACTATAATTGGAAGTCATAATAATAATTAAGAATAAATAAAAGTTTGATATGTTTCTGAGTAAGTCCAACAAATACAGACCAGGTAGTTCCGTCATACACAGCAGGAGACTACATTGCTAACTTCGCCAACAAGGTACAATACACATGACTTCACAGATAAAAAGATAAACGTATATATTAGAAGTTATAGAACAGGACTAGCTATACATATTTACAATTTACACTAATTCAGCTCCACAAAGTTGCTCAGCCGGCAACCCCAGTAATATCGCGATGCAGCTTTCTGCCTAAATACTCTCTACTATAGTTTACTCCACTCACCAAAAGCTATCCTACAGAAAGTGCGGAGAGATTCTCACAGGCCAAACTGTACAGTTTCAACTCAGATATAGTTTCCTTCAAACTGCATGATTGACAAGAAACAAATATTCCGTAAGATTACTGTTTCCCGAATGAAATTATCGCACCCATTTATCCAGAGTTCAGCTTTCACATAGCTGATTGAAAAATTAAAATGCAACTAAGATTGATCTATAAGTTGCTCAGAGAAACAAAGAGAAAAAACTTACATCTCTGGTACATGCCACTGCGTGCAACGTAAGAAGGTGGTTGTTCCCTTGGCTGCAACAAGCACATCATGTATCAGGATATCTCATTTCTGTAAGTACTCACATCAACTACTACTGTCCTGTTCTGAATATCTGATCCAGATCTCACCAAAAATTGAATAAAAGGAAACCCAAAGGGAGATCACATCATGAACGAATATCATGTTACGAAAATTCCAATGCATGATCTTTCCATATTAAAGATAAGGGACATCCACAAATACTTAACACCACCATATATCTCGGCAACCCTTCAAGATTCAAGAACCTACAACTCATACCGCTCTTTCCATGTAAGCAGAATTAATTCAATCACCCTAAAATATATAGTGAAATGACTGATCTCATTAATATTGACTAGTAAATACTATCAATAGACTAGCTCGTCATTCAATTCTCTACAAAACCCTCTCCTTGAATTTGGATGATTTACATTCAATATTGGTGGTTAAAAATTATAATTTCCATTTGGAATGCAGGTTGGTAGACCGAGAGAGATTGTAGAAACTACCTTAAGAGGAGGCTTCTCTTGAAACCCACTCGGTAATTCTGGAAAGAAGGAAAAAGAGCATTATGTGACAAATCAAAACTTCAATGAAAGAGAAATCACTTATGAAATAAGACATCACAGCTTACCGTGTGTGTATCCCATACGTTGTCTTTGGTAGTAAGGCAGAGATAGCGTATCAACACGACTGGAAACAGCACTATCATTCAACAATTAATTAGTGAATGAGACGCTTAACAAATTACAAACCTAAATCTCAGAAGATTTACTGAAAGCTTTACAGCAATGTCTGTAAAGCTATATATAATCAGGTTGAAATCGAAAAAAACCTTGTGCTGCCATATAAATGAGATGTCTCAGGGTAAGAGCGAGGGAGTGCTCTGGGCTCTGAAAATATTGCATTAAGTCCCTGCATATGCAAATCGACAAAAATTGAGTATGATGGAATTCCTAGAATACAATGTACCATCATTATGCAGAGAAATTTGCAACAGAAATACCAGGGCAGAAAATGGTCTCTTGCTTCCAGCTAAGGCATGGTGGTGATTTACGGCAGAACCTCCTGCAAAGCGAAAAGGGGACAAAGATTCTCAACAAGAATTTTCTCTAGGAGGTCTGTAGCTTACCCTAGGATTAAAACACATTACTAGAATACGAAAGGGTGAGAACTTTTAAACTCCAGGAAAAACTTGGAATATGCTAAAAGCACAGATTTTCTCTAGCTATTGGTGATGTCAATATATTTTCTACAAATCAGACTCTATCATTCTTACGAGTTATGAGTTAAGGAAAGCCAAATGACCACCAAATCAGATGCAAAGCTCACTAATGAACTCTTGTTTTGTAAAAAAAATAATAATAATAATAAAATGAATGGGCACAATAATTAAATGAACACAAGCAGTAAGGAAAGCATTGCAAAGCACAAAATGTGCTCCAAAAACAGATGGAAAGAGCCGCATAATACCAGGTTGAGGCTGCCCTTCCCGTGCTTGCTGTCTCAAGAGCCGTAACAGTTCATCAGTGGTAGTAGAGGTTCTATCAACTCTAATACCTTGAAGATTTTTGCTGGTCTGTTCTTCCTTATTTAAAGGTTCATGAACCATAACAACTGCCACAACAAACGAACACATTCGTCAGAAAAAATAAAAAGAACTTTTAAAGGATCGAGCACATTATAAACTGATATACGAATTCTACTCATTGTCTGTAAATCCTTACAGTTAAGTAAAACTGTATATCAACCTATATGTTATATTACTGCATATGATTGAAGTACTTACAGTTTGAAGTTATCCGCTTCTCGTTCACATGTTCCTTTCCAATGGTGTTGGACACAGGTTTACTCTGTTTCACTTTTGGTTTTGCAAGAGATACTTTCACTGCAACCTGAAAAGCAAGAACAGAAAACAACTATAAAAGTCCTGTTGGAGTTTGCACAAATGCACTAAGAAATCCACAGCAAGAACAGAAAAAAAAAACTACAGAAGTCCTGTTAGAGTTGCATAAATGCACTATTAAATCCACAGTATGTAACCTTGGAGCCTGAATCATCCACTTGTTCATGAGTGAAGGCCTCAATACAAGCAAGTGCAGCTTCACGAGTTGAGTAATTGATGAATGCATAATCTTTTCTCCAAGACGAAGGGAGATTCTTAGCAAGAGTAATACTCTCAATTTCCCCAAATCTTTTGAAGAAGTTTCTTGCCTTGCCTTCATCCCAAGATGATGGAAGATACTCGGCATAAACTGATTTCACCTAATGAGTGTAAAATCGTCCATATTAGTTTTTTATATCCATAAGTTGAAGATTTATTTGAATTCAAGATTAATTGCATGGGGACATCAAACCTCAAAGAAATGAAACGACTTTATTGAATTCAATATGTATGACCGACAAATAGTAGACATATTAATCCAACATATGGGAAAATACAATTATACACAGCTTAAATATATACTTATAGATGACTGACCTTTAGGATCTCTTCTTCATCTGGCTCAACTAAAGGCTGAGCCCATGCAACTTTAATTTTCATCTGTTTGATAAAAAGATCATACTTTTGCAGTTTACTGAAAGCAATTTGAGCATCTTTGGTAGTCTGGAATTCAACAAATGCAAAACCACGATTTTGCTTAAAGTTATTGGGATTGGCCATAACTATAACTTTGTCAATATTCTGAACTTTTGCAATCTTCAGATGCTGAAGCACCTGGAAAAAAAAAAATTGAAAAACCAGCTTTTAGATTATCATCTAGATTGACTAATTATCAGATAAATACATAGAAAAATGCTCTTACATCTTCACTCTTCCAGTTCTTGTTGATATTGCCAAGAAATATTGTGTCATTTCCTTCTACAGGTCGTAGGCCGCACTGCTTCCCACATATCTGACATTAAATTTTCAAGAAAGTGTACACAAGTTACAAGAGCTAAATTTCCTCTTCCATATCTCTATAAATACGCTTTGAAACAAGCAAAAATAACTGATAGAATAGGTTCAGCATTAACAAAATATGAACAATATAGCCAGCTTGTACCATTATTTACTACGTTATAGTTCAATGGAGGCGAGAGAAACTATACATATGGTGTTCAAAAGCATTAACTAAGTATCCTAAAATAACTGAAATTAGATGCTACTCTAAGTCAGAAATAATAGGGAAACCTCTATTGTGGAGAACTTTTCCAACGCTTTCTTCGCATCTGCTGCTGAAACAAATTGCAAGAAAGCAAAACCCTTGTTTTTGCCTGAATCGCTACCCTTCACCAACCTGACTTGTTTTACCTCGCCAATTTGTTCAAACCGTTTCCTGACATCCTCCTCCTTCGTATCCTTATCCAGACCACCAATAAAAATCTCAGTCCTCCGCCTCTTCCTGCGCTCCAAGGCCTCCATTTCACCACTTAATGCCAGTGGTTGGATTAACCCAGCATCATTTTTCTCTTCTGTATACAGTCTTCCCTCCTGGATAGTGCCTCCACTAGAATCTTCCAAGTGATCATCAACTTCCATTTTGACAAGTTTAGAATCCATAGTATCTAATTGATCTTCAAGCACTAGATTCCGGTTTCCATCATTTTCATCAGCAACAATACCTGCTGAATCGCTTCCACGAGTGGAATCCCTTAACTCCCCCGCATTCTCACTCTCGTCGCCCACAATTCTATCAGCATAAGAATCAATCTCAGTGATTTCCTCTGCTTGCCGTTGCGTTTCGTTCAATTCCCCGTTCTCAGTTGTCAGTGTAGCAGTGCAATCAATTTTACAAGTTTCTTCAGATTCAAAAGAACTGGTGACACAATGACCAGCCATTCCAACCTCGCGGGGACTCAAAGCATCCGTTGAGATTTCCAAACTTTTATCTGCCGCTTTAGCAATGTCAACATTTGTCACACTCTCCATTTCCGGGTAGGAATGAGAATTTAACTTTTCAACTTCCGTCGAATTCAATCCACTTACACCACCCTTTGTTTCCTCACACCCTTTGCTATCCGGAACAACCCTTTTGGGTACTTTTCTCTTAACAATCTTCTTCACAATCCTCATCCTCTTCTTCAGCACTTTCCTAGTTTTTGGTTCACCCACTTTTGCTGATCCAACAGCTTTCGTGGCAACCTTAACCGCCTCAGCTGAGACTTTATCTTCACCTTTGTCTTTAACAACCCCCAAGGTTTCAGGGGCGGTGGCCTTTCCCCCACCGACACTGCCCTGCTCTTCGGCTCCGGCACCTCCAGCTGCAGGAACTTTGGGCCTGGGTATAATTGCATCTTGAGAACTTGAAAGACTTGATACGGGAGCTGCGGAGACCAATTTGGTTACAGCACGCTTTTCAATTTGATCGCCCCCCGGAATCTTCTTTCCGGGCTTCGGAACAATCTTCTTGATTCTCCCTTGAGGAATGGGACTAGGATTTGCCGGAGAAGATGCGTCTCCAGAAGTCGATTTAGTTTCTGCTTTAGGGTTTGGTTTAATGTTAGGGGAAGTTAATTGACCGTTGTCGCGTAAAGACAATCTTGACGCCGCCGTGGCAGTGGCCGCGGCCGTGGTGGTGGCGGCGGCTGGAGGCGGAGGGGTAGCGGTAGGAGGAGGTCGAGAGGACGCCGACGTGCGACCGGAAGAAACTGGCAGGAGAACGGATTTACGAGGAGTAAAGCGCCTCGCCGGCCCGGATTTCGGAGGCATCTGGTACGGTGCCGCGAATCAAATGATTAGTACTACTCCGATGTTAGCGCAGACGCTACGGAAGTGGAGATATATTCCTTTCTTTTTCTTTATTTTTTTTTTCTTAAAGAGGGCAAATTTATTTTTCTAATTTTCAGAATAGAAAAATGATTAAATTAAAAAAAAAAATAAGACGACTATGCATGATGCATCTAATTATCAAATCAAGGAGTTCGCAAAAGTATCAAAAAAGGCATTGCAAAAATAAATCATTTATTTTGATTGTGCAATAAATCATTTATTTTGATTGTACATTCATTCTTTTGTTCAGTTGAACTTAAAAATTATAAAAAAAAAAAAATACAATTTTTTGATGCCAAATGAAACATGAGTAATGCACAAATTTGTTATCCTCCACCATAACAAATATATACTACTACTACTTAATCTTCAACAATGGTGGATTTATACATATACGCAACAAAAGCCAGAATGGCCGCCATCAAAATCATAACCATCCCACCATTCACAACCGCCTTACTACTGATGAGTTCTTTTCCTCTTTTGGGAGTTGAAGATTGTATTGCTTCCTTGATTTTGCTCCCAAGTTGTTGAGTTGGTGTTGTGTTTTGATGATTATCGGAAGCATCAAGTTGTTGTTGTTGAGGTTTATTCTGTTCCGGGACGACTTGATCTGCAGGGAGTTTAGGCATGATGATGTGGAGATGATTACTGGCAAATTTGGCTTGGATGCCATTAGTATTGCAGTTCTTTGGAACCACAACTTCCTTGTAAAATTTGGCCCTTTTTGTTGCATCCACAGACCGTTCTCCTGAAATTTTCAGGATTCCACGGTTGTTGATGTGCACCCTAAGCTGCTCCTTTTTGAAGTCTTCCAAACATCCAACAAGAAAACAGAAGTTCAAAAAAGTTGATCAAAGTTTTGAAAACTAGCTAGGGCAATGAGTATGAGTATGACTTCAAAGAAATGATTTTGACATTGTAGAGAGCTACCTGGGAGATCGATTATGAGCGTATCGCGAGCTTCTTCGCGTTGCCATCTGCAAAAAGGTTCGAATTCTTCGTACTTGATTTGGTTTGTAGCTTCCAATTTACCTGACATTGTTGTTGTTTTCAACGAGTTCTTGTTTGTATGGAAAATTTAGATTTAAAAGAATGCTTTTTGTTGTGATATATAGAAATGGTCCAGGTCCTGTGCTTTATATACTTAAAACATTAGGCCATTAGAGAAGGGAAGTTCAAAGAGGTTCCTTGAGGGATTAATTCCTGATGCACCAGCTGAAGAAATATTCCTTTTTGGTTCCCAGGGGCTTTGATTTGCATTGCTTCTTTCTCAACCTTCTTTCCGACTTATTCCAAAGATTTCTTCCTGGCGGGGACAATGAAGATATACCTCGTTCCTACACCATTATAGGCTCCTAGGTCTATCTACCATTCAGCTAGCTAGCCTTTTTGTTGAGGTTTTCTATTTCTTCAAAATAAGGAAAAGAAAAACTTTCAATTTGAAGAGATCAACATCATCTAATCCAGGTATTAATCCATGTACCCATGCCATATGATATACTCCTTCTATCCCAAAATTAGTGTTCAGTTTTTTTAGTATAAGATATACTACAAATGAAAATTCAAATTGGACAATAATTTTCAGAGGAAGTAAATCCTAATTTATACCATTGTTGCACTGTTCTATTAATAACCCAAGCTTAATACACCAAAAGTGAGATGAAGAATCTCATTTAGTCATCAAATAAACATCTAATACTCTAGCTGATCAACGGTTCCATTAGTAATAAATACTTAATTATCTCTAGCCCAATAGCATTATTGACTATCTTAACTCTAATTAATCCAGTTAATCAAGAAGGCTGCTTGGTTCACTATATCGAAGAGAGGAGGCAGAAGGTGTGGCTGTTTTTGTTGCCAGGGCAATTAGTAGTTCTCTGTAATCTCCTGGTGCTTCACTTTCAGAAATAGCATTTTTCAGCTCCAATCCATACTTCTTCTTGAAAGCCCTTTGGATTTCATCCATATCCATCTCTGCTCTGCTCAAAATTACTCTAATCACAGCATCTTTGTCTATTCTTGTCCCCTTTATGCATTCATACATTATCTGAAAAAGGGAAAAAAACAAAATTATGCAACATATAGGATAATACTAAAAAGTGGCCTTCATACTCATTCACAAACCTCATTTTTCTAAGCTGATTTCGTACTTTTAGTACTTGTTTCTTTCCCTTACCCTTCAATTCCCAACTCTTTAATAGCAAGACTACTTTTCAAACTGGGATAAACAATTGTAAATCATGCTTGTAGTGTGCTGGATTAGGAGATTTAAGGAGATGTCATTGTGACTGAATAGAAAAAACACTTGCCTCAGCGTAATACTTGGTTGGGTTGCTCATGCATTTCACGGCCACTCTCAGGGCATCTTCAAATTCTCCAGATTTTTCCTTTTTCAGGGACTGCAAAATTATCAATACTGAATCAACAAACGACCAGAGGATAAAATATGAACCAAAGATTGTAACTTTCCAACCTAGAAGCCTAGAACCACTGCTAATTGTTCAATGGGATGGCAGAAGAACCTATTAGGCACGTATTTTATGATGAAATTCGCAGAAATCAAGAGAAAATTGAGAGCCTTACATGTACATAACTATGGCCATAAATGTGTTTGTAGCTTGAAAATGTCAGTCTCAGTTGAGGAATGCTCCTTTTACTTAGAATTTCTAGCACAACAGCTTCATCAACCGACCCCCGGTTTTCGTCCCCTGTTTTGTAAAGCCTCCTTGCATCAAAATTGGCGATGTACTGGCTAACATCAGTTTGCAGTGCTTTGTGTGATGCGCATAATGCCATCAGAATCTGTCAACTTAGCAACATAATCAAGTAAACAATAACCATTTCTCACAGATAAATTAATTTTAAAAAAATCAGAAATTTTGATTCTTGATGTTACCCTTTGATATGGGTGGGAGGGATCAATGCTGATAATATCTTGTTCTAATTGTTTCTTAAACCTTGCATAATAGGCCTCTTGAATGAGAAGAACATGACTGGATTTTCGACACAAAAATATCTCAAGCAGAGGCTTGTAATTGACTGAATCACCCTGCTCAAATGCCTCCCTTGCAACAACAGCATCACGTTCATGAGGGCTTAGCATCAACATGGATAAACCCACCAAAGTCTTCTCAGAAAACAGAGACCCTGCCTCATTTCCTTGGCTTGAATCTTTGTTCCTCTGAAGAAGAAGATGAACTGGGTCCACCCCATAAATTCTCAAATACGTTTCTCTGATTTTCCGGCATTCAAGCTGGCTCGGGCTTACGAGAAGTTGAATTAGGTGATTAGGCTTCCCCCAAGAATCATAAATGTCTTTGCAGATATTCTCACAGTTAAAACTCGGCAATGCCATGATATTCGAAGAAGGGTATTCAGAACGGAAATGTAGAGAAAGATCAGAGCTATATACATACAGACTACACAGTATTCAGTAGAGAGAAATTAATACTTGGAGATCAAGAAAAGAGGGGGTTTCTTTAATTACCCATGAAATAAGGTTGTGTGGATGGGAGGTTGCTGGATAGATGGTGGACTGAGTCAGAATGGGACTTTAGTACATAAAGTAACCAAATGATGTCAATATAGTTTTGCACTTTCTAACCAGATGTCTCATCTCCATTTGTTGTGTAGTGAAAAGCTTCATGGCTTCCAAGCTCACAAAGTGGGCAATGACTGTGAATTATGAGCTCTCTTTTAGGCTTTTTGAGCCAACTTTTTGAATTCCACCTATCCCAGTTTTCCAATTTCTACCAGCTTTTCTCTTCTCCTTTTTTTCTCTGCTCAGTTTTTTTTGGGTTTAATATGGAATACATGAAAACTTACCCAGTAGACGGGCAGTGTGTGTCTTTGGTCTTTAGTCTTTACAATTGAGGATACTTTGAAAGTAAGGCTTTGGGGTGCAGAGCAGCAGCAGCAGAAAGGGGGTACAGTCACATGGTGTGTGGGAATATTCCATACAAACATATTTTTATACAAAATGAAAACAGAGGAGACAAAAAGGGGAAAGGAAGTGGATATTTCTGGGTGATTTTGCTAAAGGGCTAAGATCACTTTGCATAAATTGTGAATAGTGTTGTTGTTGGTGATGGACAGGAAAGGAGGAGGTAAAAAACAGAGCAAGTATGAAGAAAGTGGTTACTTTTTGTTGCAAATTTTGTGTAAGTTTGACTGGGATAATGACGTTGTCAAGTACTCAAGGACCACAAACAATTATCATCCTTTTAAGTTTTTCTTTTTCAACCGTGATTGATCATTTTCACTAATTATATACACCGTGATAGATAGAGTAATTATATGCACCGTCATTTCTATGGCTAAGGGTCGGAAGAAGTGTTGGGCATATTAATATATGGAATTCGGAAGTTGTTAAATCGAGTTTGGAAACTTGACCATATCCAATTATTTGGCATTCTTGACGGCTCAAGGTCCAGGAGGTTTGTAATGGATAGACGATGCACTACAGAATGTATTACTTTAGTTAGAACATAATGTAATTAGAGTAGCAAATTCTAAAAATATCCCAATTTTGACATTTGCTTTTTCATTGTATAAAAAAAAAACAAAAAAGTAAATGATGGGTGGAGCGAGCAAAACTGGTAACATGCACGATCCGAATACCCGACCTGCTTGAGTATTATGGATCAGTCCTTCTTCAGATCCATTAAATTACTGATCACAAGTCACAACTCCTTTGGGTTGCTGTTAAGGCATTTTACTGGGCAATGCATCTGTAGATGACGAAGCCCGTTAAATCGAGAGATTGATGGGCAAAGATGTTTAATTATACATTTGGAGTGATAGAAGCCCACGTTCAAAATGAACTAAATGGTCCACGTCAATGGAGTTGCAATCAGTTTTCAGCCGAACTGGGCTGAGACAGTTTGACTGGAGCTCTTTATAGCACAATCTCTTTAATTGGGATGAGGCAATCCATGCAAAGGTTTTTTTTTTCCACTTTGATATCATCAAAATTATTTTATTTTTTTGTAGTCTCTTATAGCATCCACAAGGGTTTATACCGTTGTGAGTATAATAACATATCATTTATCACATTATCCTTTTATTATACGTTTTTTTTTTATTTTGATCTTATACTATAAAAGTATAATATAATTAATTTACAATTGAATCATCATGGACCCACAATTGAGCTAATTGTTAAGTTTTTAATCATTTTCAAAGAGAATTAAATAGGATAATTAGCATTAATTACATAATGGTCCACCGAACCATGTATTCAACCGTGTAAGAATTCTTACACCCACTTAATGTCTTACACTCCATGTAATGGTGAATAGTGTAATGAAATTACTTTTTATTAACCACCGCTAAAGATGCTCTTAGTGTAGTAATAGTATTCCTTTTTTAGTTCATCACATTTAATATACTTCGCCCTGAAACTATATACAGTGTTTTTTATTTATTTATTTAGAAAAAACTAATAAGCACCGGTGTAAAAGTAAGAGTAAAAGCAAAGAATGCTAACTATCACAAGTTCAAAACTTGAAACTATTTCATCATAATAGTAGACACTTACAGGAACGCCAATGTTCTCTCGGATTAGAGTCTTATAAACGGCTATTAGTATTAGGAGGTCTCATCAAAGTAATTTTACTTCTGACCTAAAAAAAATTTACAACGGAGTTTGAAATTTTTATTATTGTCAGTAAAAAAGATCTCAACAAGAAGAATAAGTTTAGTGCCGCCATAAAATCATGGGGATCAGCAGATAAAAACGTTTAAAGATGAAGGCAAATGACAAGAGCGACAACACACATCATGATGAAAAGGTTCAACATAAGCGCGCTCGACTTTTTCAAAGTTTTGGACCCTTTTCTCAACCTTATGTCATTGATGCATTAGCATATATGTATTTGATTGTGTTCGGCTTTTCTTTCTTTTTTGACTGTTCGTCCTTGCTATATGTATAACTATTAGCATCTATAGATTAGGATTCTGAGGTCCTAAATCAATACTCACGTTGTGAAAATGGGTCCTATTACTTAGGGGACTAATACAATTATAAGTGAAAAATATCAGGCTCTATGAAAACCCATATGTATTATATTTTCTTTAGAAATCTGGAAAATAACTTGGTGTTATTAGAAAATAATGTTTTTTTTTTTTTTTTGGACAAATTCTTATGTGAAGAGGGATGCCAGAGTGTTACCTAAAGATTGAGCCAACTCATCATGGACAGGAAGAAGACAGGGTGGATGATAGAAAGTTAGAAACGTCAGAAGGGTCCAATGCTCCAACGTCGAATTGACCAGTGATAGTAGTATATTCAAATCCCAAAAATTCACCTTTGAAAATAGGGTTAATATCAAATACACCCTCGAGCTTTGGTCAATTATCTATAACATCCTTACTATTTAGGAAAATATCAAACCCATCCTTTGTCCGGCATGTTAGCTATCAATTACATCCTTCAATGCCCGTGAAATGATGTATTCTAATGACATCAGCAAACAAGTGATTCATAAAGACACTCTTGCCCTTTATGAAATGAGAGAAGCCAAAACGAAATGACTTCGTACTTTTTGAAACAAGTTTCGTAAAATTCAACCCAATCAATCAGATTTATCTAGTTACAACAGGACAGATGCAAGTTTAAGAATTTGAAACAATCCCGGTCCAAATCTAATTTCATGTGCAAATCCAATCAAAGAATCTCCTCCTTTATTGCACTATGATTTATTCAAAAAATGGCACAAGTTTAAAAAAAAAAAGAACAATAGAGATATTTGAAACCCATTTTCGGCCACAATCTTGCAGACCACTCTCTCTTCAAGGTACTTCATTCATAATTTATTTACTCCCTCTGTCCCAAAATTATTGTCCAGTTTGAGATTTCACTTTTAGTACAATTTAAACTAGAAATGAAAATCCAAACTGGACAATAATTATGGGACGAAGGAAATATTTTTTTTTGGTACATAAAGGGAGGCACATAATAGCCTAACTAGACAAGAACATTTCAGAGATAGGAGACCCCTTTAACATCATGGCGTAGCCACGGAATGACCAACGCGGAGGGATGCAAAAGTTTATTGACTCCTCAATCTGATTGTTCCATACCGGCAAGACAATCTGTTACAAAATTGACTTCTCTGTGTATGCATAGGAGTGACACTTGCCAATCTCTGTCCAACAGTTCCCATATGCCCTTGATAATTCCTTCACGAACTCCCAATTTTACCGATCGATCCGTGACCAAATTATTGCCGCCTCACTATCTAATTCAGCCACCACTCGCCGTTCCCCAGCTTCCTAAATCATCCTTAAGCCATGCATAATCCCCAGAGCTTCGCCCCTGTGATGGTTGTAGCACTGATTTTGACAGTGAAACCAAGAACCCACCCCCCTGTTTCGTCTCTCACCAGCCCTCCAGCCTGTGCTTCTCCAGTGGAAGGGTTATACGCTCCATCCGTGTTGAGCTTTTTCCACCCCGTCTGAGGCGGACTCCAACACACGTCAATCTGTTGCCTCCTTCCCGTACCCCCAATTCGTCTATCCCTTGCTAAAGCTTCAATTATTCCTGTCACTTATTCTCGTCAAATATTCAACTTATTCAGCAAAGCAATGCTTGAAAGAGTAGATATTTACTTCACGATCAAACCATCCATCACCACGTAATAATTCACCAATACTCCCTCTACAAATCTACATCCCTTACCAAATTTCTGTCTCCTATTATTCTCCGTAGCGTCCCCGTGATGGAATCCTTCCATCCAAAAGCCCACCTTCTTCACCAAACATTATCTTATTATTCACAGTGGCCAGAAGTATCGGAATCCCTCTCTCCGCGTTATTTTTCTTCTTCACTAGGCATTAACCATGCCGGAGGAGCAATATATCTCAATGACCAAGGCATTTTATCCTAAACTCTAATTAAACAATATATGTGGCCGCCTCTACCGCCATTATACTTTCAAATCCATTCACCAACAAGTTCCGAATCGAACATTGTATCGCCAAATTGGCGTCATTTTCTTCAACGAGTTGATGGGTGTTTTCATCAACGAATTCATCGATACTTCTTCTCTTTGAATTCCTTGCATCAATTTAATGGTTTAGATTCGATCTTAGTGGATTTTGTTTTTATTTTTTTCAATGAAGAGATGTCGGTGGTGTTGGAAAAAACAGAGGAAAATAAATTAGAGAGGGGAGCCGAGAAACGGAGGAAATGGGTTGCCAAGGGTGCAGGGTTGATGGGTATTCTAGTCTTTTTATTGTTCTCACCGTTAGACTTTTACTTTTGGCCGGACAAAGGATGGATTTGATATTTTTCTCAAACAGTGAGGATTTTTTAGATAATCAACCTAAGCTTGGGGGTGTATTTGATATAAACCCTTGAAAATACGAAGAAGATTGGCCTGTGGCGTTGTCGGCTTCTTCCCCCATTAATTATTAGTTTAGTCACTGTTAGAGCACAATTCCAGTCGCCTCGTGTTTGGTCCGCCATAGTATAGTACTACTCCAATTTTGACTATCCATTCCTCACAGTTATATTAATTTAATTTGAATTGTTACCATCACTTAAACTCTTTAACCCCCACCTCTAATAATTATTAGTCCAATAACTTTTGATAGAAAGTGAACAAATTTCAAATTGTTATATCAAACTTTTACTGTGTACCAACATAAGTGAATGATGATTCCCTTTTTTTTTTTTTTTGATAAAAATGATTTGTGTCCAAAGACTGTTTAAGGAGGGAAAAAAACAAAACAGAACAAAGAAAATATAGGTCGAGACTCGAGACACAATTTCATTCAACTCCTTACCATAATAAGAGGTACAAACGCAAAAAAAGATTCCTAAAATCAAACGTTACGTTACAAAATTTACACGACTTTTGACAAACCCAAAAAATATACTTCTGCACGCCATTTACCCCCCAATATCTTGCTCCCACCAAGGCACCACCGAACAGAATCTTCTTTAAACCCCAATATTGCCAGTTACTCAATACAAGAATTTTTTTTTTAATAAAAAAATCAGAAAATAAATTAAGAATTCAATAAAGTGGATGATTTTAATGAGACCTTTTTTGAAATGATCTAACTAGCTCGAATTCTGTTGGTCTGAACTGTGATTTTGGACAAAAAAGAATTAAAAAAAAAAAAACCTAAAACCGGAATTTAAGGAAGAAAACAAAGCACAAAAGACATAATAATCAAGTTCATGATCGCTTTATCACTTTTGCTTAACAGCGGTTACCGATAAACCTCGGGTTAATTAATTAATTATCTACTAGTACTATACTATATCACTATTCATCAGCTGTCACAGCATTAATTTAACAGGGGAAGTTTTTTTTTTACAGTTATTATTAGTTTCTTCTTGTCTTCCTTTGGCTGTTTTCTGAGAGTTTTTGCCTGCCTTTTTTATCACGATCACATTCCTTCCTCTTTGTCTCCTCTACCCACCCAATCTCCTTCCTTTTTTCTCTCTCTTTCCGTCTGTAATCATCTCTCCAGTATATACAGACGAAGAATTTATACATGAGGGAAATTTCCATTTCTGAGACAATGCAGCTTCAGGTGAATTTTCCTTGGCGATAAATTTTTGTTGCTTTGTATCTGTTTTTGAATTTTTTGCGGTGTTTTTTGATTGATTGAATTTGCCTGTTGTTTTGGAAAATTGCAGAACAGAACAGTACAAGTAAAGCACCTGTCAGATCTAGCGACGGAAAGAGAAATTCACGAGTTCTTCTCATTCTCCGGCGAGATTGAGCGCGTTGAGATCCGCCGTCAGTCGCCTCAATCCGGAACTGCTTTTGTCACGTTTAAGGAGCCTAAAGCGCTTGAAATCGCTTTATTATTATCGGTAAACCCTACTGTTTTTTCGTGCTTGGTGTTGCAGACTTTCTCAGCTAGTGCTTTTTTTTTTTTTTCTTAAGATATATTTGTCATTCATCCATGTTGTTGGAGAACACACAACTATAGTCATTTTGGAAGTAGGAAGGAATGAAGAAGTCAGTCATATCAAGAGAGGCTCTAAAATTAGACTAAATACGTTGGAAATGGTTTGAGAAAACTGAAACATTAATCGAAAAACGGTTGCTTCGCAATTGCATCGTATCCAAGGTTTTGTGCATTTTGATTCACATGAATTGCCAAGGAGTCTCTGCTGATGGATTTTTTCCTTTCACTGGATATGTCACGAGTTCTGCAACAGTTTGATTGTGTTGCAAAGCTAAGCGAATTTCTGTAACCTGCTGCTGTTTATGGGATGGTCTTGCTCCCCTCTATTATTGCCATTTCTAGCTCAGAACTGTACAATCCTTTTTCATACATGAGATTCTCGAATTATCCATCTTGCTATGGTTAAGTTATTTCAATCTTATATTTTGCAGGGAGCAACAATTGTCGATCAGATTGTGGCAATAACACCTGCTGAAAACTATGTTCCCCAATACGACGTTAGGGTAATTCTATACTCAGATATCTGATGGTTCTTTTGTAGTTCTATGTTGCTAATATCGTAATTTTAATGTTTTTTTTTCCTAATAAAAATTCAGGAGGTGAGGGTAGTCGAGAATGCGGTGAACACGTCTCAGGAAGATTCTTCACCAGCTAATGAGGTAAAAGTTACTCCATTTGAATGTTTGCTCAATTTTTAGAAGGTATAACTAGCTCTGGAAGTTCCTAGGTTAGCAGAAAAACAGTTGGAATACTGGATGAACTCTTATGCCAATTGGTAGTTGATATGTGTATAAGATTTGCCTTTGGCATTGTGTTCAAATTGGTTTAGTTGGTATAGTATTAACTACTGTCAGTCAGATACCATCAAGGGACAAAAGTCTTGTCTTCTGTTTAGAGTCAGAGCTGATTTAGGCCATACCTAACTCACATTTGGTTTGTTTTTTTTTTTTTTAAAAAACCTTTGATCTAGTCGTAGGTGTTATATGATATAGTTGAACATGTTTGAACAATTTCTGTATTGATGGGTGATCATAATTCCAACTCTCATAACAGGTCAAAGATAGCCCTCCAAGGAGTGGAAAAGTATATGTGGCTAAAGCCCAAGATGTTGTCTCAAGTGTGATTGCAAAGGGTTCTGCTTTAGGACAAGATGCTCTCAATAAGGCCAAGGCATTTGATGAGAAACATAAATTGAGAGCTAATGCATCCGCTAAAGTCAATTCGTTTGACAAGAGAGTTGGATTAACTGAAAAATTTACAGTTGGGGTGTCTGTGGTGAATGAGAAGGTCAAATCTGTGGATCAAAGGCTGCAAGTGTCGGATAAGGCGATGGCGGCTCTTATGGCAGCCGAGAGAAAATTAAATGACACTGGATCAGCTGTGAAATCAAGCAGGTTCGAGGAACCTCTAATTTTATATTTGAATTCTACGTTGCGTTTTACCATGCGACATTATGTATCTCACTTATTTTACATAGTGTATACTGCCTCACCTTTTTCATCAAGTTTCCTTGGGTATGTGCGTCATCAAAAACTTACATTAATTATAATGCAGACCAAGTTGACTACTCACGCAACCTTTTGTATTGTAGTATATATGCATATTGATTATTAGTAGAAAACTTGGAGATTAATTCTTTGGAGTTGATCAGGTATGTCACAGCTGGAACGGCTTGGCTGAATGGTGCCTTCAGTAAAGTTGCAAAGGCTGGGCAGGTGGCTGGGACTAAAACTAGAGAGAAATGGAGCATTGCTTTATCAAATTTGACTGCTAAGGTGGGCATGCAATTTCTTCTGTAATACTAGTATATATTATGATTTGCACCATTTCCAGGGCAGCTATGACATAAACGGTCATGGTTTGAAATTGTTGATTGAAGATAGCATGAAGCTTAGGATTTACGTTGGTAATCATTTTGTACACTTCAACTCCTCATAATTCTACTGGTTTTAATTAGGAAACTTATTTTCATGAATCAGTTAAGGGAAATCTAAGAGAAAGAAATGCTTAGAAGCTAAGGGTTGTTGATGATGTCACGATCTATGTGCTGTTCCCCAGTGTCATTTTGCTTTTCTACAGCTACTATTAGATTTCATTGACTCCATGTCTATTACGAGGAAAGATAATTCTGTATTTTTTGGGTGTGCATCTCTTTGGGTTTAACGTAGGACAGACGCATATATTATAGTAGACTCCTACTTGTTGCAAAGTAACGTTGTCTTTGCTAGAAGATGACCATGGAAGTTTTGAGATTGAGAAGATTAATGAAGTTGCTAATTCAAATTGTTTGATTGCAGGATCCCTCTATTGTTGCATAATTCAACTAGTAGCTTCAAGAAAGTTGCTGAATTCTCGTACACGATTCTCCATATTTGATGATTGTCTTGATCTTCATGATTATTTGTGGATCTGGGTTGAGAGATACCACCGTGGCGTGTGATTCGACCAATGTGTGCAATTGTCCATTGGTATACAGTTTTGTTGAGTCCATGTATTATGTCATTAGTAGTGTAGTGTTTGAATGGAACTCATTTGTTTTAGATGGATTGGTGCTTCTGGAAATGAAGGTCATTTTTATGCCGTTTAGTTGAATTGAGTTTTCTGTACAAACAAATTTGTTTGGCTCCGTACACAAAGTAGCTGCAAGTCTCATGTAGCTTCCTGCCTTCCCCTTATACATCTACACCCCAATGAAACCATCAGCTCGTAAAGCACCCTAGTAAAACCACTTCACCGTCATGTATATGTATTTTTCTTCGATTTCCTACACAACCTCAACTGCCGCTGTGTTCTCCCCCCCAACTTTGTAGCTCCCTCGCCGGCTTGATAGAATTGTTGAGTTTGAGTACTCATTTCCAATATAAATGTAAATATTTAAACTAAACAATCATTTTATGAAAGAGAAATATAAATGTAAATATTTAAACTAAACAATCATTTTATGAAAGAGAAAGAATCACGGTACTTATTGTGATACATCTGTATTGGAATTAGTCGTAAAAGCGTCTATCTGATAATGGTTCTCTTTTCTTCTTTAGGTTTAGGGGATCCATCAATACGACGGTCGGGATTACTGATTAGGAAGGTCATCAGGATTAAAGTCGTCATCGTCATCCAAGCTCCACTCCAAATGAATGCCATGAGCCTTTGGATCCAAATGTTTAACCCCTAAAAATCAGGGCATTTCCTAAGGCCCAAGGGCCCGCTTGCTGTTAACTTATTAATAAACTGCTTCTCTTTTCCCCTGGACCAAAAACTTGTAAAGGGAATTTTTTTGAGATTACGTGTTTTATTGTGTGTGATTGGACCAATAATTGAATTGTATGAGACCATACTTCAAGAACGAGAACATCAGCATTTAAGGGTTCTGCTAATTGATGTGTCTGAATCTGAACAGAATGGAGCTTGTCGTATGGGAGATGTCCATATTGCCAGAATGGGAGATGGCTTTTACTTGTATTTGATTCTAACTGAGAGTTACGCAACTAACTATTGCAGTTGCGCAGCTTTCATACGAAGGAAAGTTTGGAAAGGAATAGATAACAGAAGCTAAATTAGTTAACTAACTATAAAATCTATAATATCGAGATTCATTCAACGACTAAACTAGTGTTTCATAAACGTAAATACACCCTCCGATCTTTATTACTCTCTTCATTTCAAAATGTAAGTCCTTTTAGATTTTACAGATAAACTAAACAAACAAACATCAAACAATTAATTTATGTGTTAATTATCTATTTTACCCCTCATTAATTATATTAGAATTATAAACAAGACTAAATGAAAATAAATTGACATCATTTATTGAGAGTAAAGTTGAAAAAATAGTCATTAATTTGCCTGAAATTTGTAAAACAACCTACATTTTGAAAAATCTCTCCAAACCTAAACCGACCTATAAATTGAAATGGAGGGAGTATAAGGCATTTTTATTTCGTCATAAGTTTAGCATAAGATTATTTTTTAATTGAAAAAAAAAATCTTAAAAATGTGTTTGTGTTCTCTTAATTATTATGAAATATTTTTAAGATTTTCATTTCAATTAAAAAGACATCGTAGGTTAAATTTAGGACAAAATTAAAATGTTGAGGGAATACATAAATGGCCTATGTATAATATGTTAATGCTTTTACTTTGAAATATTGCTTGTGTTTGGACCTGGTATTTTTTTTTAAAAAAAAGAAAGTATGAGACGTTAACAAGCATCTCACAAAATTTCCGTTTGGTTATAAGTCAAATTGTTTGGCATATAGCGTTCAATTCAATTCAGTCGACCCATTCAACTGGTTACCTAACTATTTTGGCAAATGTAAAGGGAAAAAGAACACATTTTTAATTGAAATAAGTTGATGCATGAAAACAACTATTATATCCACCTCATTTGTTATACTGTTTTAATTAATTAAATAAAGTAAAATATCTAATTGCTACGGAATGGGTGCTATAATTCACAAAAAAAAAAATGAAAAATTTGAAAATGTCGCATATTTTCTTACCTGGCAAAGAGTGAAAATTGCATAGTTCATGGTAAAGATCCACATATTTCTATAAGTGTTCAGGTAATTAAAAAAAAAAAGAAAACAAAAAACCTTAGTTGACCAAAAAAGGATCCTAGCGATTTTTCTCCTGCGAAGAAGACACAATACGGCCAGGCCACATAAGAAAAGGAGCTGAAAATCACGTAGCAGCCAGGGAGCGTGCCACGTGTCCATAACATAACGACACCAAGCACGGAGGAGAAATCGTGGCCGCAGACAACCTTCAAGATCTTATGCATTTCGGACCAAAATATTTTTGACGCCGCACGTTAATCACAGGGGCATATTCGTCCCCACAGATACTATTCTCGTCATTTTCCCAAATCACCCTTGGATGCCCCCATAGGCATGTCTCTCTGCAAATCTCTTTCTCGTGTTTTGCATCTTTTTGGGTTCTCCCGGGTATATTCGGAGCTTCTCTCTTCCTTTAAAACCTTCCACAGTGGTTGATTTCTGTCTCTGTTTGCGTCACATTCAAGAATTTTCACCTTCATTTCAGAAGAGAGACAGAGAGAACAAGAGAGGGGTGTCTAGGAGAATGAGATTCTTGCTTTTTTTACTTCTTATTCGGTGATTTTTAGGTGCTGTTCCACTCACATTTTTTTATCTGATAGTGCTGTAATTTTGCTGGGCATTTCTCATTTGGGTTGCTGTGATTTTGATTGTTTTGTTGGTATGCTTAGCGGATATCCTCATTTCATGGGAAATTTTGATCTTTGATCCTTTGATGCTAATTGGAATCTTGGTTGTTGGGTGGGATCTTGTTTGGGTTACTTTGGGATTTTTGTTTTTATTTTTTAAATTGCCAGTCTGAGTTTCTATCTGTATATGTAAAGATTTGATTTTGCTGCTTTTAACCACCACAATGTGGATTGGAGTACTGACTGTTGATCGATACATTTTTTGTTCCTTCTAACCGTGGAGAGTTGTTGAATTGGGTTGAACCAATCAACTAACTCTTTGATATGTGATTAACTGATTTCGAAGTTGGAGTTAAAAATTTTCCTCATTGTTTTATTGGCTCAACGTTTCTATATATCACAGTGTTCTGGTTGTGATTTTACTAAAATCTACTGTACTCATTGCATCTTGATATGGACACTTTGTATGGTATTTAGTAGACTCAGCAGAGCTTTTGTCGGCATTTATTTGAATGCAACTATTGTTTTAGATGTGGATTATTCATTATGAATAAATAAATGGAATTGAACAAGGAAGACATGGTTACTCAACAAGATAGAATGACCGTGATTATCCACGTCTCCAACTGTAGATTCTTGTTTTTGAAGGGGGGTCAACTTGATTAGTTCTTTTTTTTTTTATTACCCTTGTCGGCGCATTCTTCCATATAGTTTTGGATTGTGACTCTTTGTTATCAAATTACATGAAGCAGATGGATGAAATTTGCACATTGATGTGTCCATACAAGTTATGTTGCTTTACAAATTTCGTTGTAAGGAATCCTTACTGATGCAAAAAGTTCAAATTGCAGTGGTTCTTCGTATTCTTTCTGGCGGGTGTCATTAATCATGGAGCTTTTGTAGTAGCTGCTTCAGATTTTATGCAATTGCGGCAGGGAACTGGTGTTGCAGGGATAAGCCATTTTTAGACTGCTGCTCTACCCTTTCCTTGCTTTTAGGAGGCATACTAATATATTTACGAGGACAATACCTTAGGAGCTTCGTTCTTGAAGCATTTAGTCTAACGTTCTGGAAGTGAGCAACAAATTCAACCTGGAGAAAATGCAAACTTCTGGTCGGAAATGCTTACCAGGTGGCTCTTCCAGAGATCTGTGGCTTGTTACCCGAGAGGGTTCTCCATCTGATGTTGATTTGGCATTGGCATTGCTGAAGAAGAGTGGTGGGAACGTCAATGCTAGGAATTCAGTTGGCCTCACGCCTCTTCATATTGCAACCTGGAGAAATCACATTCCCATTGTCAGAAGGCTACTTGCTGCTGGCGCCGACCCTAATGCTAGGGTGTGTTTGTCTCTTGATTAGACCTTCCAAACTTAAATATTTTTTGTTGGATGAATACTGTGTTGTTGCATGTCTGTACTCTACTTGTTCTTGTAGGTAAGTTCACTTGGCACCTTGACTTTGTTTCATGTTTGAAATTGTGTTTACTTTTGCAATCTCAGAGTTGAATTTAAGTTGCAAATGTTTCGTGTTATGAACGGTCTCAATATCCTTTTTAAGTCAGTGCACCTAATTTGTGTTCCCATGGCTGTTCCAATACCACTTTCATTTACCCCGCTGGATAAAAGTGTGAGCTGTTGTGAGGCTTTTTTGTTTTCCACATAGAGTAATACCCCTTTACCCTATCAGGATGGTGAGTCCGGATGGAGCAGCCTCCATAGAGCACTTCATTTTGGTCATCTGGCAGTTGCTAGCGTGCTTTTCCAGTCTTCTGCTTCTATCATATTGGAGGACTCTAAATTACGGACACCTATAGATCTTCTATCTGGACCAGTGCTTCAAGTGGTTGGGGACGGGGATGAAACAGGTCTGCATTGTCTGGCATATAATTAAATGAGGTCTTGTGGCAAGTGATATGATTTTCTTTCATCTATGGATAATAAATAAGAAAATGCTTTTTTCCTCATACAGTTGCTACAGAAGTGTTTAGCTGGGGAAGTGGGGTGAATTATCAACTGGGGACTGGAAATGCACACATTCAAAAGTTGCCATGCAAAGTTGATGCACTTCATGGCTCATTAATTAAGTTGATTTCTGCTGCAAAGTTTCACAGTGTAGCAGTTACTGCTCGAGGAGAAGTTTACACCTGGGGATTTGGGAGGGGAGGCCGTCTTGGGCACCCTGACTTTGATATACATAGGTAGCCACTAGAATCCTCCTTGGTTAATGAACATGCTTACTTTTGTAACTATGTTTCAATAACCCTGAATTTGTTTTGTAAGTTTCTTTTTGTTTGTAGTATATGCATGAGGTCTTTACTGTTTGGAGCTTAATGTCTCTCATAGATTCTAGAGCCTTGTAGATCTGAGATATTCCTACCTTATGACTGTTGGACCTGAAATTCTGAAGGTTTACTGTTTATTTGGTGGAATCACATTAAGTCCCCTCTTTCTTTCTTGTGCTCCTATTGGTTGTGAAATTTATATGGCCAGACCCAAGATTTTGTCATCATATGTTTTATGGATGAAAGCCTGTTTGATTTGGAATCTTATGTCCTGATAATTTAGGTGAAAGAGCCCCTTCATCTGTTGAATAATGAGCCTTGTAGGGAGGATTCTTGAGCCTATGTTTTCATAGAGGGTTTCTGAAACTCTTGATGTAACATAAGTTTCTTCTCCAGTGGTCAGGCTGCAGTCATTACTCCAAGACAAGTAATCTCTGGTTTAGGGTCACGCCGTGTCAAAACTATAGCTGCGGCCAAACACCATACTGTTGCTGCTACTCAAAGTGGAGAGGTTTTCACTTGGGGTTCCAATAGAGGTGAAATTGCCGTCTATGTTTACTTTTTTTGGTGGGTTTTCGTTGAACTAAATCAGCCTTCTTCCTGCAGCTTTAATGCTTTCTTGTTATTGTGCAGAGGGCCAATTAGGCTATACGTCTGTTGATACCCAACCTACGCCCAGGAGAGTTAGTTCTCTTAAATCAAGAATAGTTGCAGTTGCTGCGGCAAACAAGCACACTGCTGTAATCTCTGACTTGGGGGAGGTCTTCACTTGGGGTTGTAACAAAGAGGGACAGCTTGGTTATGGGACCTCAAATTCTGCTTCTAACTACTCCCCAAGATTAGTTGAATCCTTGAAGGGAAAGGTTCTTATTTCAGTGGCTGCAGCGAAGTATCATACTATTGTTTTGGGAACTGATGGTGAGGTATGTTGCTTGATCATACTCCAATCCTCAATAAATAGCTGAGGTTTTCGGTACCAGTCTTTGGCAATTTGAATTTCATAACTCTTTGATGAGAAAATCATTGCTTGCTTTACAAGGGGCTTGTTTTGTATATTTTCAATGGATTCAACCATTTGCCTTGTAGACTGAAGCAGTGAATTTCATTTTTCCTGTAATAACATACAGCTAGTTTCAATATCCTGAAAGATCTCTTCTGGTTCTGTATGAGTGGAAGGGAATGCACATGAAAGAAGGAATACTTTTTTGGTCGGATGTATCTGTTTGAGAAGAAAGCATTAACACAAAATGGTAGCTATGGGTTGTTTTGGGTAGCATTTCATGTGTTTGGAGGTTTCATAGTCATCCAGTAATTTGACATTGTTTAAGGAAGACCTTGTGATACGACGTGGTTTCTAAGATGCGAACCATCAAGATTACCATTTGCTTTAGTTTTGTTATTTTAATTATGATTTGATACCTGCGGTAGTGTAGAATTGGTACTGTATATACTTGAATTATGACAGCGGGCTTGTGGCTGAATGGGATTAAGTGGTCATTTGCTGAATTGGATGAATTAAAATAATATACAGAAATAAGGTTTGTGCAGTCTGTTGTTTTATTATGATTTTGGTGGCTTGTCATTACTTTGGTTGTATTTGCTGGCAGGTATTCACTTGGGGTCATCGACTAGTCACCCCCAGGCGTGTTGTTATTGCTAGAAATATAAAAAAAGGTGGGAGCTCTCCTCTCAAGTTTCATAGAATGGAGCGACTTCATGTAGCCTCCATTGCTGCTGGGGTGACCCACAGTGTAGCTCTAACAGATGACGGGGCATTATTCTTTTGGGTGTCATCAGACCCTAACCTTAGATGCCAGCAGGTGTGACTTCACTGAGCCAATATCTAATTTCTTTCTTCCTTAGCACCATGTTTTTTAATTATTCTGAATTATTTGTCTTTCTTGTCCAGTTGCATTCACTATGTGGGAGAAATATTGTTAGTATTTCAGCTGGAAAGTATTGGACAGCTGCTGTTACTGACACTGGTGATGTTCTTATGTGGGATGGAAAAAAAAGAAGAGATGAACCACCTATCATTACTAGATTGCATGGTTTGAAAAAGGCAACTTCAGTTTCTGTAGGAGAGACGCATCTTTTGATTGTTAGTTCTCTATATCATCCTCTGTATCCTACTCAAAAAGTTGGAAGTTCTCAGAAGGTCAATGAAATGCATAAGAGTGAAAAAGCGGATGAGCTAGATGAGGGATTTGTGTTTGATGATGTGGAGTGCGAAGATGTTTTGCCAACTGAAGGGAAGGAAGACTTTGTAAAGACAGTTCCAAGCTTAAAGGCACTATGTGAGAGGGTTGCCATAGAGCATTTATTGGAACCACGAAATTCTCTACAGTTGCTGGAAATTGCTGATTCACTTGGAGCAGATGACTTGAGGAAGCACTGTGAGGTACACTTGATGATTCTTATGGTCTTGATGTAGGGAACCTATGAATAGGGCTATGTAATAAAATTTATTGTGGGGACCTGATTGGTCATATCCAAGAAGTGGAATTTTCACCTTTCTGAGTACAACTTATTTTATTTTAGAAACTTCTTTTCTTAATATTGCTGTTGAGCTTTATGCTAATATGGGCATGTGTTTACTCGTTGATGAATTTTAAATTAATACATTGGAATTGGTGCAGGAAATGGCCCTTCGCAACCTTGACTACATTCTTGCAGTCTCGACACAGACTTTCACCAACACATCATTGGACATTTTGTTGAGCCTCGAGAAATTACTGGATTTGAAGTCATCTGAACCATGGAGTCACCGTCGACTTCCAACTCCAACAGCCACTTACCCTGCCATCATCAATAGTGAAGAGGACGATAGTGAAAATGAATTTGTTAGACCACGTGACAGCAGTTTGCGGACACCACCCTTCCAGAAAGAGGGGCCCTTGAGATTAGACAATTTTCTGCAGTGTGGCGATGGAGTGAAGGACGAACTTTCTAAACAGGTTCGGGCTTTGAGAAAGAAGTTGCAGCAGATTGAGATGCTGGAGGACAAGTTGTTGAAAGGTCATTCTCTGGATGACCAGCAATTGAAGAAGATTCAATCCAGGGGAGCTCTGGAGAGTTCTCTTAATGAGCTTGGTGTCCCTATGGAGACGGTACACAGTAATGCCTCTTCTTCTGCTTCGATGGATGGTAGAAGCAGTAAGAAAGGTGCATCCCGGAAGCAAAGAAGGAAGACCAAGCAGACAGCAGCTGGAGATGAAGAGTCATCTGTTGGTTGTGAGGAGAAAGGTCAGCCCGAGTCCGCAGAGATCATTGAGGAAGTTGAAACCCCTCATGCTAAGGATAAGGTAAGGTTTTTTTTTTTTTTTTTTTGGGTTATAGTGGGTTGCCTAAGAGAAAGTGATTTGCAATAACTTGGTGGGTGAGAGGATGTCAGAGTGGTAAATTGGATCATGTAGTCATGTGGAAGGTGAACATCATACTATTTGGCTATAGCAAGTAGGATTTTTCATTGGTGGATCGGTTACTTTTTGTCCTCTTTCTAAGTTTTGTAGCTCTGAACACCTTTTGATGTCTGAAATCGTGAAACATTTTGTTACTTATATCTGATTAGAGCTTGTTTTATTTTGGTGTAGTATATTGGTGGTTCTGATTCTGTTTGTTTTGTACTTATAGGATAAGGCGGCAGATCTCTTTCGAGATGAAATGAAACAAGCATGTGCTGATTCTTCTAGGTTCATTAAAGATCTTGCAAGCACAGGAGGGAAAAGCGATTCATCACCTTCTGCATCAAAAAAGAAAAAGAACAGAAAAGGAGGTCTCTCTATGTTCTTGAGTGGCGGTCTTGATGATGTTCCCAAATGTACTGTGCCATCTCCAGCAGTGGTCAAAAGTGAGGGTCCTGCTTGGGGTGGTGCGAAAATTTCAAAGGGCTCCTCCTCTCTTCGTGCTATACAGGATGAACAGAGCAGAACAATGGGGATCAAACCAACCAAGGTTAACAACCTTCCGGAAGAGGTTTCTGATGGAAACAATACTACCAAAATTCGATTAGGTTCATTTTTGCACTCTAGTCCAATTCCTGTTGTTTCTGCTCGGACAAGTCAAGCTTCTGATGGCGAAAGAAACACACCTCCTTGGGCTGCATCTGGCACTCCACCTTCTCTTTCTCGTCCATCTCTCAGGGACATCCAGGTGCAACAGGTATGGGATTGTGTCTGTGTTTGTACTTGCAATGTGCCTATTCTGTGGCATGACATTGCATTACCTGTATCCAGTTGCTAAGCTTTGGACACCTAACATGAAAGATTAGCCCCTTGGAAGCCCAGATAGAAGGGGATTTCTCTGTTTGAGGCAAATTTCAAATGTTAATGATTGTGTTATCTTATACCTTAAGTGACCATCTTCATTTTGTTGCCTTAATTCGTATTCTTGAGTCTTGACCTTAAGCTGACCATCTTCATATCGTTGCCTATAAGTATTTTGTAGATCTAGTGACCTCTATAGGATAACTTAGTCGGATAACTGTCCTGATTATATGTATTTTTCTATATTTTCAGCACTTGTAAAAGGATTTTGCCCTTTTATCGAATTAGCCAGTATTTGTTAAGCATATCTCTGATTTTCCTATTTTGCTTTTGTGCAGGGAAAACAGTATCAAACCCTAGGCAGTCCCACGACACGCACAACTGGTTTTGCTGTAACTGCTGTTCAAGGTTCACCATCAGACTCTAGTATGAATCGCTGGTTTAAGCCGGAGGCTGATACACCCTCATCTATCCGGTCAATACAAATTGAAGAGAAGGCAATAAAAGACCTCAAGCGCTTTTACAGCAGTGTTAAGGTCGTGAGGAACCCATCATAAGAAGACTGATACTGTCTTCTACTGTATATTCTCCAACTTTCATAATAAGGGTTTACCTGTAAATGAATTGTACAGAATTTCCATTCTACAAGTAGTCTTGCACTATATCAGCAGGTAGCAAGTTAATGGATTAGCGTGCTCTATTCTTCTTCAACTCCCTCAACCTTCCATTCTACAAGTAGTCTTGCACTATATCAGCAGGTAGCAAGTTAATGGATTAGCGTGCTCTATTCTTCTTCAACTCCCTCGGTTGATTCAGGACCCAATCTTGGTTAGGTTCTCCGGCTTCGGTTCAAGTAGTTTCCAGAGCACCCATTTGGAGCAGTTGTAGTGGTCGATTCTTTGCAGGTTTACGATTACCAGTATCTAACAGATGCTGCGGCAGTGCCCTTATTTATGGCATGTACAATCTCTGTACACAGTATTTGAATTAGATGATCGATTCTTTTGCCTTTGGGCATGAACACCGAATAAGCCATGCATTTAGGGTCTTTTTAGTAGGACACAAACTTCGAGTCTTTTGTTTGGCCTTTGATGAAGCTATGAATCCACCAAATGATACTTCTCTTCCAGCTCATTGGGCTCGTGCTCAAGTCATTTGTGACATGACATGAAAATGGATCATACTATACGAAGTAATTTGAATTTTTTTTTTTCCTGCAATTGTGGTTTGACTTCTTTTTTTTTTTTTTTGTCGAAACTATTATATATTTATAAGGCTAGATGTCTTGTTCAAAAGACGTATTGAGACCTAAATACTCTTGTTCTACAAAGAGCTATACATAGTGGGGCAACATCAAAAGGATATAAGCCCTTATCAAAGCCTAGTGCTTGCTTTGCTGAAGTATAAGCACAAGCATTGTTGTTCCTAGGTGTGTATTGGAAAGTAACTTCCCAATTGATCTTTAGAAGACCTGTATTCTTCTCAAATCAGGATCAAGATTTCCGATTTCACATAAACTGTTACACAACCGTATAGCTACTTGCGAATCAGATTTTACAAGGATTTTTGAGAACCTTGTTGTTTGGCTATCTTTAAGCCAATTCTGATGGCTACAACTTCACCCGTTTTGACGAAACATCGTCCTACTTGTGAATTGCCCTATTGGCATCCATGATCTTGTTGTTAAACACCATATCATTCCTTCATGTCCAAATCAACCAACAAGCAACCCCAAATTTTGTCTTTGCCTTTTGATTTTTTATAACCAAGTTCACCCTGATCCAATCCTTAAGAGGTAAATTAAAGAAGTTATGTGTATTTGCTGGTGGTACAAGTGGTTCCCAGATTTTTCTTGCATAGGGACAATCCGTTAAAGGCATGTAGCGTAGTTCTCGTTCCTATCCTGCAATTATTACAGCTACCTGTCTCCGCCATTCCTCTGCTCCTTCGCAGCTCATTCGTGGCAAGTCTACCATGGAGGGCGAATCACAGGAAGATGCGAATTTTTTGTGGTCCTGTCCAAATCCATGCTTTATTCCAGCTTGTATCTACATGTAAAACAGATTCATCAATCGCTAAATAGTAAGCTGACTTCACAGAAAATTTACCTCACACGATTTTCGGACAAGAAGTGAAAAGCTACGGAATTCTGGAAAAGAACGACCCAAAATGAAGTAGGACCTAACAACATTGGCAGTTTTGGAAAACACGAAAAAAGGTACTAATTCATTAGCAAAAGTGAGAAATAAAGGAGTTGATTGCCCTAACTAAACTCATTGGCTTTGTGTAAAACTTTATTAGTTCACCAAATCTGCATTGCTTTTGGATTTGAACCTTTTGACGTGTTGAACCTTTTGATATATCTGCTTGAATTAAAATATTACAATAAGATGAACTGTTGTACGCCTTAATAAGTCTCTCTCTCACAAGGAGTCTACTTCATTGGAAAAAAGATGGCTTGGTTCCAGTGTTTTGAGTCATAGACGACTGACACAAGCAAAGAAGCCTTGAAGAATTTCACAGTGAGTTCAACTCAAGAAGGGTCGGTCATTCTGATTTATCATTTCTGTATGCACCAATTCCATCAACTTCTCTAATAATAAAAGAATTAGAGCAACAAATATGGTATTCCCCCTGATCTTTTTTATCAGTCTTGAATTGTACTCATCATCATCTTCTAGAAACTGTTCCCTGCCTCCTCTATTGACGTTTCATTAGCTGATGACGGTAAAAACTACTGACACACATATAACTGTTGAGTCCAGTTTTCCAGAAAGACTGAAGAGAATCAGATCCCAATCAATAATAATTCACCAATGATTATGGCCTAAACAGCACTTGAAAGTTGAAACATTAATATAATTAATGAAGGCTAATGTAGTTGAACTCACTTTCCTTTGACCCCTTTTTTGATTTAGATATGTCATGAAAATCGCCTTAATCTCAAAATTAGGTGAAGGGTAGCTATCCATCATAGGCCATATCAAACTTGAAGCAAACAAAAACAAGAATAACGCAAATTAAACGCACTCTGCACCGTAAACCTTCCTCTCTTTAAAAGGGTTTGGTAAATCAGGTCCCATTACCATAATTTTGCACACACACACAGAAAAAAAAAAAAAAATTGCATGCGGTGAAAAAATGTTTACGTTTAAAACATTTGGGCGGTGAAACTTTTTATCATCATGGAAAAATTAAACACTGTTGATCTCGAGTTCTTCCTTGTGTTAGTACAACTTTATACGTGTGAGCTGATCAACTGAGCCCCTTTGTCTGACTGATTCTTCTGCTGCCCATATTAATATTACTGTTCCTAGATCAAAAGAGTGACCAAACTCCATACTCATCTTGTTTGTCCTCATGCCCTCCTTTTTAATTTTTTTTTTTTACACCCTTTTCTTCGTTACTTTAAGTGCTATTGTGGTAGTTTTCTGCCCTTAATAGAATATAAAAGAAGGTACAAAGAAAAAAAAATAAAAAAGGGAGGAAGAAATTTCAGTACAAATGAATCACAAGTGTGTAGTCGTTTCCCCCAGCTCCATAAAAGAAGGTGAATAAGACAAGACGATGCTCCCAAATATCAACCAGCTTTTGCTTATAATATATAGTCCTATTATTATGTGAGTTTTATGACCTGTCCATCATGTGATTGTCCACAAGCTTTGCAGTTTTTTTGTACCTTTATATTTTAAAACAAACATAAATAAACAAGTCTTCCCCCCCCCCATTAGTCTTCGGTCTTACAGCCAACTACTATTTCTGATGTCTAGAAGATTGGAGGAATCATTATTTGAGGAGGGCTCGTTTCATTCTTGTGCAGAGAGAGAGAGAGAGAGGTATTCATTGTTGAATCATTGAGCTAAGCTTAGCTCTGGAAAGATCTTTTCTTGAAGAAAGAAAAGTGGGTGTTTGGAATGGAGTTTGATCCAAGATCCCTTTTTTGATTTGCTTTAAAAGCTTGCTTTTTTTTTCTCTTTCATATCATATCTTTAATGATATTGAAGGAGGCCAAAGAGATGGATCTTTTCTGATCTCGGACCAGGCTTCATTCTTCATACCCAACTTTTCATCACCGCAACATCCAAATCCATCTACCAACCCCTCCCTCTTGAATCGTTCTTTGAGATTAGTAAGTTGATCTTCCATGCCAAAGTCCATCAAATTAATATACGAATATTCTGTGTTTGTGTCCACAGGTATAAAGGATATAGGGTTTTCTTTTGTTGGTATGTACTTGGGCTCTTGCTCTTTTTCCCTGGAATATCTTGATCCACCATTGACGAATGAAACTTGTGCACGATGCACATCGCACCATTAAGTATGGTGATGCTACTTGATACTACTCATTGATCTCCTAAAGTATTGCCTAAAAAGCTGTGTAAACAATTAATGATGATTGTAACTATATTCTTCAAAAAAAAAAAAAACCGGCTTTCCATATATACCAAAGTACTTACAAGTGTTTTTGCGATGATTTATGCATGACAACACACACACAGAGATATGAGTTTGTGTGTGTGTGTGTGTGTGAGTTCAGCACAAGTTTTTCTAGGCATTAGCGATTTGACTTTGTTATGTCAAAGAACGGTAAGTACTTTGGTGCTTATTCTTGCAGGTTTAGATTCATGAGAAGTAGTAAGATTTTCAGCCTTTTATTCCTGTTTTGCCTCGTCTTGAATGTGTTATCAAATGAGGAGGACTTCAAACAGGAAACTCAAAAAATGCAGGGTTTGTGTATTCTGTGTTCTGAATTCGGTACCAACTTGGAATTATTGAGTTCAGTTTTGAACGAAAAAAGGTTTGAAGTGGCCCTCTCTTTCTGCTCTGGAATTGACTTGATCCATATTATTTAAGTACAAAACATGCAGATTGAAGCGTAAGCTATTTATATTGTTAAATCATCCTGTGCCTCATCTGAGATCTCCATACTGGAACTTTGCCCTTTACAATTTAATTTAATGGAGTTTCTTTCTCTTCATAAATACTAGTACGTAAATGTGTTTACTACTACTCATTATTGAGTTGTGTTCACTACTCGTGGGCTTTTTTGAAATACAATGATGATGCATGAATCCTGATTTCAGAGTTTTTCCAACTTGCTAATGTTATCTTTTTTTTTTTTCTTTTCCATTTGAAATTAGGCATGATCCAAAAAATTACTTCAACTAATAATTTTCCAACTGCCGGATTATTTCGAATTAGAGATCGAAGAGCTCTTGGTTTTCAATTATTGTGTTCTTAACAATCAATATAATTATGTTGCTTTTAAAACGATAACTGTAATGTAAAATTGTTAGGTAGATTTAGATAATGTGTGAATGTATACACACTCCACTTTAGAGTTTAGAGTTACTTTGCATGTGCTGATGTGCATCCTCGTCAAATTTGTCGGGAAGATTCCGTGATCCCTCTGATTCCAGTGACACGCTGGATTTCCTTTCTAATCTTCTCAAGCAAAGGATTTAGACACAATTATCAGGGAATGTGAATTTTGCCCAAAAGAATAGAGGTAGTCGTATATTTGCTCATACCAAGGATATATACCGACGCAACTATG